ACTACTGCAGGCAAGAATCCCTCAGAAGAAATGGAGTAGCCTTCATAGTCAATAAAAGAGTAGGAAAAGCAGTACTGGGATACAATCTCCAAAATGACAGAATGATCTCAGTTCGAATCCAAAGCAAACCATTCAACATCACAGTAGTCCAAGTCTGTGCCCCAACCACCGGAGCTGAAGAGGCTGAAGTTGACCGATTCTATGAAGCCCTACAACACCTTCTAGAATTAAAACCCAAAATGATGTCCTTATCATGGGGGATTGGAATGCTAAAGTAGGAAGCCAAAAGATAACTGGAATAACAGGCAGGTTTGGCAAAGGAGTACAAAATGAAGCAGGGCACAGGCTGGTAGAATTTTGTCAAGAGAATACGATGGTCATGGCAAACACTCTTTTCCAACAATCCAAGAGACGACTCTACACATGGACATCCCCAGACGGTCAACACAGAAATCAGATTGACTGTGTGCTCTGCAGCCAAAGATGGAGAAGCTCTATACAGTCAGTAAAAACTAGACCAGGAGCTGACTGTGGCTCAGATCATGAGCTTCTCGTTGCAAAATTTAGGCTTTTCCAGCAGTATGTGGACCGAGAACTACCAGAAGTACAGGCAGGATTTCAAAGAGGGAGAGGAACTAGAGATCAAATTGCCAACATACGTTGAATCATGGAGAAAACTAGGGAGTTCCAGAGAAACATCTGCTTCATTGACTATGCTAAAGCCTTTGATTGTGTGGATCACAACAAATTGTGGCAAGTTCTTAAAGAGATGGGAGTACCTGACCATCTTATTAGTCTCTTGAGAAACCTATATGTGGGTCAAGAAGCAACAGTTAGAACTGGGCACGGAACCACTGATTGGTTCAAAATTGAGAAAGGAGTTCGGCAAGGCTGTATACTGTCTCCCTGCCTATTTAACTTATATGCAGAGCACATCATGAGAAAGGCGGGGCTAGATGAATCACCAGTTGGAATTAAGATTGCTGGGAGAAATATCAACAACCTCAGATATGCAGATGATACCACTCTCATGGCAGAAAGTGAAGAGGAACTAAAGAGCCTCTTGATGCGGGTGAAGGAAGAGAACACAAAAGTTGGCTTGAAACTCAACATTAAGAAAACTAAGATCATGGCATCCGGTCCTCTCACTTCCTGGCAAATAGATGGGGAAGAAATGGAGGATTTTATTTTGCTGGGCTCCCAAATCACCACAGACGGGGACTGCAGCCAAGAAATCAAAAGACGCTTGCTCCTGGGGAGGAAAGCTATGGCAAATCTAGACAGCATACTAAAAAGCAGAGACATCACCCTGCCAAGAAAAGTGCGTAGTCAAGGCTATCGTTTTCCCAGTTGTAATGTATGGCTGTGAAAGCTGGACCATAAGGAAGGCTGAGCACTGAAGAATCGAGGCCTTCGAATTGTGGTGCTGGAGGAGACTCCTGCAAGTCCCTTGGACCACAAGGTGATCAATCCGGTCAGTCCTGGAGGAGATCAACCCTGACTGCTCTTTAGAAGGCCAGATACTGAAGATGAAACTCAAATACTTTGGCCATCTAATGAGAAGGAAGGACTCCCTGGAGAAGAATCTAATGCTGGGAACAATAGATGGCAAAAGAAGAAGGGGCTCGGCAGAGAATGAGGTTGTTAGATGGAATCACTGAAGCAGTTGGTGTGAGCTTGAGTGGACTCCGAGGGATAGTGAAGGACAGGAAGGCCTGGAGGAATATTGTCCATGGGGTCGCGATGGGTCGGACACGACTTCGCGACTAACGACAACAACAGGAGTTAAAAATTAATTTAAAATAGCATAAAAACATTAAAAGACAATTAAAAAGACCCGGCCAAGAATAAAAGGCATCTGTCTAATTATGCCAGGTCCCTGAATGACCAGAGAGTTTGTTAGAGGCCTTGGCGAAGAGGGCTGTCTTTACCTGGTGCCAAAAAGATGGCAAATTTGGCACCAGGTGGGCCATAGCAAGGATGTTATTTCAAAGTTGGGGGGGCACCTCCAAAAAGGCCCTCCCCCTAGTTGCTACTCACCTGGCCTCTTCAGGGTTGGCACCTGGAGGAAGGCCCCAGAAACTGAGAATAGTGTCCAGGTAGAGCTTGTTCACTTAGTTCCATAGGGCTTAAGAGGAAACACTGAGACTTGAACTCTTTTTTCTCTTTGTAGCCCCATATCCAAAGGTGGGACTTCCATGTAAAGTTCTGGCAGTAGCCCTGTATCTTTGAAATATTCACACAGCTATCAATAATTTGTTTTACAGAATTGTTTCTATTACTGGGGATTTGCAGCCTGGCTTGCTTATTATATCAACCACCCTCTTTACACACCACCCTGTAAGTAGCAAAATAAATCAGAATTATTTGAACATTTCACTGACTGCTAATTGAATGCTAGACAGAACCTTTGTAAATGTTTTGTTTTGTAGCTTATGGACAAAAACAGATCAATTTTGCTCTGATCATGATTCTGGTAAGTATGTTCATGTGGTATTATAAGAGCAAAAGCTTTTACTATATCTTATGTTGGATATTTAAAAGGCAAATATTACTTAATTGCTCAGGAAATATATAGTAAGGGAGAGGCTGGCATCTGTGGGTGTGCGCCTTCATGGATCATGTAAATTGTATCTCAAGGCAGAACGCAGTGGTTCGGTCCACCGCTTAAAGCTTGTACACACATCGTCCCATCAGATACTCAGTGATAGTGCAGACCAGCTGTTCTGGAAGAGGAGTAGGCCTGGAGCAAACTACAGATCTGGAACTTTAGTCTCCATGGTGTAGGAAGTGCCCCATCCAAGAAATAGTTTTTGTGACAATTACCCTGGTTTAGCTTCATGGGCAACTGTTTGCATTTAATAACTGTGGCCTTAGATGAGAGATATGCAACCCGACAGGTCAGAGACATTGCTATTTTGATGAGAATATATAGGTTGCTGTGCAATAGCTACAAACACCAAATAAGGAGCTAAAACACACAGATTTAGGTTTTAGAAAAGTCCGTATAAGGTTTAGCTTTACTGAGTTGAGACCATATGTTTAGAAACTTCTTTCCCTGTGCCATTATTTTAAACAGCCTTTGTTTCACTGTCTTGTATTTCTCTCTCATTGCAGACATGTGAAGCTGGAAATTTTTCTATTCATGTTGCACTTAGTAATCTAAGAAGAGATGGTAAAAGCTGAGTGCTTTTTTTCCAATTATTATTACTATGCTTACGTTGAACTTAAGTAAGGAAAAAGTGAGTGAATAGGGTGAGCTTGGAAATGTATAATAGATGTGGGCAACCTGTGGACCTCCAGAAGTTTGGGTCTACAGCCTTAGCCAGCATTACCAGTGGCGAAGGATGATGGAAGCTGTATGCTAGAAGATCAGGTGGATCACACATTGTCTACTCCTGGTGTAAAAGCGTTTTTGAGTGACACTGGCTAATTTTTTTTTTTTTGTCACTGTAGCCACAAAGTGTAACCACACTCATAACTGGACCAGTGTAGCATAGTGGTTAAAGTGTTAGACTGGGACTCAGGAGAGCCTGCTTCTAGTCATTACTTGGTTATGAAGCTTTGGGTCAATCAGTGAGTCAGCCTAACCTACCTCATGGGGTTAGTGTTAGGATAAAATGGGAAGGAGGATAATGTAAACCATCTTGGGTTCCTTGGGATGTAATAAACAAACTTTGGATTGCTACAATATTGACTGGCATGTCACTTTCCATCTGTGGAAGTTAGACAAACCAGTGGGAACACATTTTGTCTAGCATACTCCTGTTCAAGTTGCTAGTAAGCCATGCTCTTTCCCTGATACTCCCATTCCTTTCCCTCATTACAGCCAGACAGCATTCTTTGCCAGTGGGCATGCTCAGTCCTCACAGGACTGGTTTTTGCTCTCCCCCACATTAGGATTTTTCCCCTGCTGTGGCTTGTCTTGATTGGGATGCTTTTGACTGAGGTGCAATCACTTTTGCAATCACAAAAGCTGGAAGCAGAAGAGACTGGCCATCTCACAGTTTTCCTGGACCTCTTTCTACTTACCGTCTAGAGGGATTGTCAGTGCCAAATTCCTGATATCCATCCATCTATAAAATTATTTAAGGACATAGAGAAACTCCTTATAGGAGAGCAGTTCCAAAATCACCTGGGGCGGGGGGGGGGGGGGAAGAAAAGAGATTTTCTAACCTAACACCTGAAAAAAATGATTGTCTTCTTCCCATCCTGTGACTGACCAATTTATTCAATCCTTAACAAGTTTGCCACTATGAAAGGGCAGGGGCACTATGTAATGGTACGAGCAAAGGAAGTCACTCTAGAGTGGTCATGCTACCCAGCCCAGCTTGATAGTACAGGGGGAAAATTGGCTGTATAAAAAGGTATATGAAGTAGAGAGAATCATTTGTTTAAATTTCTGTGTATTTTTTAAATTGATAGGATCCAAGACCTGTAAAATCCCTTATCCAACAAAGAATCCTTTCACATGGCTATTTTATTTTGTTTCCTGCCCTAATTATACTTATGAGGTATGTATTTTTTTAATCATCAGATAATACTGTAAGTTTGACTTGCTATATATATTTCAGTGTTGCTGTAGAACTCGAATGACTATTTGTGTGTGATAAAACAAAGTTCAGTTATAACTCAGCCTAACTTAAATTGTTGAAATGAAGACAATTTGGGGGTAACAGGAATAGGTTTTTTGTGCAGAAGGACTGTGAGCTGTGTTCAATTTTGATAAGAAAAGCCACATTCCTGGGCTCAAAATTATTTTAGTTCCAAATGTGTGTCTTTTGCACCAGAATCCAGATTGTGGATTTCAGACTTCTAGTAAAACAGTAAAGTAGAACCCTTAAAACCTGATGCCTTTTCAGAAATTCTTCATTGATGTGGCACCTAGGACTTGCAACTTCACTTTGCCAATGACATTGAAACAGAGGGTGCTTCCAGATGGACAGTTTCTAACTTTCCAGTCAAAGAACACTTTGCAGTTATTCTGTCTTTTCAACCTTAATGGATTTTTGGGAGAAAAAAAGATGGAAGAAATTGAGGGAAACATGGGAGAGTTACAAGTGGAAGCAGTTGTCATCTAGATGCCCCTTAAAATCCAATGAATAAGGCAGGGAATTGCATGGTAAAAGTTAGAGTGGCAGCATCCAGAATGTGATCCTTGTAGGAATATAAAATTACCATGAAGCAAGTCAAAATAGTAAAATGTTTTGCAGTGGAAATTGAAAACAGGGAGCACTTACAGACCAGAAGGGGGCAGCATGTGCACACATATACAGTTTGCTCCCCTTTTCTGCCTTTGAGGAGCAGCACTCAGACATTTTTTTGAAGGATGTTTCTATGAGGGGGAGAGAGAGAAAACTGGACCACACATAGAGCATAAACTATCAGGTCCAAACTATATTTTGAACTTGATGGGGCAGTAAAGTGTGTGGGGGCAGTTTCTGAGATGAGGATTTCTTAGAAAAAATAAAGCATAGCTAGAATAGCCCAGCTGGAGTTCTTAGAGGTGAGGCACCTGGTTGAGTTGAGTTGACAGGGCCAGGAAAACGAAGAACTGAACATTCCCGTGATTGCTTACCGCCTGTCTTTAAGTTTATTGGTGAGACAGGACCAGAATGCTGTGTTAGAATTCTTGACCTGTAACAGTAACTTGATTCCTTAGAAGTTAGAGGTGGTGAGACTGTCTTTTGAGACTGTCTTTCAAGGGTGATGAAGTGTCCCACTCTGAAATCTAATAGACTATATCCCAAGGACACTGGTTTTATTTCTGATTGTGTGCATTAGTGTGTTTCAGTTGCTTTATTGCTTTTGTTTTTACAGATTGATATTAGAAATAGCTATGTATTTTTTATTTAAAGGTTCTTTGAGCAATTTTAATCATGTGAAATAGTTCTGAATTTTCTTGGCCATTACAGCTGGGGACATGGATTGGTTTTACTATCATGACTCAGTGTGTTCCAGGTAAGTACCATTCTTGGTTTTAAAATTTTGGGATATTATTCTTACTAGAATGTTTTATAAATGTTGACTTTATTTTTCTCTGTCTCTTGCAGTGGGATTGTTCACCTTGCTCTGTTTCATCCAGATGACAGTCTGGGCAAAGAATAAACACCGCACCTATATGCGAGAGTTTAAGGACTACCCTAGCCTAAGAATGTCAATTGTTCCTTTCTTATTATAAGAGTGAGATTGTTTTTCATGAATCAAGCAAAGTTGATGGATCTGTATGGAGAAAACATTAGGCAAATATGATATGTTAAGAAGATAATTTAGGTGAAGTGTTTCAGATGCATGCTGAACCTACTCTGCAGTGAGAAATCCAAGGACTCAAAAGCCATGTCTCCCCTATTTCTGAATCTGCAGGATTCAGGATTGACTCTCTCTTTTCCTATTGCCTTTTTAGCCAGAGAAGAGCATTCAACTGCAGTCTAGATCACCAAGGTATCTTCATCAGCTGAGAGGAGGTGCTTTCAGTATAAATCTGTATTGGAAGTAGTGGCAAAAAGGAAGCATGAGAATTTGCAATAAAATAGTCTGGAATTCCACAAACCTGCATGTTCTGAGGGAAATGCAAGGCAGTCTCACAACTAGATAGCATCCTTCTCTGCCTCCGAAAGCAGCATGGGCTGTCTCAGTCAGGCATTTGCTGTGGTACATATATTAGCAATGTAGATGAAAGTATCACCTGGAGACAACATTAGAACTGAGTAGAAAAGACACTTAGAATAATAATGCAATACAACTCAGTTTCAGGCTGCAAGTTGGGGATTATTCACCTGAATGTTCACAATGCAAGAAAGCCCTGTGTATGCAGAAAGCTCTAGGATATGAGGGGGAAAGGATTCTGGCCTATTTCTCCTGCCCAGCCTACTACAGGCATTGTTTTATTTTTATTTTTTGGTGGGGAAAGTATTCAAGCATTCTCCATATGATGCATATGAACATTCTACCTGCAGTATCATTCTTGGGAAAAAATTATATTGCAGTGTTGTGCACATACTGTATATTTGAGAAATCAGCCTTACTGAACTCAGTGTGATTTACTTCCCAAACATGCACAGGAGTTTGCCTACACACAGGTTAGAGAGCTGCAGTCCTCAGAAGAGTATGCCTTTCTACACATGTCAGGATACAAAGAAATACTGAACCTTCCTATATTATATTTTGTTCCTAGAGTATTAGTGTGTTTTAAGAAGGCTCTGTGCAAATTATATCAAGACCATAATGCAATACTGTCTTAAACTTTAAAAAGGTCAACAAAGAGGTATGAACTGTTTCCTTGACAAGATTTATTTCTCTAGAATTAATGTACAGACATTTTTCCAACTATTTGTAAAGATAATATGCAATAAAGTCAAGCTTATATTTTGATCTCAGTCCAAATACTTACAGTAATTGAAGATATATTGTGTTGGTTCACATGTAAGAACAATCCTGGATTATTGCGTTGTTGAATGGTAGGTAGTTATTATGTGCCTGCATTCCAGTTTATACTTTGTTGTTAACCACAAACAACCCAGGAAAAGAACCCACTGTTTGTTGCGTTGTGAACTCTGGGGGTTTTGTGGTTACCACTCCACACTTAAACCATAACAGATGGTATGGATACAGAGCGGCTGGGAAGCCCAGCTCTTGAGCTCAATGGATTTTCTGCCCTCTTAGAACCCAGTGACTGGAAGTGGGCCAGTGTGCTGCAAAGTTCATGCACTTGAATTTCTGAGATGGGCCATGGTTTGTATGTTTTATGCTAGGGAAATTTGCACAGTATTTACACAATTTGCACAAATTGAAAACTGAGCTCCAGATAGTTCTAGTGCAATTTGCACAAATCACATAGAAATTGCACAGTTTGCAGCTTCCAATTTGTGCAAATAGCACAAATGATGCACGAGTTTCTTAAGCATGTAAAAATGCACAGACCTCAACCTTTTTTAGAGATGGAACTCTATGAGATTGTTGAATCAAACAACAGTAAATGGGCACCAGCATGGAGTTACCAAACCAGAAGCTGGTGATGATGGGAAATTATGAAATTCCATTGGATTTTCACTCCCACCAGATTCCTCACACATCCATAGTACAGGGATAATGTGTAACAGCAACCTATGATTCAACAATCCATGATACAGTGAAAGGCATATCCAACCTGGACTCCAGGCGGTTGCAATGGGTTGCTGAAGTTTTACCTTGTTTAACGCTCAGCAAAACCAACTTGCTCATGTTAAAAAAGGAATACCTACTATAAAATTTTTCACTCAACACATCCAACCTTATGCAAATACAACACAAAAGTATTTGTTAGGCAGCAACTAGTACTGAAGACAAGGTGGTTGGGAAATATTACTACAAGTAATGGAAAATGGCAACTCACACTTTTAAGGCCAGGTTCAAATTCATGTATACCTTTATGAGTTGCCTTACTATTAAAATTTTCAAGGTGAGTTACGCAATTGTTAGGATCACAGAACTTATAGTGGCTTTGTAGTTTAACCCCCAATGTTCATCATTGGAAATCCAGAACTTTCCCAACAAAGTGCTGCCCAGGCTCTTGAGGACCTCCAGCAAGGGAGAGTCCGCCATCTCTTCAGGTAATTGTTTCCATTGTTGACATGCTCTTACCATTAAGAAGTTTTTCCTACTGAAACCTACTCTTCTGTAACTTAATCCCATTAGATTCAATTCTGCCCTGAAGGTCAGCAAAGAACAAGTCTTTGAGTTCTTCTGTGTGATAGCCTTTCAAGTATCTGAAGGGTGTTTTTATGTCTCCTCCAGCCATCATTTCTCAAGACAAAATCCAGTTTTTTCAAATTTCCTCATGGGGCCGTTTTGAATATCATCATTACCCCCTTCTAAACTTACTTTGTTTATATCCTTCCTAACATGTTACACATGGGTTATATTTGTGGCATGAGTATTGTTTGGAGAACAAATCAGACAAGTAGTTGTGCAAGCAGCTATTGGGGTCAAGGATACTGTAAACAAATAAGGATAGTCATTCAAAAAAGAATTGTGCTGGTGTTCCAAAAATGCTTCAAAACTCTGTAGGGACCCATTTCCCATACAAGCTCCCCATACAAATGTTCATGCTTTTGCTTCCCCTTTTCTGGCAGCAGACATGTTAAGAAGTGAACACTGACTTGTTCTCTTCTACTCTGAAACTGAAAAATAAAAGGCTGTTTATTTAAAATGTGTTTACCTTCAATAGGACCAAAACAGCTGATGGCATTGAAATGTATAAATCAACAGATAATAATAAAGGTTACTGACCCACAGTGGATTGAGGAACTGAGAAAAGCCAGGTGCATTTCTGGCTGGCATTTGCAAGAACTGCCCACTGGCACTTTGCTTGTCCGTTGCTTTCAAAGGGCGAGTAAAACTGGCTCCCCAGCCAAAGCGCCAGTTAGACAGGCTCCAGTTGGTGCTTCTGCCAGGGATGGAACAACATCAGGGAGTGTGTAGGATACAACCCACTCTCCAAGGGGAATACAATACCTACCCCACATCTAGAGATTACAATAATTCAAAGTGAACCCCAAACAACATGACACTCCTCCTACACAATCTACAAATGCAGTATCAAATTTGTACCTTGGGGATCTGTTCCACATGGTTTACTATTAATTTCACAGAGTTCTGCACAGTTATGACCTAGGCCTAGGCTAAATCCAAACTCTAAGATTTTCATAGCAGGGAAAATTGCAGATCCACCACTGGTACATTTAATTAGGCTTCGAACTGAAGTAATTTATAGCCCTTGGAATTTTCACCATTTGCCAACAGTTCTATTTCTCAAAGTTAAAACTATAATTTAGTAGGATGGATCCATAAGTATAATGAAAGCCATGAGGAAGTTAAAGGTTTCCTCTGCATTCATAATATTTGCCATCTTTAGTTGGCAGTGAGAGACTTTGTCAGGATGACATCTGAAAAAACGACTTGTGCTTGATTGCTATCAAGTCCTAATCTGATTCTGTGCATAGGTACCAGTTTCAAGTTAGATATTTAAACCCAGTGTTTGTACTTTTTCTGCTTTTGGTTCAGAATGAAACTAGGAAGCAATTAAATGCTTGCTTGGTTTCTGACGATCTACTTATTTGACCCCATCATTGTTCCCACCTAGAACCCCTCATCATGTCCTGCTTTGCTTAAATCGTTATGCTTGTGAGAAGCATATTCAGTATTTACAGTACTGTGGTATGGCATGACCCTCAGGTGTCTGAGACTTTGCTTTAGGTGCTGTACAGCTCTTCTATGTGGTTGTCTGTCGATAGAAGGAAGGGGTCACCTTCACCTCTCTATTAGCTCCAGCTGCACGAGGATGTAGAGGAATTTCCTCATCCTCCATCTGTTGTTTAGCAAAGTTCACAAAAACCTGTGGGTGGAAAGCAGATAAATATATAAAATGTATAATCAGTAATTTTTTGTCTCTGTTAGCAAAGAAGAGGAAGGGAAACCAGAACCTTGGTGAAAGTCTTAAGGATGGAGGCTGTTTGTAACTCTAGAGGGGTAAGCTTGAAAAGAGCTGTCTCCTCCCTTCTCTTCACCAGTAATTTAGTTGCTATCTAGTACAGTCCTGAAAGACTTATTTCCCTAAAGTCTAGAATTAATGTAGGAGAACATTACTCTTAATCTTACTCATAGGCTGACCTGGCAGAAGCAGCAGCACACTAAGTGAGGGAGGCCATGAGGTGTGCTTTGATTGATGAAGCAATTACATCATGTGTGCAGAAATACGGCCTCTTCCTGCCAGCAATGTCTTTGATAAAGTCTACATTAAATGCATGTAAGAGTCCTGCAAAAACAAAATGAGATTGGTGTTCAACAGAAAAGGACAAAATCTGGTGAAACCAAAAATAAGACCATGGCAAGAGGGGGAATCTATTGCTTTAACTGCCTAAACAACAATATGACTTTCAGCCTATGAGGTCGGTCTGGCTGAAAGTGGCTGATTACTCTTATGTTCTCTTTAGTTCAAGACTTACTCAACTCCACCTTCAGTACCAATCAATTCACAAAGCTGGCACTCCTATACCTTTTATGAAAAATTGCCAAGGTTTTTTTTCTGTAACCAGAGTTTGTGAAGTATTGGGCTGGTTTCTACTTGGGTTGTTTGAATTTCCCTACTTTCAAGACATTGTAGCTTACCTGATCTAGGGTAGTTTGCGTGACAGAGTATTCCTCTATATTTAAATTGTCCTTGTTGGAGAGAATCAAGCGGAAGATCCTGGCCAATGAGCAGGTGCATATCTGGTATTGCAACATGTTGTGGTGCTTTTCTCTCTGTACACTGCCTGGGAAGTTCACTTGTATGAAGTGTTCTGTTAAACTCAAATCTGGCATTAATCCAGCTTTAGGGGGCTTGATTTTCATGGTGACAATGTAGCCATCTCCATATCTGAAATGCCCATTTATGAAGAGATGGGTTTGTTACTCATGTAGGGATACACATAAAATTTACTTTATGCAATGTTTAATGTAAGAAATACATTCAATCTATTGACTGTATATGTTTAAAATGGGATATAACACAGTACTTTCATATATTCTTAATCTAGTCTTAATAGAGGGTGAAAGATGCCAATAATGGAGTAAGTGGGTGGAACATGGACAAGATGGAGGAATATGGGGAACGTTTCCAAACACATGGAAGGGATTGAAGAAAATACTGATTTATGCCTAAACAAAACAGGAAATGAAATTCTTGCCAAGGATAACAGATTACATTAAATCATCATGCTATTTAAAGTGTGATCAAGTGAAAATAAGCTAGGGCAGACAAAACCATAGATCGGTAACCACAGATAATTATTTCATCATCTACTGATGCAACAAGTATATGTAGTCCTTTGGCAAAATATATAATAAAAATTGGGATTGGGGGTATTGTTAGTTGCTTTGGGTTCCTCTTATAGGTTATATAACCTTATATAGGTTCCTTACTGAAATGCACTAGAAGAAACATTAGACATAACTTTCTGGCTTACTTGTATTTGAGGTGCTGGATGGTGCCCAGGCATTTGAAGGTTCCCTTAACCATGATGGCTAGGCGGGTACAGAGGGCCTCACATTCTTCCATACTTGTAAAGAGAAAAAGCATGTAATATTTCAGGCTTAATGAAGAAAAAATAGAACCCCCCCAATCTGCAAAGATTCCCAGATCAACAATCAAGCAACAAAACAAAAGATTAAATAATTAAAAGGGAAACAACCACTTGCAGCGCAAGTTGCCCGCCTGCCAGCAGCCCTCTTCTAAAAACAAAGCAATAGAACACCTCAAGTTTAATGTAGAAAAGAAAGACTTCGGGGCTCATTTAAGGTTTAGGATAGAAACCTGGCAAAGCTGACTGGGGGCTGCTGGGAGTTGTAGGGCTTCTAAACATGCATGAGATTGCGGCTTTATTTATATTGTTCCTAACCCCAGTCAGAGGGGGCTTCTCAACATTAGGCAATTATCATGGTTGTTTGCTCATTACATGTTGTTGGTCTTTTTTATGACAATGTCATCTTCCAGGGTTCCTCCCATGTTTTCCAGCTACTTTTGCAGCTTTTTTTTTTAGAGAGAGAAAGGTTATTTATTAAATTCCAAATGTGAAATAAACCAAGATGAAAGGAGTGCTGCAGTTCCACTGCTATACCTCAGAGCTAATTTGCAGTTGTATAACAATATATAGAAAGACAAGGACAATGCCCAGGAAAACAAGAGAAACATGTAAAGGATGCATTCTTCCTTCAGCAGCGAAAATGGAAGAAGAGTCTCAGTAAAGCAGTAGGTTAAAAGGCTTCAGAGAGGGTGAAAATCAAGTTCTTATTCGCCTATGAAGGTCACCTCTTGGGCCAATCCTTTGCAGGATCATTGACATAAAATGGCAGGAAAGAATAATTCTTCTTCATGGTCTCCATGCAAATCACACACCAATGGAAAGCTAACACATCAGAGAGAAAGTTAGGTTAAAACATTCTCCCTGATGAAGTAGCTTTTCAGCAGTACTCTGAACTGGCAAATTACCAGAATGACTACTTTCTTTGAAGATTTGAATCGGGGACCAGTATGAGCAAAAAGGTAATTGCAGAGGTGATTTTACATGTGCAGGTTTGTATAACCTGTGTGAGGTCAGGACCACAGCTCTTCCATCTCTGATCACACTGACAATTGAGTTCCATAAGAAGCGTCGGGACTGAGGATCCATTCCTGTAGTTGGTTCATCCTAAGAGAGTACAATAATACTCATCAACATAATTGAAGCTGCAGTAATAGTAGTGACAATAATAGGTACAGCTAGGTACCTCCCCTCTAACTATTTCAAAGTAACCTTCGCCACACCCTATTCCTAACAGGAATTTTCCTGTTCAAAGCTCCAGCCAGCTTGGAACAGGAGCACTGTAGTGCTATTAAGAGGTCAAGATAGTAGGATCAGAAGAAGAGAAAAAGGGACAACCTGTTTCTTTTTCATCCTGAAATCAGTAAACCTTTGAAAAAAATCTCAGATTTGTAGTTTAGGATTTTTATTCTTATACATCCTAAAAGCAAACCTTTTCAGTGAAAGGATAAAATGTGCCTTCACATCTAACTCAGAAAAATAGTGTCATAGAATTATAGAATAGTAGAGTTGCAAGCGTCCAGAGGGCCATCAGGTCCAATTCCCTTCTCAGTGCAAGACTCCAAGTCAAACCATCCCTCACAGATGGCTGTCTAGTTGTATCTTGAATGTTTCAAAGGTGGAACAGCCTCACTAGGTAATTGGTTCCACTGTTGTACTACTCTAAAGGTCAGGAAGTTTTTCCTGCTATCTGGCTGGAATCTGGCTTTCTGTAACTTGAACATGTTATTCTGTGTCCTAAATTCTGGGATGATCAAGAAGAGATGCTGTGTCCGTCTTTGTGACAGCTTTTCAAGTACTTGTAGAATGCTATCATTTCTCCCCTCAGTTCTCCCTTGTTGAGTCTAAACACACCCAATTCTTTCAATTGCTCCTAGTAGGGTTTGTTTCCAGCCCTCAGGTGATCCTTGTTGCTCTCCTCTGAACTATTTCTAGCTTGTCTGCATATTTCTTAAATTGTGATGCCAAGTATGCAGTATTGTTGAGCCAAGTATTCCCCACTGTATGCATGTTATCTCCTGTATGTGCCTGCCAGCTGATCTGCATACACCAAGATAGGGATCTTCCCCTTGACCTCTCCCTTTACACTCTGCTGCCAAATTCCTGTTTGCTCTCCCTGTTCACTCACTCTGATGGCTTGCTCTCTGGGAGCTTGGCTGCTTGTATCCCAGAATACCTAGACCTGCTGGGGCAGCCTCCTCTGATCTGCTCAGCTAGGAGTCAGGAACCAGTCCAAGACGGCATAGTGTATGGTTCACTGTGGTTGTAAAGAAAAGTAGGGCCAAAGTATGATTCACACATTTTTCAAAGAAGTTATCCCAAACAAAAAAGACAGTGGGAGTCGGACAATGGCTGGTCTCAGGGAAACTGAAGCCATCAGCTTTTGTATGTGGTTAACCATGCAGAATTACATGGCTCTAAAGAGACCTTGTTGTCAGTTCTCCACTTTCTTCATCACAAAGCTGCTTACCAGTAGGACTAAAGGAGGGCAACCTATCAGTGCAATGGCGGTTGACAGCTTGCGCTTATTACCCCCACTGTATGTGCCTGCTAGCTGATCTGCATACGTCAACAGACCAAGCTTCTGAATCCCCCACTCTGCCACCTGTTGAAGAAATAAATACATGATTAAAATTACTTAAAATAGTGTATGATTTATCCATGCCCTTGGTATGCAGGGCTGAGCACTCAACACTCCAAAGCCATTACAGAGAATGGGAGGTCTGTATATCCCTCTTACAGGTAGTTCCATGAAAATATTCAATAAATATGCCAAGTGAAGGGGAAAAAACTATTCCAAGGGAAGCAAGGCAACAAACACAGAACAGAACGCAATGTGAAGCAAAAGCCAAAGTTTCCAATAGTTAAACTTTCAGAGCACAACTGATTATACACTCACATGTGAGTATGCATCAGGTCACATCGGTATATTGCATAAATTAAGGGATGGGTGCATTTGATTTACAGACACACAACAAAAGTGTGCTAAACACTCTGTGTAGTCAGTTCTGCCTGAAGTTATGTCTTAGAAAAGATGGCCTACCTTTTCCAGGAAATATCCTATGCTTCTTGTGGTCCATGCTGTCTATGTGGATATGGTCACCCGATGTGCAAATTAACTGCCTTGAGTGGAATATACCACACTGGCAATTGCAAAGCAGTCATCCTATCTCAGCACAATAGAGATGCTGGGTGTGTAATTCCCACAGGGAGTTGTGGAAGCCTCTTAATATATAGGGGGCTGGGGGGAGAACAGAACCACTCTTTCCTTTCTGTGCATGGAAATCCATGCAGGATCCCCATGTATTGTGCACACAGATAACATAAAGATGATATGCAGACTGGCAGAATGGATCTGCAGGTCAAGTTCACTACATATGAGACTTGACCTGCAGATACATTCTACATGTGGAAAAAGGAACAGCAGCAATGCAGTGTGAACAGCTAGGCTGATTACTGGCATCTTTCAAAGTTATCCTTAATGTGATGCACATGTTTTATGTACATCAAGAAGTGCCTGTGATTCAGGCATATAGGTGAAAACTGGTAACCCTCTAGCTCTCCTATGTATATGGATACCTCTGGGAAAAGCCCAAATACTATATTATAAGCATTTCCTAATTTGTCAGACTTCACACATTACTTTTTAAAAAAGCGTCATGCAGTTTAAATGACAATAAGTGTTCAAGAAGAAATTGTTCCTACCCTTTTGACTTCTGCTGCAGGGACCCCACGCAGATGGGCATAGAGACACAAGTGCTCTCTCCCGGTGAGCAAATCATCAATAGCATCAAACTGTGGGCAGTAGCCCATGTTTTGATGAACATCAGAGATCTGAGACAATACACTGAAGAAAAACAGAGTTAAAATCTTATGGAATTCTAGCCATGCTCTCTCTGTAGCATTGGGAGGGAGAAAAGGATCCAGCGACATTTCAGTAAAGACATTTCATAATAATCTCTCTCAAACTACAATAAGTAACAATAAGACTCCACTAAACCAAGTTTGATTGTCCAAAATTCCTGCTTATCTCACATGGAAAAATACATACTAAAATATGTAATGCCCGTATCAACTGCATGCAACTTGTACACACTATTGAAACATTCTCTGGGAAGCAGCAGTTGGTCCTTGTGTGCATTTCTGTGTTGTGTGGTTAGTATGACCTCTTACACATTACAACACAGAAATTGATACGTATTATAGTTTTAGTATGGGACCATTGCCACTGTAATGTCTGCAGTAGCCCTTCATGTCTCCTCTGTAACTTCATACTTGTTCAACTGTTGGGAGGGTGATCCAAATGATCTTTCAGGGCTTCCTAACAGGCTAGCACAGGGGTGAACAACGCCAGATGTTGGGAAGTTTGCATTGGCTACCACAAAACCCTTCTGGGCCCACATCACTCTCTAGAGCTACTGGAAGTAGTCACTGGCATTGGAGCTGGTTGTGCAGCTGGAATGCCAGCAATTCTGTTGAAAAACAAGGTGTGCAGGGTGCATGCAGTCTCAGGCCTCCGCTTCGCCTGCTAATCATAAGCCCCATTCTGATGGGAAACAAGGTGTGTGCCTCGGCTATGCCTTACTTCCAGCTGCATTGCTGGCTTTGCAGAGAGGGATGGTGGCGGCAGAAGCGACAGAAGGGGCATGTGAAGACTGCACAAACAGCCATCATGGCTGTTTGTATGTCCCTCACTTCAGGTCTAGTACCTCTGATTGCAAAGAAATACAGGATTTTAATGGCCCTTGAAGATGACAGAGTTGAGAAAAGAATCTGAAAACGTCCATGAGGGATCATGAGCGCACAATGAACACCTCATGTAGATAAGCCTTAAAATTAATGTAGTGGGGGGCTGTGTTTTACTCCTGTGCAAGCACACCCTCTCACAACCCATTTTTTCCTCTCTTCCTCAGCTTCAATCACAGCCACTTTCTCTTACAGTTTACCCATCTGTTCCTGCCACTTTGCCACCTTCTTCTCTCCAAATTACAAGAGGTTCCATGGGAAGGCAGTACCAAGGACATTTTTGAATGGGAGCAAAGCTAGTACTTAGCTTCATTCTGTAACTGGAGCCTGCTATCCTAAATTATGCCAAAACCATGAACAAAATGCTGGTGGGCAGGAGAGGGACAGGCATGTGAAGGGCAGATGCAAAGTGCAGGAGAGATTTGTATCAGCTTCCAAGACAAGCTTCAGGTTTAAAAAGATTATTTTAAATATTAAACAGCCCTGTATTCTGAAGGGAAGTAGTCCTTTGCCAGCAAATGTATTAAATTGTCTTTCCTATTCATAAAAAATCATACTCCTACCTAGTTTTCAGTAGTTTCAAATGCCAAAGAGAAGCTACATTCTAGAAACTCTAGCCAGACTTAATAGGCAGATAGTAAGAACTTGCAGATAGCAAGGTTACTTTAATAACCTTTTTCAATGGTAGAATGACATACTGCACATGGGAGATGACCTTTTAAATTAAGCAACAGTATAAATTGGGCAAGGATCTAAGGATCCTTTATATTATTCCCATATATCCAACTTTTCCTACACTGGAAATATCTCCTACCTTGGAATTTCTTTCTACAGTGCTAAGTATGGGCACTTCTCCTCTTCTTCGTGCAGTATTTTAACACTAAACCCCAATTATGCGAAAAACTACTCCAAAGGGCAGTTATAAGACGGCACAGGAGAAATTCATGGTAACATTATTTGGCTAATTTGGCAGTTGCCATCTCCAGTTTTAATACTGACTGCCATGTAGACAAGGGAAAGTATCAGGGTACATGCATCCTACATGGATCAAAGATGCTAGTGAGGTTATTTTCTCCACTCTTACAAAAAACCTTGCACCCAATGTTAGTCTGTCTTAAGTCCATTTCAATAGGTCTACCTTAAGCAAGATTGACACTGGCTGCAAGGCACAGATTATTATTTTCTTTCCACTCCTAAGGCGCATCCACTGTTCACTGAACTCGATTGTTCAGGCATGACTTACCTGTGCCCAGCCACAATAGCCTCTCCAGATGTTACTTCAGTATCTCCAGTCAGCATTTTGAATGTTGTTGTCTTGCCAGCGCCATTCACACCCAGGAGACCAAAGCACTAAAATATGATTTAGCATACACTTCGTTACATCCAGAGGATTGTAAAGGAGGATCACTTCAAAATGTGTTAAAAGTTGATGCACAACCCACCTCTCCAGGACGAACACTGACACAAAGTCTATCCACTGCTGGAACTTGTTGTCCTGCATACCTCTAGAATAAGGGAATGTTTAAATAAGCAAACTGTATTCTTTCAAGAAATCTTCTGTTGAATCTGTTTTCCACCTACCACTTTGAGGGAAAAGATGGCATAACATATTAAAAACAACATGCAAACAATCAGACAGAATAAGGTGAAAACCACTAACAGATATCACTTTTAGTTCATACACACTCACATTCAGGACTTGGCCCACTAAAATACATTGATTAACAAGAAAAGAGAGCAGGGTTTTTATATAAATATTTTTTTTCTATGAACAGTATTTTTTTTCTCTGCAGCCCTTGGGAGGTTTTCTTCTTCTCTCACAGTAAAAGGATATGAAAATTGTGAGAAATGTTGCCACGTTTCTGCCCGTAGATAGCCAGCAATAAGGGTTTATAAATTAGCTCTTCAACACTGATATAATAGGGAAAGAATACATTTGAAGTGCTCCAAGGGCATGCAAACTCCTTCAGACATAATGAAGATGCAAGGCAAGGAAGTACAGAAAGTACAGCTACTAGGCAGTTCCTTTCATTTCTTTTTTTAAAAGCACAGTGAACGATGTCTGCATATCCACAATTATCAAGTTGGCCCTTTAAAAATCCATATAGTGCAGCAATATTTCAGTAGAGATGTGTAACATTCTTTTTTCATTGCTAAAATTTTCTCATAATTTTTCATTGTGGGTAAAAGATTTGTGTATTATTGGTATTTTTTTAAAAACATCATGAAAGTTCACCTGCTTTCCCACAGCAATGTTCCCTCGTTTGTTTCCTTATTTTTAATGTCTCTTATTTATTTGTTAACCAAACAACCTGGGAAGGAGAGAAGCCACATCAGGACTGAGGCATGGGCGGAACAAAACGTTAAGTCTTTGTCTCTGCTAAAGCCCAGTTAGAATTTCCCCCCTCCCCATGCCAGTTATTTACAAGGAGAAGAAAGTGCCCGTTGCAAGTAGGAGGCATAGCATTCTCCCAATTCTGAATAGGGCCACAGTGGTGGCGATATCAGATATATCTGCAAAAGTTCAGATGTTATAACTCTGACCTTTAGAGTTTACAGAATATTAGCTTTTTCAGAGTTGTGTAGACTTGGAACAGTTACTCTTTTGGGGAGCGGGGGATTTGCACTTCCACCAATGTGCATGTGTACAAGTGCAATAAAGAGAGAGATCCCTAACAAAATCTGATTCTCAGAAATCCCTAAAAGAAAGAAAAAACAATTCTGTTAGTGAGCAGTCGACACATGAAATGCAACTGACAATCTGTGAATCATAAACAGAACATAGTTAACAAAATTGTACATCCTTGATTGGTTGGGACAAAGGGTTAAAGCTCCTTTCCTAACTCCATAGATTTGATCCAGCTTGGCATCTCACATCAGTTATCTATTTAGCAAAATTCAGCTACCCACTGGCCAGCTACAGGATCTATCAATTCTAGTTTGACTATAGCACTGAACTACTCAAGCAGTTGGCTTCTCTCTCAGGAGTGGGGGAGTGAACTCCAATTTGTCATTTGCTTCTGCTAGCAAAATCTCTTTGCCAGACACAGGGAGCCCCCCAGAAGCAGATGTTTCATATTTAGCATTCTCTCTTTTCCAAGAAAAAAATAGAGGAAATACAAATGTATAACATTCTTAGAAATCTACCTTGGTCAGTTCCTGTAATTTCAAAATATCTGTTTTGCTGCCTCCACTTATGATTCGTTGTCTCTCCTCTGCAACATCTTCATCTTCATCCATGACAGGCAGCATCTCTGTATTTTTGGAAAGCCTAAAGAAACCACACTGAATAAATTAATAATTTAGGATACAGTGCTATGTATGCGTAGACAAAAATCTCCTGCAACACCCAGCATTTCCCAATCAGCCACATTGGCTGTGGTGAACTTGGAGTTGCAGGGTGTTTTTCTGCCCAAACATGTGCAGGGTTGCACCGTAAGTCCATGTCTGAAGAGCAACCTATATTAACTGTCCCTTACCTTGCACACACAAGAAGGTGGTACTTTTTGAGTGAGACACACCTACTTGAGGACACTAATTGAATTCATACAGTTAAGACCTCTGAATGCTGAGAGTTTTCCAACATACCATCTTGTGGAGAAGAAATTGTGCTGAATTAGAAGATTCAGAACAAAATATGCGACACCTTGCACTGCCAATGCAACCATATTTTTCCCAGCAAAATCCCAGTGAAATGGATTTGAGACATGCTCTTCTCCTTTGGGATAAAATCAAACAAAACCAAGTTGAATTACTATCCAACTAAACATAAAATCATAGAAACAGAGCAAGTCAAAGGGGGTCTCCCAGGCCATCTAGTGTGACCCCCGGCTCTAGCCAGCTCCACTCATGACATGCCTACCATGTGCATGTCCAGCATTATGCTTTTTTAAATATATGTAAAATGTTACATATATTTTAATTGTCATTGAAACTTTTCAGATGCAAAGACTATATTCAGGTTGGCCCAAGCTATGCTGCTACCTGGGCTGGCAATCTAATTGTTCTTCTCCCATTGCATCCCTGGTCTAACAGTGCCAGCCCCGTCATCGCACTTGTTGCTGCCACCCATTATGTAATAAACAATATACCTGCTCCTGGCCGTTTGAACACAGAGGGGGCACTTTTAAATAGGTGCTGAGCTCCCACTAGTCTCCTGAGAGTTTGCAACAGGCAGCCACCATCTTTATTCCCCCAAATGCACTGCCTAACATCACATCAGACACTCTTTGGGAGTCAATTAAAACTAGCAGCTGCCCAATGATGCCTGTACAGATGGAAAGAAGAGCTTGGTTCCTATTTAAAAATTACACTGCTCTCATTGGTGAGACAAGGAAGGCCAGTCATTGGCTGGAAAGGAGGGTTTGAGTGACCAGCAGCAGTGGTGCTGGCAGTAGCATTTCTGGACAGAAGGCCCTGAGCCTGCTCCCCCGTCACTTACACCTTGCCCAGTCATTATCTACCCAACGAGAAGCAGTGGAGAAATTTGGTCTACACGGGGAGTATTGCTTCACATTAAGTTGCAGGCTGTGGAGGGAAACTCACTGCAAAGGCCCAGTCTACTGCTCAGAACCATACTTGGTCACGTGTGTGTGTGGGGGGGTGGGGCACAAAGGAACCATCCTATGTTCTTTTGTACTTACCAAACTGAGCATACACATCAGCCACAGCTTGGTTCATCGCTAGGTCAATAAGCCCACGACCCAGGCAAAAATGAGGAAAGACTAACAGGATCTTTTTCAAAGTTTGATTGAATTTCAGCAAAGACTGAAAGGGACAAGAAAACATATGCAAGTACTGCCCAAATTTACCATAGCCCCTTATACTTTAAGAAGAGAAAAAACATTTAAAATCAAAGTGAAAAGTGACATCTCACCAACCTTAATAAACTCTAATGTAGCACTTGCTGTGCATATGAAAACAAGCAAACTAAAAAATCTAGATGGTGCAGGAGCTTTTCTCTCCAGGCACACTGGAGAAAGGAAAAATGAGGGAAACTATAAAAGGGTCTGTTCCTTTTGAAATAGCCTTTCATCATTTTAAGCTTTGTATACTGGGATGCTGTTGCCACAATCAAGAGGTTCATGACAGTATCCTATGTGACATGGGTTTCCCCAGAAAATTAATCATAGCAGCAAGGACTCCTGGTGTTGCTGTAGAGGTCATTTATGCTACCACAGCAGTAGTGTCACACTGGATGCTACCCTAAATATTTTCTAGCATCTTAAACTTCGCAGAACAGCAGACATCAAGACCTATCTTCCACACTGGATCAGAGTTCTGAAGAAGAGTCACTCACCGGATTGTTCTCAAACAGCTCCAGGACAAATGTAATGGCACTGCTGTTGACACCAATGAAGAGGTTAATGCAAGACAGGACAACATAGGCAGTGCTAGGGATGCTAAAGAAGCAAGATGCTGGGTACATCATAGGAATTATGGCCCATCTGCATGCAAAAGTCAGAAAAGGGGTACAATAATTATTTTCCTGTGGTGAAACAAAGTGTGGCTATGATGTTATAAACTGACACTGAGGTCAGACAGCCTAGGATCCCTTCCTTCCAATGCATGCCTTCATTGCATCATTCCTTCCTTCTGCTAGGAAGCCAAGGAGCTGCTAACAGAAACAGAATCTTTTGGGAATGCTTGCCTCTCAAGCTGATTCACACATTCATGCTTGCCACTTGATGACCAAAACACTAAGCAGTGACTGGCATCACATTTCAAACTCCACAGACAGAACTTTCATCTAAGTTTACATTTACTTCCAATTCTCCACTAAGTCAGTTCAGCACACATTCAGTGCAGATTTGGCAAGACTTAAATTTAAACAGCAAATCAGGGAAAATTGCTCCTGGACTTTCAAACACATCAAACTATAGTTGGGAGATCACAGGGTTCAATGCTTGCCCATGAAAAAGAACTGTGCATACACAAAACTAGCACATCTATGTGATGTTAGAGAACTCTTCTTCCCCAGATTTGGTTTTCTACACAAAGGGAGTTATTTTATATGTTATATGGTAGAACATTCAGTCAAATGATCTGTGACCTGCAGACTGCAGTGCGCATAGTCATTTCTTGCATGAACTAGGTCCAAGTGCTGAAAAAAGGTGTAATGATGTATATATATGAACAAACCTTCTGCAACATGTATAGATGCTGTTTAAGCATCAGCCTCATACCTCTTGCAAACTGGCAGAATCTTACTCTTAGAAATCTCTTAAGGCTTCTGTCAAAATGCATCAGTTTCAAAAATTTATGAGAATACATCTTAGTAAATATACTTGTAGTACTTTGCATAATGCTTTTCATCTTCTCACATTCTGTTTTCCCTTCATCAAAGTACATGACAATCTTGAGTAAACTAATGGTGAATCAAAACAAATAATATTCTGTTTGTGCCTCTTTTCCTTATGAAGTCTACACTAACATGCATCTTAAGATTTTTAATTTTTGCTTTATTTTTATATTAGAAACCCAGTCTGAGTAAAGATATATATATATTAACAGTCCTACAAGGTTGTAGCTCTTCCTCTGTGAATCGTTCCTGTGGTATTACACAGCAGTGGAGAACTGTTACAGTTCTTACCTTAGAAGAAATCAGCATATATGCACTCAGATAAAAGGGTTTTATTTAAAAGTATTGGAAGTCACAGATTAAAGTTTAAATTTCAAACAGTTTGGAAAAAACTGTTTAGTGTCACATTTCTATAAAACATACTTTACTAATTTTGTTCTTCTTCTGAGGAATTTAATTAACATATGAAGACGAACATCTCCTTCCCTATATGCCCTCACACCCCTTATGATCTGTGGGAGAGGCCCTGCACCGAGAACCCGCCCTAAAGCAGGTAAAAAGGACATCTACTCGGAACTGGGCCTTCTCTGTGGTGGCACCCAGATTGTGGAATGCGCTCCCCAGCAAGGTTCACCTGGCACCGAGAACTATATTCTTTTTGGCACGAGGTTAAAACCTTTTTATTTAATCATTATTTTAAAAATTAGTATTTTTACTGTTTTACAGTCACATTTGTTTTGTTTTAATTGGATTTATTTGCATTGGTGTGATAAATGTATTGTATTGTTTACCGATTGTTCTTATGGTCTTTGCTTTTAATCCTGTAAGCTGTCCTGAGACATGATAGTGAAGGACAGCACACAAATTTTAAATACCTAAAATTTATCATCCTCCTAAATACCTACTTTTTGGATACCTAAAGATACCTACTCAACACAACAGACATTAGAGTTCTGAATACATCTGTCACTGCTTGCATAAAAGTTTTGGAATTAATGAAACATCTAAATTACTTACCCATATAAAAGCAGCAATGTAATAAGTGCAGGAAGGTTGCTTGGTGATGTGTATGCTTTCTTTTTAAAACCAATGAATATCGCTATTACAAGGCCAGCACTTATACTATAATTTACCTGGTGCAGGGGAAATAAAAGAAAAGGTGCCTTGAAAAAGAAGCATAATGCAATTTGGAAGAAAATCTACACCAGCTTTTCCAATATCTTCCGAGAGGCATTAATACTCATATTATTGTCCTGCCTTTGGCAGTACTAGACTGCTAACCAAAGAGATAGGCCTTTGGTTTAAGAAAAGTCTAAAAGGAGACTTTTCTTCAAATACTAACAGGTTCTTGAATTAGGAACTGAACCCTTTAGTATTTTTAAGGATTTTTTTCTTTTAAAGAGGTGATAAGAAGAGAGGAGAGATGGACAAAATAGCACAATAAGTTAAAGGAAGTTACAGAGGGAGTTTCCAGTTAAGAAAGTAGCAGGGCTGGAAAATATTTCTGTCTGAGACTCTGGGCAGCTGTGATAATCAGTGGTGTAGTGGCAACTGTGAAAGTGCAGGATCTCATCATTCTATCCTCATGGTCTTATCCTCAAAGGCATCCAAAAAAGCAGGTAGCTGTGTCCCTCTATATCCATAAAATTGCTCTAGCAGTTTTTATCTCCTCCAGGAGCAAGTCTTCTGTAAAGCTAACGTGTCTTAATTGCCCATTCAGGACCCACCCCCCACAAAACATTTTTTCATGGCAACCCGAAATATGCTGTTGTTGAGAAAACTAATTCCCCACCATCACTCCCACACAAACACTGTGAAGTCTTCAGCTAAGCTAAAAGGGAAGAGGAAAGTCTCAGGGAGCTGGCAGAGAATGTCAGCATTGCTGATAATGGAATAGTGCTGACACTGCATCCCTGTGGGCCCTGGTTCTACTACGCCGTAGTGGTTAATAGGAAAAATGTGGATTCACTGCTCTGATTCAGCATCAAGCATCTTATGTTCAGCAATGTACAGTAAATCAATATAATGACACTTCAAACAGAAGGTTATACTACTTAAGATATATTATATGTTTTGTGGATCAGGCTTACTTTTACTGATTGTTACGGAATTTCTTGGAATAAGCCATTTAGGAAGGCTTTATGACAACATTTTACTGAATGCCTTGGATTTTGTCCCCCAACACACATAATGTATGCCTATATTAGCAAGCTGCCTTAAACCAAATCAGACCATTAGTTCATCTAGCTCAACTTTGTCTGCAACAAGAGTGTTGAACCTCAGGCCTGCAGGCCAAATCTACTGGCATTCCCTAGTTAGTTGTGGCCCCACTCCTTTCTGCTGGCCACTGCTCCTTTGATGGTTTCCTAGGTTTTACATGTTTCTACAGCCCATTTTAAAAGGTTGAGATCCTTCCCCTAATGCTTAGTTCAACCTTTCCCAACTCCCATTGGCCCCAGTAAGCATGTTAATGGTCCAGAAGTTGTAGTCCCAAACATTTGGAGAGCACCACACTGGGGAAGGGTGGCTTAGTTAGTGACAAAAAAGGGGTTTAAACTAAAATATGGTGGCATTTTTGCCATGCCCCATTTGTCTTTGGCCCCCACCACTTTTGCCTTTGGCCCTCCCTATCACTGGAATGTGGCCCCTGAGACCCTCTTCAAAATGGAATTCTGTCCTCGCATGGAAATAAGTTCAACAGCCAGTGGCGGCAGCATTTTGAGGTTCCACGCAGGATTCTTTCCTAGTCCTACCTGGAGATGCCAGGGACTGAGCTCACGGAACATGTATGTGACAACAACTGTTCTCCATATCTTCTTACACTGCTTTCAAAAACTACTTACCATGTCCCAAAGGAAATTAGTGATCCAGTAAACAAGGGGGCTCACACCACTGACAAACTGAAGGTGCTTGGCTTTTGTCACCTGTTCTTGTATCAGGTATAAAACAAAGCTTGCTGGGATGAAAGACATGGCAAAAATCACACAGATAGAAACAACGGCATCTACCGAAGTGGTCAGCCTGCGATGAGAAAAATGGAGGGACAGCCAGTAAACAAGGACTGAAAGCAACACAAGTCACTAAGAGGAGTCTCTGCAGCGCTCAGTTAGGCTGAAATGAGACATGACTAGAAACACATGGCTTCCACCAAAAACAGTAGGTCCATGTCTCCTCATTTAGTTTTGTAGATATAGGCAACATTGTGCCCTTCACTTGTTTTAGACTACAACTCTCACAATCCTGAGAGAGGCTTTGCTGATGAGGCTTATAGGAGTTGTTGAAACCCCATACCTTTGGAAGACACTACCATGTTTTTAGTGGGATAGGAACATACCATGACCGTGCTGTCAGTTCCCTGCTTTACTTCATTGGTTGTCCCTTGTGGGAACAGATGAACACACAGTGTGGGGACATCACAGGGCATATTCTGCAGAATTATGGATTACTAGGGAAAGGAGGCGGCACGAGGTTGCTATTTGTCCAGGTGGCCAGAGAGACCTTCATCCATGGATCATTGAAATGCAGCCCTAGGTCAGCAGGTGGCAGGAACCAACCTGGCAGAGCACTGGGAGGGCAAGGGAAGAGCGGCAGAGTGGTGGCACTCCAGTTGTGGCTACTTGTGGACACACTGGCCTATTTCCCCAGAGGTCTTCTGCCCTGGGTGGCAGCTTGGGGCAGTGGCCAAAGGTAACGGCCAAAGGGCACTGCCCATTGGTACTCATTTAATGTCTGGCTGGTGACTGGTTGGGCCTGAGACTCTGGCTGCTGGCTGGCTGGTTTGTAGTTGTAGGCTGCATGATGATAATGAATTGTCTAACTTTAATTCTTGGTATTGCTGTTATTGCTTTAGAAATTTTATAAATTCTGTAAATTGTTGGATTTATTGCTTCATGTAGCTGTTCTGATTCTGTCCTGTTTTGAACTCTTGTATTTTGTTTTACATTGTATTTTTGTAAACTGCCCCGACAGCCTTCTACAACTAAGTGGTGGTATAGAAATTTATGTGGGCAGTATCCAATGGAGCCACAGCACCTATGAAACTGACACCGTACTAGTGTAAGTCACCTTTGTTACAAACAGAAGACGGAATGGAGGATTTTCAATAGGGAGGGAAGGATCAAACACCCTTCCCTATAGACCTGATCAGTTTATCTGACAAACAACCACTATTTTGAGGTGAGAAAGAAAGTTGTCTAGTGCTAAGTACACTTTTTAAAAATGCATGCTTAATAACAAAAGAAAAAAAATGATGCTATAACATCCTTTAAGAGTTCAGGTAAAATGTACTTATTTCACTAAACTGCTATTTATCTCTGGTGATGCAGAATAAACAATTGCTCCCCCCACCCATATTTGGAGGCCATCTTTCTTTTCTGTTCGCTCCTTACCTATGGCTAAATGCAAAAATAGGTTTACTGCTCAGAGAAACTAAAGAGTAGCTTTCTTTTGCACTACTCTTAAGCAAAAGCATCTACAAGCACATTCCCTCTGTCTGAGCCATGGTGCCCAGGTCAGCAAGAAGGAGAGAAAAAAATTGAACAGCAAGCTTCTATTGCTTACACAGTGACTTCAGACAGCTGCTCTTTAGTGAGGTTCAGTGGATAGTTGATAGCAGTTATACCATATTCCTCAGAGTCTTTGCCTTGCTGCAGGTTGGCTCGTAGCACTGCGTTGTTGGCTATGTTGAGAAAGCTAACCATGGCATGCCAGCCCTTGTTGTTAAACCACACCTGCATGGGTAAGGAGGCATATCAGCAACTTGAATTTGCATATGACGAACAAAGCATCTGCCTCTTGTTTATTTCACCACTTATATTGATTACGTAAGACCCAAAATGCATGCTATGTTAATTGCTTAGCGTGGAACAGACGTTAGTTGCTTATTTACTCTAGTGTAAGTATACATGGACACAGTTTGGATTGGCTCAAGCACAAACAGGATTGAAGGATGAAAGCTTTCCCTGTTTTGTCCCCAGAGTCCCTCTTCCTACCACAGGAGATTAAGAAATGAAAAAATGTGTGAAGTGATAGTCTGGCTCTGAAATATGCCTAAAGTCAGTTGCTTTGCTGGGATAGTATTTCTGCTACCATGACATAAATGATCCTCCACATTGAATTAATTAAAACTCTCCTTTTGCTCTTCCCTCTAAAAAAAGAGCCTCCCCTGTTTATGTATCCAAAGCATCTTAGTTGCTGGGTTTTTAAAAAGTTGATAGTAATATAATTAAAACAATTGTTCCCTTTTGTGTGGGTTATGATTTTTCCTATCCTTCCATGTGTCTTTATGTTTTGCAGGATTTTATCCTGCTTTGGAACATAAAAATAAACTTAAATGTTTAAAATACCTTAATGTTGTCTTCAGTTTCCATATATTTAAGAAAATTTGACATTTCCTTAGAGGCAGCCAGTGTTGCTTCACCCTAAATAGCAGAAAGCAAGCACTAAATTGCTCAGTACATGTATTTCAGTGCTATAGAGCTCCTTGAAAAAGGACACAGGGGAAACGGACACAGAACAATCCTTACTTACCCCTGTTATATTCATCATTTGACCAAGGTCTCTCAGAAAATCAACAATTTGCTCTCCAGTCACATGAAGGACTGGGAGTTTTCCTCCAATGGAAATGCCTCCATATCTAAAGACAAGAGCATATGACCATCAAATGGTTTCAGGGAACCTATCCCTCTCTCAATAGATGTTCAGCATATGAAAAGATCCTGTATTGGGATTGATAACTAGAAGGCACTGTAAAAGAGGTAAGTGTGACCTGTTCTTAATGTCCTGCAGAGGTCTTCCATGTAGCTACAGATACTGCTAGGCTTAATTGTTGTGAAAAACCTGTAGGGCCTCAGTTAAGGTATGAGATCAGCAGCTACCAGACTCCATGTATACCTCAACTTATTCTTGAGGTAAGGAGGCTCACCCAGCCTTAGGATGAAGTTAATTGGCATAACTGGGCCTTTTTCCCTTCTCCAACCACACACATGCTCTTTGTCTACCAGGAACAGGGGGTAGTTTATGTATACTGAGATCCTCTGAAATAGAGGGAGAGAGGAACTGTATGCACTCCATGGCAAGGGACATTGTTCTTTGGCTTTCTACTTCAATTCAAGAGCATGCAATACATTCAAGTAACCAGTGCCCCAGGGGCAAGGAGCAACAAGCTCACCTGTAACTGTGGTTCTTTCAGTGGTCATCTGTGCATTCGTACCTATGGTCTATGTGCCTGAGTGGAGCCTTGTTTTGGGAACCTTCTATAGTTGAGGAATTTTGACAGAAAACCTGCCCTACATACCATCTGAGTGTGCATGTCCTTAGTGGGTTCCTACTCATTCTCTTGGCCTCTTCGAGGCTCCTGTATGGGGCCTTGATACCAAGGGAATGGAATCATTCACTGCAGCACAGAACTATACATCAGTACCAACAACACACTGATATCAATATATAATAAATTAAGAATGGCACCAGAGCAGGTATAGTGGTGTGGGCATGTGTGCACAGATGACCACTTGAAGAACCACAGTTACAGATAAGCAACTTGTTCTTTGTTGTAGTCTCTTTGCATCCCACCTATGGACAAGTAAAAAGCTGTTGTACCCAGAAGAGGGTTAGTGCCCATGGAACTATTCTAAGATGGTGGATAGTACTGTGCTTTCAAAAGAGCAATCAGACATCACTTGAATGCCCAGTTTATAGTGTGGTACTGTTAGCAGGTAGATGCCTTCACCCATGTCACTGCCTGGAAAATGTCTAGTCATGGGGACCCCCTTCAAATAAAAGCTACTGAAGACACCACTGCTCTTGTCAAATGGGCATGCAATGGGACATGGAGCTCAAGCCCAGACTGGTGGTAGGTCAAGCATATGGCTTCAGCCACCCAGGAGGCAAACACTATGAGGAGATAGGAAAGCCCTTCTTTTTCCATTGCAAAGACCCTTGACAACTGTCAGAATGGGTCAGTCCACAATTTGTAGAATTCCATTGCCCTCCAAACGTCAGCTGGGTGGCATGCCAATTCCAAAGCAGATGTTGGAGATGGAAAAAACTGGAAATGCAATGCTCTAATTGATATGGAACCATCTCTGGAAGTCAATATCAGGTCGAAGAATTTTATCCTGATGAAAAATCATGAAAGGGACATCAGATCTCAGGACACAAAGTACACTAGTTTGCTGAGTTGATGTTATTGCTACAAGAAATGCCATCTTCCAAGTTTAATAGGGTCCATGGTCAGCAAGGGTTTGTACAGTTTCATCATTGCCAAGAACACAATTGCGAGACTGTGCTGTGATATGAGTGGCTTCACAGAAGGTACTAAGTTTCTAACTCCTCTAAGAAATTGCTTTATCAACGGGGCAGAAAAGATTAAGAGCCAGACTATTTTCCCCCATTAGCAGCTAGAGAGGTATATAAGAATGAATGCTTCAAACCTCCTTAAGAAACTAGAAGATTTGGGAAACTGAACATGCAGCAGGATCAAACGCATGAGCAGATCTAAAAACTGAGAATCTCTTCCACTTACAAGCAAAATGAAACCTTAGTATCTGGTTTACATGCTGCTTCTAAAACACTTGCATGCACTGTGGCATGTCAGCCATGTCACAATTCAAAAGAGTCTCCAAGCTGTGGATCTGAGCTTCTCCATATTTGGAAAACCAAGGCTCCCTCAACTCTGAGTGAGCCGGAGAAGCTGTCTTGGCAGATGAATGTAGTTGAGTTGGGCCCAACAAAAGAACAGGATGAGTCAAAGTTGCCAAGACCTTCCTGATTTTTACCACTCTCATCAGTAGTGGAAATGGTGGAAACAGGTAGAACAGACTCTGTTTCCTCTTGAACAGGAACTCACACCCACTCTGGTACAGTACTGTCATCAAACCTTGCTGCTTAACACTATGAAAAGTGTTAAAGTAATCCTATGGATAGTATAGCGAGAAACCTTCAGATTGAGTTCCCAGTCATGAGAAGTATAAGTGGTTCCACTGAGATATTGTCCAATCCTGTGATATGAATGGCCTATGAACAACTATGTTGTAAGCCGCCCCGAGGCTTCGGCGAATGGGGCGGCATAAAAATGTTTTAATAAATAAATAAATAAATAAATAAACTCCTACAGAATAAGAGTGAGCTTGAGGAGCTTGAATGAGCATATTCTTCTTTGCTTGCTCAAATAATGAGCTCCTGTTGTACTGTCTTTCACTACCTGAATGTGTTGACACCAAAGGTCACATTCAGATACAAGGAGAGATTTCTGTACTGCAAGAAGCTCCAGACAACTGATGTAGCTCTATGCTTCCACAGAATTCCAGACGCCTTACATCTTCAGTAGGCTGCAATGGGCACCCCAGCTAATCTGGAAACCAATCTGTCATCAGTACTTAGGAGGGGGTCCCTTTCTAGAATGGCATCCATGCCTTGAAGAATATGGGGTCCAGCAGTGAAGTGAGGGCCTTGCACAGAATTTGAAACATGATCAGGTAAGCATTCTGTTTGTGATGGAACTCATGAAAATACTGATATTTCAGTATGCAAAAAGGAGTATAGCAATCACTGCTGGTATTAGTCTTAGAAACTTTTGAATCATAAATGCTGTCACTGCACCCTCAGCACATCTCTTCCATGATAGGATCAGGATGCCTGTCTTTTGGTCGATAAGCACAGCCAGAAACTGCATCCAGTGTTTATTGTGGCTGAAGTCTCCTTTGCTGAAGGCACAAATGGTACCAAATGTAATTTAGTAGTCACACCATGCTTCTTGTCTTCCTTCATTTTCTTTTGTTTTGCTTGATCCAGAGATGTGGATGACTTCATTTCTGTTGCTTTGTAGGACTGTACATTTTTAGTGTGTTTCATCACTGCAGAGAAAGCCAAGGAGCTGCTTGGAGTTGGTGGCTCCACCTGTAACATGTTTGGAGTAGGCAAAGAAGGATAGTTTAATTTATACTGGCTGGTTGTACAGATTGTGGAGTTGGTGATGGTGCTCTGAACATTGTAGATCTATTGTAGGACATCTACTGGTTACCTGAAGGAGCACTTACATCCATATACGCCCGCCCGCCCCTTGAGATCTGCGGGAGAGGCCCTTCTCCGGGAACCCTCCGTGAAAGAAATTAGGAGGGTAGGTACTCGGAGGAGGGCTTTCTCTGCGGTGGCGCCCAATCTATGGAATGCGCTCCGCAGAGAGGTCCGCCTGGCACCGTCGTTATTTGCTTTTCAGCACCAGGCGAAGACCTTTTTATTTAAACGTCATTTTAATTGTTAATATTATTTGCTTATTTTATCTGGCCAGGGCGGCTTATTTTATATTGTTAATTTGTTTTATATTTTGAATGTATTATATTTTAATTTTATGTTGTGAGCTGCCCCGAGGCTTCGGCGAATGGGGCGGCATAGAAATGTTTTAAATAAATAAATAAAATAAATAAACACCTTATTCCACAGTAGTGCTCAAAGTTGGCCTGTTCTGTTATTTCTCACCTGCTTTGTGAATGCCTGCCAGTGCAGGCAAACATCTTCTAAAGGACCTAGGTAAAGCAGGAAGGCCAAGTTGCCTGTTTCCTGGTGGGAGCTTTGCACCACCTGAAATACTTTCCAAAGGGATTCCTCAGACCATATGCCCTAAGCAAGGTGCACATGACTACTGAAAAATGTAAACTATTGAACAATAGGAAAAGGTAAAAGAAAGACAACAAGTTAAAAAAAGAGAGAGACAGAGAGAGAAAGAAGTAATCTCAATCTGCTTTGAAAAACTGACAGCAAAGACAGAAAGATTCTCTCACAAATCAACCACAATAAGCAGTTCAAGAAAGACTGAGGTAATGAATGGGAACCCACTACAGAGGACAGTGTGGGGATGTTCTTGTCAAAATTCCTCAGCTTTATAAGTTTTCCAAAGCAAGACTCTATGCAGGCACAGAACCCATAGCTGGGATGCACTGAGACAATGAAAAGAAGCCCTGCTAACTAAAGGGACATTGGGAAGCTTTCCTTTTGCTTGTTCACTGGTGATCTGTATCCATATTTCAGCCTTGTAATCTATAAGCTAAATATCATATTTGATACCAGTGGTTTTGTTTCTTCCCAAGATTCCCAGTTTGTATCTGAAAATGAGGTTTGCTGGATTAGGCCCCTATAATTAGAACATTTCTTAAAAAGTAAATGTGTTCCTTTTACACAAAGGAAGTAGACATCTCTCTGAATATATTAATTTCTTCAATGTTGACAGTGGGGACATTTAAATTAAACACAGTAAATACTGTCTCCAAATTAGCTATCATTCCTCCATACCAATATAATTCAGACACAACAGTATTTGACAGCTATATCATTGACTGACTGATTTACAGGATCTATTTTCTGCTCTATGTTAAACAAGCTTCCTGAACAATAAAAGCAGTGAATAATAAAAGAAAGAAAATGAATCAAAATACAGAATTAAAGTATTTTACATCATATTTTGTCAATAAAACCATGGTTGATCGATCAGTGAAGGCTGTTTAAATAAAAACACTATCAGAAAGCAGACAGTTCCATAGAGAGGGGGCTAAATATTACACTGAAGGCTGTCTTTGGAGTGGAGTCCAATTGAACTTCAGGTCCATGTGGAACTATCAGGAACATGTCACCTATGTTGTCATTCCTTTTAAAGTAAATCATTCATCTCCAAAAAATTTCTTACCTCTGCTCATTTACCCAGTATTTACTCTTCAAACTGCAAAACAAAATGAAAATATTAAAAATAAAGTATTATTTAACATTCTGCACTATTTCAGGTTCTTTCAGAAACAAAGTTATAACTGGCACAGTTAAACCATTTGGGGATTTTGTGGCTATTTTGGTTCTGTTGAAGAATCAGGCACAAATGTACAGTATAAGCACCATTCAGGTAACCACTAAAATCATGGAGGAGGGTGGGGTTTGGAATTGCAGCCTCTAGCCCTGTTTCCTCATTCATTTACATTGGCCCTCTAACCACAAGGGGTCCTACCTGGTCCTTCAGAGGTCCCTGCATGGTCATGCTTGCTTCCATTGGCCCCATGGTTTTCCAGCTTTTCTGAAGGTTTTCCCCATTCTAAAAGGTTGAAATTCTTCTCCTAAGGCATGGGTCCTCAAACTATGGCCCGGGGGCTGGATCCGGCCCGCCATGCCCATTTGGACCCAAGCGAGGTGAGGCAGCGGTTTGCTCACTCGGAGAAAATGATCTCCAAACAAGCAAGCCGCTGCCTTGTGCACCCACCTCGTGGCGTGTGCCTGCCCTCGCCTCACTGCGCACCCCGCCCCAGCGTGCACCTGCACGCGCCGCCCCCACCCCCATGCCGGCCTGTGCACACTGCTGGCACCACCTTTCCGGCCCATGCCCAGTACCGGCACCTTTCAACTGGCCCCCAGGTGAAAAAGTTTGAGGACCCCTGTCCTAAGGCTTAGTTACTGGCAGTAAAAAACAAAGGAACAAATAACCTCCCCGCCACCCCAGCTAAATATGCTGCTTTAGTGTTATTCTGTTCTCTGTGTCCTTTTGCATTCAGGCCACTCACCACTGGAATGCAGCCCAAAATCAGATTTGACCACTGGGCTGGAAGAAATTCAATGCTTCCGTTGTCCAGGGCATGGAGCACATTGAGGACCTATGTATACACATCTGTTTCATGTTTTGCTTTTGTGCAAATATGCATAATGAAGTCTTGCTAGTTTTGTCTTAAATGAAAAAAGCAGGTTGCTTACCTGTAACTGATGTTCTTCGAGTGGCCATCTGTACAGTCACACATATGGGTGCTGTGCCTACGCAGTGCCTTTGGCCAGAGATTACAAGCTAACAATTTTTTTGGTGGGAAAGGTCCGCTCCCCCTCCCCCACAGCCTATAAAGAGCGGAGCGTCCACCATTTTGTTCAGTCTTTGATGACCAGACGGACACCCCCATGTGGAAAAAATTAGTTCTACCGTGAGCAGTATCGGTACTAAGAAAAACAATGAACAATATCGGTACCAAGAAATAATGATAACATTCGGTACCAACTAAAGGTCCACTCACCGACACCGAGCGGGACCGGTGGGTGGGTTGTGTGACTGCACAGATGGCCACTCGAAGAACATCAGTTACAGGTAAGCAACCTGCTTTTCTTCAGCGTGGCCTCTGTGCATCACACATATGGGTAGATTAACAAGCTTACCATAATGGAGGAGGGGAGGTGTCCTCAGCGAAGAACAGATGAAAGAACGGCTCTGCCGAAGGAACAATCCTGCCGAGCACGGACGTCTAAGTGGTAATGCTTGGCGAAACTGCAAGGATTCACCCAAGTAGCAGCTCTACATACACCGTCAATCGGTATTCCCGATGCGAAGGCAGATGAGGCAGCCACAGCCCTAGTCGAATGGCCTCGAGGGGCTGTGGGTAAGTCGATGTTAGCCAGTTGGTAAGACAAAGTGATAGTATGAACTATCCTCTTAGAAAGTCTCTGTGGAATGACAGGGGTGCCTTGGTCCCTGGTAGCATATTTAACGAAAAGTCTATGTGAATGTCGAATAGATTCCGTTCTGGATCTGTAGAAGGCTAAACAGCACCGAACGTCAAGTGAATGTAATGACCTTTCTAATGGAGTAGACGGAGCCGGAAAAAAGGCAGGTAAAATAATATCTTGTCCTATATGAAAGGGTGTGGACACCTTAGGCAGAAAAGATGGATCGAGCCGCAGGACAACCTTTTCTCTATGAAAATTGAGATAAGGTGGGTCTACGTGTAGAGCGCAGAGCTCACTGGCCCTCTGGGCTGAGGTAACCGCAACTAAGAATGCTGTTTTCCACGAGACAAGACGTAAATTGATTGTTGCCAACGGTTCGAAAGGAGCTCTTGTAAGTGCTTGCAGAACAACAGAGAGACTCCAGGTGGGCATTATTGGTCTGATTGACGGGTTCAGATTAAAGTCCCTTCAGAAACCTTTTAATAGTAGGTTGAGAGAAAATGGACGAGCCGTCCACCATACCACGATGATAGGCGATCGCCGCCATATACACTTTAATCGAAGATGGTTTCAGTCCAGAATGGTGTAGTTCTAAGAGGAACTGAAGAATCTGATGTATCGATGATGTAAATGGAGAGAATGAACGAGAGTTGGCAAAGGTGGAGAAACGCTTCCATTTAGCTGCGTAAGACTTCCGTGTAGAAGGCTTTAAAGCGGAGTCCAATATGTATTGAATGTCTGGATGAAAGGTTGTCGGATTCGATGGCACAATAGTCGGGTCCGACAGTGCTGGAGCAGCGCTGCCTCCAGCGGATTCGAAGGTTGCAACTGTAGTGGATTCAAGGTAGGATTCGAACCACCTGAAGTAGTCGTCGGTGTAGACATAACAAGTCAGTAGCAGATTCGAAGGTAGGATTTGAACCACTTGAAGTAGTCGTTGGTATAGACGTAACGAAGTCAGCTATCGGATTCGCCATGCTGTTAGTTTCAACGATAATATATCTGGGTGGCAAAGTGCACTGTCCTGCTGGGTTATCAGGTACGGGAGCGGTGGAAGATGAAGGTATTCCCCATGAGAAATGTCCAGCAGTGTGGGAAACCAAGGTTGGCGTGGCCACCAAGGAGTAATTAGTATCCCTGGGGCCCAATCGCAAACAATCTTCGCTATGACTCTCATCACCAGAGGAATCGGTGGGAAGGTGTAGAAATTCTGGTTGTTCCATGGAATCATGAAGGCATCCGCTAGGGATTCGTACCCGATTCCCGCTCTCAAACAGAAAGTCACACACAACTTGTTCTGTTGGGTGGTGAAGATGTCCACGTCGGGAAACCCCCAGCGAAGAAAAAGGTCCTCGCGTGTCTGGGGGTCCAGTTCCCATTCGTGAGAGATGAGCATGCGCCTGCTGAGAAGGTCTGCTTCCACGTTGTCCTTACCGGCCAGATGGACTGCTATTATCGTAATGTCTCTCAAAATGCACCAGTCCCAGATCTGCATAGAAAGTCTGGCCAGGGTCGGAGACTTCGTCCCACCTTGCTTGTTCAAATAAAAAACGGTGGCTATGTTGTCCGATGTTATCTGAACAACCCGATGTTGAAGAACATCTTCGAAAGAGCGTAGGGCTTTGAATATGGCCAACAATTCCAGGAAGTTGATATGATTCGTGGATTCCTGATGAGTCCACGTGCCCTGAGTATACAGGCTGGAGCATACTGCTCCCCAACCCAGAAGAGACGCGTCGGTACCGACTGTTATCGATGGGCCTTGGGGCCTGAAGGGGACCCCAGCAGTCAGATTGTCCGGGACCGACCACCATAGTAGGGAATGGAGTATTGAGGATGGGACTCGAAGCAGTTTCGATGGTGGATCTCTCTGTGGGTGGAACGCTTTGTTGAAAAACAGCTGCAAAGGACGGAGTCGCAGTCTGGTGTGTAGCACCACCGCAACGGCGGAAGCCATATGTCCTAGAAGCCTCTGGATGGACTTCGCCGGAACCAATCTGTCTCGTTGCATTCGATGAACATGGCGAGCAAGAGTCAGTTGTCTGTCCCGAGGGAGGAACGCCTTTTCCAACGTCAAATCCAAGTGGGCTCCAATCAACATAAGCTTCTGTACTGGAAGGAGAGAAGATTTCTCAGTATTAATGCAAAGGCCCAGGTCGTCCAATAAGGCACTGGTAGTACGGATAGAAATAAGAAGTGCTTCCCTGGACCTGGAGACTAGGAGCCAGTCATCAAGGTAAGGGTAAACTTGTATGCCCTGGAGGCATAGGTAAGCGCACACACAGGGGCCATGCATTTAGTAAACACTCTCAGAGCGGTGGCCAAACTGAAGGGTAGAACCATGAATTTGTAGAAATTGGAGGCAACAGCAAAGCAAAGGAAATGCCTATATTTGGGATGGATTGCAATATGGAAATAGGCATCCTTCAAGTGCAATGAGGCGAACCAATCCTCTTTCCTAAGCAGCGGCAATATATTTTGGAGGGTGGTCATTCAAAACTTCCTCGTCATGATGAATCGATTCAGACTACGTAAGTCTAAAATCGGACGTAGGCCACCATCCCGTTTGGGAACTGTAAAATATCTAGAATAGAATCCGTGAAGGCCGTCATATTGAGTTACTTGACGAATCACTCCTTTACGAAGAAGTTGTTGTATTTCATCGAGCAGTACTGGCGAGCAAGATGTAAACCAGATCAGACTTGATGGAGGAACGGTATTGAATTCTATCCTATAGTCATGCTGTATGATAGACAATACCCACCGATCAGATGTGATGGACTCCCAAATGGGGAGTCGGCTTCACAGCTGGTCCCTAGATGAGAGGGGGGTGGGTATAGGATAGGGTAGAGGAATGGTTCGCCAGTCCCGTCAATGCTGCCTCCTGTCGTCATATCGTCGGCGGCCCTGTTGGTAGCGTTGTTGGGGCTGTTGTCGGCAACGTTGCTGTTGTTGTTGCTGCCTGTGCTGAGGCTGTTGCCTGGAATGGTAAGGCTGTCTGTAGGGCGGACGGGTCCATGCCCACTTATGCCTCGGTTGCAACTGGAGCTCCATCCATCGGGCCGTCATGCGGGACTCATGAAGTTTTTTGAGTTTATGATCCGTCTTCGAATGGAAAAGTCTGGACCCATCAAAGGGCATTTTCTCGATATGCCGCTTGGTCTCTTCGGGGAGTTGGTGCTCCTCAGCCACGCATGCCTACGAAGAGAGACGGCACTGACCAAGGCCCTTGAGTTGGTGTCCACATGGTGCCTGGCTGTGGACAACTGTTGGACTGCGACGTGCATCGACTCCTTGATTAGCACTTTGGCCAAGTCGCTTTGTTGGTCTGGGAGGGCCGAGATGACGTTGTGGAGGCATTGCATTATAAAATACTGGTATCTCACCAACGTCGCCTCATAGTTCGAGATACGCAGCCCCAAGCCTGAAGCTGCGTAGACCCTCCTGGCCAGGGAGTCCGCAATGTTGGTTGAGGGTGAGAGGGCAAGTCCCAGGGCTGCGTCATCACCTGCCGGAGGGTGGTGATCAGGGGCAGGACGATGGAGGTGGACTGCTCCCCATGGACGACATCATAAAATTTATCTGTTGACAGTCCTGGGTGCTGGACGGCATCGATATCTAGGGACTGGATGAGCCTGGACATCAGCTCCGCGAAAGAGACGTGGGACTCGTCCGGTGACGCAGGGCCCTGGGAGGTCACCGCGACGTCGGGAGAGGTGGAATCGATGTCTGAGTTGTTGGAGTCCGCGCCATAATACAGAGGGGCCGAAGAAGAGGACTCCACTGGCGAGACGGACCGGCTGCTTTCCTCCCGGGGAACCAGGGATGTGCGCCTCGGATCCAGTGGCAGTGGGCGATTGCGAGAGTGTGGTGGGAACTGATCCCTCGGCACGGGATAGTACCCGGTCGAGTATGGCTCACCCCAGGATGGATAGTAGGAGCGACGCCAGTCCTCAGATCGCTGCTCCCTGGAGCGACTCCGGCAGGCCCTGGGTGGGGATCTGACCACATCCACCTCCATTGTGGCCATGGGCATAGGCGTGGGTGACCTAGCCCTAGGGGGAGAGTCTTGAATTTCCCCATCAGAGATCGACCCCCGCTGAAGAGGTGGAAGCGGCTCGGTAGGGAGGTCGGCCACACGATGAGGAGACCCTTGAGGGGTGACCCTCATGGCTGTCTGGAGTACCGGCTTGGGTGGGGTTGGTATGGTGGTTGCCACCGGTACCGACACTGCCATCGAACCCGAGTCGTGGTGTCGTGGCCGCTCCGGATCCCTCGACTTCTGGGTCGGTTTAGGAGGCTTCTCTTTCCTGGCCTTCTTAGCTGATTTATCAGCATCAGCATGCTTGCGCTTCTCGCATTTCTTTTTGGGAGAAGTGGGTGGGGCCCTCAAGGTAGAGGCACCTTCGTCCAATGGGCGTGAGGGGGGACCACCGTAGCCGGGCCAGGCTTCGGAGCGGCGACGAGTGGGTCGGATTGCATAAGAGCCCGATCCCACAGGAGCCTCCGGAGGTGGTTCTCCGATTTTTCCTGGCCTGCTTAGAGAAGGCCAGGCAGTGGGAGCACTTGTCAGTCCTATGCCCCTCCCCCAAGCAGAGGAGGCATAGGTCGTGTGGGTCAGATGGAGACATCTTCGACCCGCATTCCGCGCATTTGCGGAAAGCCACTAGCTGCACCATCACAAGAAGAGGAAAAAAGAAGACAGTGCAGAGGGTAAGAATATATTTTTGGTTTTTTTTTATAGAAGAAGGTAAAACGGTAGAACGATAGAACTACAGAAGTAACAAGAACTAACAAGAACTATAGAGATAACAAGAACTAACAGGGATATAAAACTGGGAGTTTAACAAAGAAGAGGAAAATAGGCTACGAGTAACGATCAGAGTGATAAGTCGAAAGCAGCACGAGGCACAGTGAACGGCAGTCGCAAAGACTGAACAAAATGGCAGACGCTCCGCTCTTTATAGGCTGTGGGGGAGGGGGAGTGGACCTTTCCCGCCAAAAAAAAGTTTGCTTGTAATCTCCGGCCAAAGGCACTGCGCAGGCGCAGCACCCATATGTGTGATGCACAGAGGCCACGAGGAAGAAGTAACAGTTTCCTAATTCTGTTTGCAATCCCAAAAACAAGTAAGAGTGATTTTTCCCAAGAAATGTTGCAAAGTTTTGAATTTGTAGCTGTTTGAAAAATGCACATTTTAAATGCATACTTTTTCCTCTGAATGAGATGAGTAATAGGTAAAAAATGAAAATGGTAATAAAATAAGTGAAATTTGAAGTAATTTTCAGAGAATATAGGTAAGTGTGAAAATCCTTAATTCTTCCTTATCCTTATTTGGTGATTAGAACTTTTAGGGCCATTTCAAGGTTTTGTTCAGCATGTCAGTTTCTGCAGGCTGCCACAGATCAGCAGAAAATCCTAGGGTTTGAAAATATATACATGGAACATTCCCAACCAACCTGCTTCTAATGAGAGTGGGATATGTTTTCACTAGGAAATCAGAAATATTTCGATGAGTGAGATCCTGAAGAATTTCTGTGCTACGCTGAACTCTCTGAAAAGAAAAACAAACAGTCACTAACAATCGTGGCTATAATTTGGCAGTTAAGAATGGCAGGGGCAGGGAGAGGCCACGCAGTCAAGTTTTTTAAAAAGATTTTATTTAAACAAGTAGTAGCTACTCTGCTGAAACCAGAGAACTGCCCTACCTTTTCTTAGGAGTTTCAAGAGAAACAGCTGACCTCCCCTCTCCCCTTGATCTCAAATCACACAAAATAACAGGAATTGCCACCATAAGCCAAGACAGTTTCGCTGAAGGCTGCAAAAAGATGTATAAGCTTTGGTAGGCCTCACCCTAAAAATGAATGCAAGTGAAACTCAAAACCTTAGCAATCAGTCTCTCTTGGCTAGGAGCTAGCCTACACAAACACACATGTGCATACTAACTGTTATGTCCAAAATCTACCAATTGGGAATAGACCCAATAGACGGTAAAAAAAGGCAGAGGACAAATCTTCATGCAGTATAAAAATATAACCACAGAGAGGCAGCATTGCCCACCTATAGGAGAAAGACAGCTTTGCACATGAGAATTTCTTTGAAGTGATACATTATTATAGGCTACAAATCTGGGCCCCAGTTTTCTCTTTATTTTATTTTTTAAGAGAGAGATAATGAAATCTTAATGCCCAGAATGGCAAGCATTCTAAATAATCCCATAAATGACTGTGAGCATTCACAAATGAATCTCTCTTACAGGACAGTTAAGCATTAATAGTCACCTTATTTTTTAAAATGCACAATATGCTTTACAAGTCCTTATTTATCTTCTCAACAACAATGCAAAGTCAGATACTTTTATTCCAGTAAAGGATGGAAAAAAAGCTAGTGATACATATACCCTCCTGCCCCTTGAGATTGGTAGCAGGGGCTCTCCTCTTGGAGCCTTCTGTAAGAGATATCAGGAAGCAAAGTACCAAGAGGAGGGCCTTCTCTGCGGTGGCACCCCATCTGTGGAATGTGCTCCCCAGAGAGGTCCACCTTGCGCTGTGGTTATTTGTTTTTCGGCGCCAGGCCAAGACCTTTTTATTCAAACAGTATTTTAATAATCTTTAATATTTATAGTTTTAATTATGCAGCCAGTGTGTTTCTAAGTTTTAATTGTAATTGTAGTTCTATTTATTTGTTGTTGTGAGTCGTCCCAAGGCTGTGCAGCAACAGGGACGGCATATAAAAACTTTAAATAAATAAATAAATAAATAAATAAATAAATAAATAATATCCTGAAGGCTGCCTGGGTTGTACATAAGAACTGCATGGCATATGACCTCCCAGGTCTGTATTGCATTTCCCCAATACACTGGATCAAATTCCTTAAAAAAACCCACAAAATGTTCAGAATTTCAGTTACATTCCCACAGAGACTGTGGCAAATCTCCAGTAAACTTATTTATATTTTAGCAAAAGAAGCAGCAAAGAAAATATATTTCTCCCTTCATTAAATAGCAAGGTGTTCCATGCTATGTTTTGAAGGCAGAGTCATAATAGAAACATTAAAAGCCCAGCCCAGGCCTAACACCACACTAACTTGGCCATTTATTAAACCAGAAGTTTCTACAATTCTGTATTTAAAAGCAGGGATGGGAAATACATGGTTCACAGTCTGCAGAGATTTGTAAACTGCTGTCATTTCCAATCCGTGATTGGAGGGAAAAGCAGGAATTCCAGTAAAGCATACAAGGAAACTTCTGCAGTTCCCTCCAATCATGCATTCCATAACAACAGGAATGAAAGCACTAGCTGAGTCCATTCATGCACCACCCTTATGGGGACAAGGTGAAGGTGAGGACTTGGCTGGTGCTGAAAAATGCAGCTGTTCATCCCAGTGCTGTCTGAGTTACTTTCTGCACGCTGAGAGAAGCACAGAACTCAGTCCCTCTTTCAGCAAGAATGAAGACAAAAACATGGAGATGTCAGTGTTGGCCATGACTATGCCACTTGAGGTCATCTGGCCCATGGCAATGACACCCTCCAACTGCAACAAATTCCCCAACCCTATTTTAAAGGTTGTGTTATTGACCAGACTACAGATATTAATTAAATCTGTCTCCCTTGGTTAGAAAGCTGTAATTAACAGGTTATGCAGTAGCTTATCAAGCAACTGATGTGTGTGCAGCTGATTAAGGATCAAGGAGGCAAGTGCCTATGCATCACAAGACATACCCCAGGAAATGATCAATAAGGCAGTTACAACAGGGCTAAGAACTAGAATTAAAAGTCTCTTTTGGGTTACATAACATATTTTGATGACTAGAAATAAATATATATAGTTATTATACTGTGCGGTCTTTTTGTCACTACGTGCAATCAAGTTGTTTCTGATTTACAGTGACCCTATGAATGAATGCCCTCCAAAGTGTGCTGTTCTTGACAGTCCTGCTCAGCTCCTACTCCTTTTATGGAGTCCCTCCACTGCATATTTGGTCTTCCTCTTCTTCTTCTGCCTTCAACTTTCCTAGCATAATTGTCTTCTCCAGGGAGTCTCGCCTTCTCATGATGTGTCCAAAGTACAACAGCTTCAGTTTTGACATCTTTGCTCCCAGTATGCTAACTTGCTCTTAGACCTCAGACCTTAGACCTCAGAAACAAATGCAGCTAAGATCCCTTCTAAATTTGTTCCTTATACAGTGAGGGATGGAAGGCCAATCACAAAAATGTTGGGAATGCCCTTCTTTTTTGTTTGCACGAATGTGTACCCTGTGGGTGTCCTCACACCATTGACTTGCAGAACAGCAAGCTAGTTTGACGAACACTTCAGTCTGGTCTTGCAGGTGCAGCAGAGACCCCTGCACTGTGGCCTATATCTTCCTCTGCTTATTTCTCCTTGTTCTTGCACTTGGCACAAGATTCCAAATTCTATATCAAATAACAAGCTGAAATCAGAGTAAACTAAGAACATGATTAAAACTTGTACAACTTTACTGCTTACAAGTGTGACAGTTCGTTTAAAACATCCCCCATATCTTCCTATTTCTGTGCACTTGTGAAGTTAATGGGTTAGTCAGTTTTTTTCATACAATTCAAAGCAACCAAAGAACTTCAAACCCGTGAATTGGAACATTACCTGTGGAGGAGGAAATCCACCAGCTCCCAAAGGACACTCAGGTAGCATAGTGAGTTTCTTCCTAGTGCTGCATTTGCAGGATGGTGATGGGTTGTCAGGTTTCCATGTGTTCATTTGCAAAAGGACAGACACATTATAAGGAACAGCTGGTGTCTCCCAGGGTGTTGATGTATTAATGCACGGGTAGTTCCTACACAGGGATACAGAGCACACATAATCTTTAGCAGTGTAACTACTGGTTATGCTGGATTCCAGAACATTGCTGGACTTCCATTTTTCACTTTCATTCAGTACCATTATAGTACAGTACCAGCCCCTCCCAAATGTAGCTCAAACAAAATGAATGAGCTCCACTTCTCAGCTAGGCTCTTGTCCACACTTACAGATGGAAAAAGAACTCAAGATGTACATACACTACACACTTACACTAGTTTCACACTTGTTTATTTGCTTAGGATCTTTCCAGATGGAAGGCTCCTAGTGCTATCAATCAAAAAGTACTGCACATTCAACCCATCTTTTCTTAACAGAAATGGTGGGAAAATGTAGAAAGGTTACAAATTGCCAATGATAAATGAGGCAGTGCAATCGCATAGTAAAAGCTTCAGCTAGAAGCATCTCAGATGGAACCAATGGAATCACTTACCTAAGGAGATGTGGGCTCTCCCACACTAGAGGCATTCAGGATGCAGCTGAACAGCCATCTGAGAGCAGGTTTAACTGGGAGTCCTGTACTGAGCAGGGAGTTGGACTCTGTGGCCCCTTCCAACTCTAGTAGGATTCTATAATTCTCTTGATGGATCACAGGATCTATAACTGGTGAGAGCCTTGATGCTCCTTAGCCCCCTTTCAACAGAATTGCAGTTTGTTGACTTCTACAGACTTACCATTAAAACAGACTGGGGCATGTTCTAGACTAAAATGTAAAGGATTCCCACAGAGCTTAACTATATGTATGTTACATACATTACAACAGCAGTACAACTGGTCAGTGTTTAAGATCTCAAACTCCAAGAATTCTACAATTGAGCACTCCCTCTCTTTTTTAATTGTATCCTGTCCCCTTAGCTTGGTAAGTTCTAGGATACTAGCTGTGAAGGTTATATGTGACTTTCAGCATCAGATGCACTATGCCTATGTACACCAGTTGCTGAGGAAGATGGGAGGGAGAGTCCTGTTACACTTATGTTTTGTTTCTGGGTTTCCCACATGTCCTACAGGTGGTTGGCAACTGTGTGAACACAATGCTGGGCTAGATGGACCTTGACCTGATCCAGCACTGCTCTGCTTATTTTCTTATTATATCTTTTCTTTAAGCTTCTATCAGCTCTCCAGCTTCTCTAAAATCAAAGTTTCTACCCAGCATTCAAGTGGATAGTCTCTCTGAGGTTACCACCCTCCTGCATCTTCCTTATGGTTTAGAGCCAAGACAAATAAAATTAAAATGAACTATTTATTCCTCTGGCTCTGCTAGTCATTCCTGCATGAAACACAGGGTAGAACGTGCTGCCACCATTTTTAAAAAATCTGTGGGGACTAGAATTCTTTGTGCTAACAGGGGAGACCACAGCAATTAGAGCTTGGAAGAAAACACAAATGGTAAGTATATTATAGTGAAAATAATAAACAATCTTTATGATATTTTTCAATTACTCTCAAGAAAGGAAGAAAATGTTCCAGGTACAGTGGTACCTTGGCTCACGAACTTAATCCATTCCAGGACTCTGGTCGTGAGCCAAATTGGTCATGAGCCAAGTCAAATTTCCCCATAAAGTTCAATGTAAATAAGGTTAATCTGTTCTGTAATCATTTTTTAAATCAGAAAATATTGAACCAAAGTGACAACAACAAAGATCACGGTCATCTTCTCCCCATACCCCAAGCACATGCCTGGCCATCTCCCTGCCCCCTCAGCACAACCGAGATCGCGCCTGTCATCCCTGCACGTGCCTGTCATCCCTGCAGGCGCCCATCATCCTGGTGCGCTGGGGGGTGGGGGGGGGAGACGGGTGTGATAGTGGGTGCACTGGGGAGGGAGAGATGGGCGCAAACGGTGTGCTGGGGGTGGGGAGATGGCCTCGATCGCAGTTCCGTTCGTGGAGGGAAGGTGTGCCTGATCAGAGGCGCACTCCTTCAGGAAAGACACGCAGAATCTCAGCCACTTCTCCCGCGGCTCTGCTTTGCTGCTCCCGTCTTTCCTGCAGCCGCGCTCCTCTTATCACGGATCTCAGTTGCTTTTGTGCAGGGAAGGCATGGTGATCAGAGGCGTGTGGCTGCAGGAAAGACAGGAGCAGCAAAGCAGAGGCGCGAATCTGCTTGTCTTTAGTGCAGCCGTGCGCCTCTGATCACGGACACCTTCCCTGCACGAAAGCAACTGCGTGGCTGCAAGAGGCACGCGGCTGCATGAATGACAAGTGGATTCTCGGCAATCTGCCCCGTGGCTCTGCTTTGCTGCACCGCCTTTAGTGCAGCAGCACGCCTCTGATCACGGACGCCTTCCCTGCACGAACAGAACTGCGATCGTGGCCATCTCCCCACCGGAGCTGGGCGGGGAGGGGGGGGGGGGGAGACGGCTGCAAACTTGGTTGCCACCCAAAGCAGTGTTTGCAACCCAAGTAAAAAATTTTCAGTAATTTTTGTTCGTGACCCGATTTGTTCATGAGCCAAGGTGTTCGTGAGTTGAGGTACCACTGTGTAAAGTTCAGATTCGGTGACAACTTCGAGTTAATAAATAGATTCTGCCTAGATGGAATAGGCAGGGATAGATTCTGATCTACACAGAATGACAGGGTGAAGTCATTTCCACAAATTACTGGAAAATGGTGTAATGGGAAGTTGTCTGAGCATTTTGAATGTTTTACTACCCTATAATACAAAATATCTGCTGTTATTAAGATATGCTACAACTTCCTTCACTGACCTGGTACCATCTACATGTATGTACTTATTTACTGAAATAATTTTTAGCCAAACAACAAGATGGTCCCTATTCACAGATGCATAACCCAAAAGCTATGATTCACAAGGAAAAGGGAATTAAACAGAACTGCAGAGGTGGGGGAGGAACTGAGTATTTAGCAGGGCTGCTGAACTCTCATCTCCCTTAGTTTAACCTGTTGCAATGGCTGCTGCTGGTGACATCAGAACAAGAAGGAGACTTCATGAGGGAGGCTTTCAGCAGGCCATGCTCTTCCATGCAACACCTTCAGTTCAGCCTCTTGGAATGGCTGCTACTGGGGACAGCTGAAGAGGAAGAGCCTTCATGAGAGAGGTCTTTCTGCAGGCTTAGTGGAATAGCCCTGCCCTTCTTCTAGTCTTCCTTAATAGTCATTGGCTAAAATTCTAGCTGGGTGTGTAAGTGTTGTTATTTTGGTATCTGTTTATAATGATGTGATTCGTTCTTAATATGATTGCATGGTTTTTTCATTAATCCTCACATCAGGGACACAGGATTATGCACTGCAAAAGAAACTCAGGGAGTCTGAAATGCAATGGACGGATGGGGCAATAGATAATCATGTTTACAGACAAAGGGCTCCTTGCACCAGCAACCAAAAGGCTCTGGGCAACAATTCTGAATTTTTTTCCTTAATTAATTGTACATGGTAATAAAAAGGATGGAAGTGGTGGTAGGAAAGCACAGGATGGTTATGAATGGAAGACGGTGGCATTTGGAGCATCATAACGTTCTGTGAATCAGGTGGGGTGATGGCCCTATAAAAGTCTCACCTGGGAAGCACCCTAGAATACTGTTAATAGGATTGGTTCAAGATTTAGCCATTCTTACATCATTGGGTCAAATTAGTCACAATGAACAGATGATTACATTTGAAACCACCACCCCTCACACAGTTTTTCCAATAGCTTGCAGTGTTACGTTGGGAGAGAGGACTTCACCACAGTTTTAACTTGCTAGGAACTACCTGTGATCAAGGCTAGTTCAACTGAAGTACTATTCCTGTTAGCTTGAAGGAGAACAAATTGCAAAAGAGAGAACAGCATGACTTACTGAAGAGGCTCTCTCTTCAAGCAGCGATTCCCAAATCCTGGTTTATTTAAGAAGGCATCAGTAAGAGAAACCGTTTGCTCACTGCCAGGTCTCTCATTGCTAAAGAGGTTGGATGAAATATAGGTGATAAAAAGGAAGTTGACCACAGAAACAATGCAGCTGCAAATGAAAATCCACTGATCACACATATAAAGCACAGGTCACAATCAATGTTAATAATTATGCCTACCTATTATAGAATAAAGAATCAAACTTTAAAAGAATTAAAAGGACATGCGATGGTATTTTCATCCACAACCAAGACACACAGATTGCTAAACATAGTATGAAGTAAACCACAGACACAGAATTCATTAATTCCTTGCTAACAAGCAGATTGTGTTTTCATGTCAGATAGCTAAGCTATTACAGTAGAATTTCCTTTGGTGAACCATGGCAATTCAACCTTTTGTTTATCCAATTATTTACATATTTTGCTCATAGTCTAATACTATAGGTTTGTATTTTTGTATGAATTTTATGCTGTTTTTCCACTCTGCATCTGAGGGTTGGAAAGCATGGGAATTGAGTGTACATGAGCACATATATGTGTGCACACATGAGGCTGTATATGCACACAGGCTTCCTGTTCCATTATAACATGGTATTTCCATATTTGAGAATATAAGAACCTGCCACAAATGATTTTATCCATTTTATCCCACACGTTGGGTATCTTAGCTATTTGGAGAAATATGGATGGATAGAAAAGAAGAATTAGGAAATGGCAAACATGCAACCAAAGTAGAAATCTGAAGCAAAAAATTTTTTAAAAATACTTAGCAGGTATTAATACAAGTCAGGCTCTAGAAAACAGTGCAGTACTAACTAATGTTATTGAACAAACGAGGCATGAGCTAGCCAGAAGGATGATGTGAAATCTAGGGTGGGAGAAGAAACAACTCACACTCTGATCAAATCTGAATGCCGATTCAACAAGGAACTTCCAAATGTAGTCACATGAGTTATTTTAGAATAAAGCAACAAAGAACTAAAGTTTGCTCAGCTACAAGTCACCACAAAAGCTATCTAGGGAAACAAGAAAGGTCTACTCTGACAAAGGAATCCTCTAACCTGAAGAAAGTGAACTGCTGTCCATAGATCCAAGGATGGAGAGTTAAACTGGGGTATTCACCAAATGGAGGGATGATGACTGTAAGTAACAGAGCCAGGAGCACAAAGCTAGCAGGCAGAACAATCTGCAGACAACACAGAAAACATCAGCCACCTGCATTATACATGCTCTGGTTGTGGAGTCTATCTGCCACCCGGGTAACACACAAGCATAATGAACTTGGACAATTGTGCTAGAAACCTAGCTCTCATCATGATTCATATCATATAGCAGAATACCAGAAACAAATGTGCTGCACATTAATCTTCAAGTTTTGTTGTATTTTTTTAAAAATCCTCCCAGGATTACAAGGAAAAACCTAACTGACTGCGTCGGCTAATGGCTCAGAAATCACAGATAATTGGACTCTTATAAACCACGTCTGACAATTGGCCTGGATCAACATCATCTGACAGGAGGTCTCCTGGGTTTCAGGCAGTACTCTTTACCTTGTCCATTTCTACCTGGAGATGCCAGAGACTATACCTGGGACCACCTGAATACAAAACATGTGCTCTGCCAATGAGCTACAGTCCCTCCACACAAATGAGCACTATGAACTTTTAGTGTCCATGGAGAAGGAGCTTATGCATCACTTTGTTCATATATACTGACTCCTTGCTCTCAACCTGAATGAACTTGCCAAATTAATTACAGAAATAAGCATTTTCTTTAATTGTAGTAATTGTTCCTGGCAATAAAAGACTACAATATATCTACTAGTCAAATGCTGTTTGAAACTATTATATTTTATCCTAGCTTTGAAAGCAAAGATAAATTGTCCTCATGCTGATTTATACATCAGTAGAACGCTCTGGAATCTGCTTCATTCAATTAGGGCTTTTAAGGACTCTAGCACAGAGAAACCTGCGTTGATAACATGGCGGCATGCTTTTGGGGACAAGATTGTACCTCGTTACTACTCAATCTCTTACAAGTGCAGGTGCCCGCAAGAGGTGGAAAGAACCTTTGCTACTGTAATGAATAAATGCCTACCTGAGCAAGGAAGTCTTTCAAGCTACGGCTGGAATGATGAAATCGTTTGAGAAGAAGTGCTTTGATCTGCTGAAGGACAAGCTGGCAACCTTTATTCTGACTGGATCCTTTGCCACCACTCCCATCTCCTTCCAAAGCCACAGGGGCACGAGAAGTCCCATTAGCTGTCAGAGTGCTTTCCTGGGCTGCCTCTTCTTGTCCAGTGGTACCATTCACCTGGACAGCTCCTGGATTTTAGAAATCAAATTGGCCATGGCAATTATTCCATTTCAGGGTATTTTGAAAGATATTTTCAGTCTCTTTAGTCATGGAACTGTGGGTTTCTTTAAGATTTAACATTCTAAGGGATATAAAGGTAAAGGTTTCCCCTTGATGTTAAGTCCAGACATGCCTGACTCTAGGGGGTGGTGCTCATCTCCGTTTCCTAGCTGAGGGAGCCAGCGTTTGTCCATAGACAGACTCCGTGGTCATGTGGCTGGCGTGACTAAACACTGAAGTGCACGGAATGCTGTTACCTTCCCACTGAAGTGGTACCTTTTTATCTACTTGCATTTGCATGCTTTCGAACTGCAAGGTTGGCAGGAGCTGGGACAGAGCAACGGGAACTCACCCTGTTGTGCAGATTTGAACCGGCGACCTTTCGATCAACCAACCCAGCAGCACAGCGGTTTAAACCACTGCGCCACCTGCAGTTCCTCTAAGGGATATAGCTTTCCCCAAAATCTGTACAGCAGTGCAGCAACACTTATATCAGGGAACTTCTATAGATCAAACAGCAAGCAAACTCAGCAAAGGGTTAATGAACTGGCCCTCCTTGCCATCAGTCAGTGTATTGTCTCTGTTTTGATTCTGGATTTCCATCATTGTTAGATGGACTATGGCTAAAACAACTGTATAGCCCCAGTGAGTGCAGATCCCATATTTAAAAAGGTGCCCTAACTCTTTTTACACTGGAGATGGAAATGCCTTTAAAAGCATAACTATATCTTGACACTGGTGTTTTGCAGTTCCCTATCCCACATCAGCTGCAGTCAATGAAATGGTGTGGTGGCAGTCAAACGTGACCTGGGTGAATTCTACTGGATGTTTCTGATGGAGAAAGGCATACTAGAACTACTGCCTTTTAGTTTCATACCAGTAATTTATAAAGATGTGGTAAATATTTAGCATAACTTTTTAGTTTGGCCATTGTGGAGTGTTTACCTGAATTCTGTGTTCCAAGATCAGCTTCTGCTGTAACCTTCAAGAAAACCTGCAAAAGAGATCCATTAAAGAGGATGTTTTGTGAGGAAAAAAAAAAACCCACACAGGAAAGCCTTTATGGGGCTCCCCTCTGCTCCATCACAATATAAATTAAGACCATTTTCCCTTTTAATTTCCAATTAACATACACAATAGAACTTCTTAAAGAAGAAATAGGATAAATCCAGACACAATTCCTGTTCCTTTAAGAATTCAAACAAAAGATGTAACACATTATATAAGTCCACAGATATTTATTACATCATTTAGATATAAGCAGTCACCCAAAATTATGAAAGAAATGACTAGGGAGTAGGGAAATGTCTCAGAGTTAGCAACCTCTTCAAGTGGTGTGTCTGAAATCCCAAAACTGCTGAGTCCCATATCAGCCAAAGTTTCCTCTAATTCTCTGAAGAGACTGGCGTAGGCTCGTTGCCTAAAATTCTTACTGGGTAGAAGGTAGATAAGCTCCTGACCAATACTTTCGATTAACTTTGCTTCTGGAACATGATGGTGGATCAATTCATTTAGTTCATCCACATCACCTAGGAAGGAACAAAGCATAGTTTTGGAAACAAACAGTGAATCCAATTAATATTCAAGGAAATGGGGAGGTATAGCTGCTCTTATGGTATAAGACTGCCTGCTGTCCTCCAGGGGTTTTGGCCTACAGCTCTCAGTCTCAGCCAGCATGGTCAAGATGAGGAATCCTTGATCATTCTCCATCTAGTAATTTAAAAAATGTATCAGGTTGGGGAAGGCTGCTATAACCTATAACCCTTGTGGCCCAATCCTATGTTTATGCTTAATTAAGGTCATTTAGTTAAGTGCAACTTATATTCCTCTGCAAGTCTACACAGAATTGCAGTATGCATCTATTCAAGTACACTAAAACAATTGACCTTCGGATACAATCTTGGAATTCACACTGAGTGTTCATTCAAGGAAGCAACTGCAACTAATTGTGGCTACCAGATTAATGTACCTGAAGGGTGGGCTATTTTGTCTGCCTAAAGGGCTAAGCCTGTAGGAAAATCAAGCTGAAAACAGAGCTGGCCCTACCATTAAGAAGGGTGAGGCAACAGGGAGGTTCTAGGAGGCAGGTAGTGGTGTGGGGGTGTTGGAGAACGAAGCTGTGGGTGTCACACAGCCCCTTAAACTAGACTGCTGCCTAGCTGTGATGGAGGATGCTGTCCTGTCACCATTCTGAACAATCAGTCCAGATGGCACCTGTTTATGGAATGAAGGACACCATCTTGTCATTTGCTTCAGACAGCAAAGTATCTTGGGTCAGTCCTGTTTGAAAGGCACTTTCCTTCAGTGCCCATGTCTCAGTGGCCATACTGACAGCAATATCCTGCAAAAACTAACTTCTTATGTGCAATAAAAATCTAGCTTAGAAAAGTCCTGATAAGCTGGAATGTAAAGTATCCCTTTAAGTCTCTGAATAATTTTCAAAAGCATTTACAAACATGTGTTCTGTTTGTAAATGCTTCACTAATGTGAAGTCATGAAAAATTTATGCTGCTTATTCTTTGTAACAAGAGTGTTCACTTTTACATTACATTGGTCATGACATTACTTAAATGATCAAGACCTGAACATAGGAAACAATGGGAACAATTATCTATATGATCAATCACCAAAGAGCATTAATAAAGTGTAGTAGTAGAAAGCTACTGTCATACCAAAGTACACTTGAAGTCTGTTGTATAAATGGGGGCATTTTTATTCTTACATATTCTTCCAAGATTCTCAAAAAACTTTGCCTCCTCCACTTGCACAATACTGATTTCATTGCACCCAAAAGGGCAGCACCAAGAAGGAGCAGCAGCAGCTGGATCAGACTAAGAATCTGATTAGGATCCTGGTTTGGAGAATGATAAATCAGAGGCCTCTCTGAAAAGCTCATGTAGGGCATGAAGGCAACCCCTTTTGATGTTTGACCTCAGGATTTGGTGCTTGAGTGCCTCTGATGTTCCATTTATTTAGCCTCCCTAAACCTGATGCCTTTCAGATGTCTAGGACTGCATTCCCTTCATTCCCAGACAAGGTGGCCATTGTCCATGCTGGTTGTGAATGATGGGAATTGCAACCATACACCTGGAGGTTGGGGGAGAGTTCTTTCAGTTAACTTGGCTAATGGGGAGAGAATCTATGGTCCATGAAAGACAGCAACCCCCTTAACACTTATGCAATAAATGAGTGGGGCAAGCCCTGTTCTCACCATCCAGTTCCTGTTCCATGGTTTCTGCATTGTTTGTAGGTATGCAGCCAGCGCAAGAGCATGAACATTTGGATCCCAGGCTGCAGGAGGTCTAAAAAAAGTTAAGTAACACTATCAGATTCCAGTTCTATCAGCTCCCAGTATGCATTCATGATATATGCTGTTTAATGTCGGAAGCAATGGTTTGACACACTTTCCCAAAGTGGTGAAGAATAGAACTTCTCTTGAACCATTTTTGAAAAGCTTATCAGCTTGTCCTGATAGTTTATGGCAGTTGGCAATGTTTTTTCCCCCTTTTGGGAAGAGTTGGAGGGAAATTTACCTGCATACATTTTGTAATATTTATTCAGTGTTGTATTTGCATACTGCATATGCATAAGTCACATGTAGTTGTAAATTAAGGTGAAGGGCAAATCTTCAGAAGACAAACATATGAGGAGGAACTGGTAAGCTTTCATAATTTATGCAAATTAATATGGTGACATTCAAGACATTGCAAATGGCACAATTCTCAGTTATGGATGAGTGAGGCAACTCAGCAGTTAGAGCTGAGTCTAACAAATATGTATGACTTTCCTTTATATTAGATAAGAGATTTAACAAAACAAATCCATTAACAGTTCTAACAATCTATATATTTTACTTTTTAAAAAATTACATGTCCCCAGCCAAACCGTGTTAGTTATGTTTTAATTGTCTCACTAGTCTGCCACTTTTTTAAAAAGCATTTCAGCCTATTCATACTGTCATAGACATTCTGCCATCTTCTACTTTCTTATGTCCTATCTTGGCTGCATGCTTTTCTTGTCTTTTCTTCTCCAAGTGTCTCCTCAACACCTTCTCCTCAGCTCCTCATTTTCAGCTCCCCAACCTCATCCAAATGTCACCAATCCCTGCCTCTCTGTTTGCTCCTTCCCTCCATACTATGACCCTTCCAACTCCTTGTTCCACATTCTGTAGTGCCACAGGGATGAGTGAATCCAATGCTGCATACATACATTCCCTTCAAGGGGCGAGGGGATTGAATAGAATTGAATAGATGGGGCAGCTACCTGACACAGGTTGTTCAAAGTACCATTTGGTTCCTGCCACTCAAAAATAATATATGCACCGTATACCTGTATTTCTATTTTGGGGATGAGTAATGCTCAAATTAATTGTACAACATGGTGCAAAACACTTACAGCTTCTTTTCCTCCCTCATTTTGAATGTTTTTCATCTTGCGAACCAAGGTGAGATAAAAGCCTGTCCCAAATGAGCTCTTTAGGAAAACAGGAGATCCTGAGCAGTGCAGTTTTCCTTGGGAAATGATAGCAACCCGATCTCCAAGGATGTCTGCTTCATCCATGTGGTGTGTTGAAAGAATGATGGTCCTGCCTGAAAGAAAATGACAGATGTGACAACAGATTCTCTCTGTGTGTCTCTTAAGCTACAACTGTACATAAGTCATGAGGCTCATGCAATGTATTTTTCTGCAATATGTAAGATAAAGCGTACTGGAAGCTTTTGATCATGCCTACCTAGATCCTGCATCTGTGATCTTGCAGAAGTCAGGGAGAACCTGAGATGGTATAATATCACCAGAAAAGCACATACATGGTCTGCAAACCACCCACATACCTAAATAGCAAATCATGTAACAAACGGCAGGCATGCATGACATGAGAAACCACAATGAAATCTTACTATTGTGGGTCTGTTGAATTTTCTGGAACCATTTCTGGAGTTTCTGTGTGAAAGGATTAGTTTTCTGAAACCACAAAGAAAATCAACACTCTGTTCTAAGGCTTCCATTCTTCACCGTGGCCTCTCCTGATGTCTGCACCCTGAATTGCTGTTTTAGCATTGTTGGTATGGAAACACCATAGAGTCCAGGCAAAAATAGCCATGGAAGTGGCTGCTTCTATCCTTTGATCATTACTGTGGTCAGCTCTCTAGCAACAGATACTTTATTCCCATTGGCTGAGTGATGTGCCCATCTTCTTGTTTATTTTGGAAACAGGGAGACAGCCTGAAAACAGTAAAAAGTAACACCAGCATGAAGTTGGTATTGCTTCTTACTGCCAACTCACCTCAACTAGGTTTTGCTTGCACTAACTTCATCTCCTCAGCTTTACCTCACCTTACTTCTTGGAATATTTTCTAATATCTCCTGAATCCCTCACCAGTGAAGCTGCTGCCTGTTATAGAAAGTCTGTGAAGAAAAATGTAGGCTATAAAAACGAAACTATAAAACTACCCTAGCAATAAATGTGTAACTCAGGAGAACACAAAGACACTGTAACACAGCATCACCTCCATTAAATGGAACATGGCTTTCTAACAGTTCTATTTGTCCAACCAGATAAATGTTCCCTTGTTTTATTAGACATAACAAAAACCAGCATGGCTAGGTATTGAATCTAATCCTCTAGATTCTTGGTTTTCTGCTCAGCTGTTTGAAATGTTTCTCCTAAGGCTTAGTTATTGCCAGTAAGAGTGTTAATCTTCTTCAGTACAGTGGGTTGCTTGTATTTTTGGCCCCATCCCTTTTATATTTGCTCCCACTCTGTAGCATCCAGCTCCACCTACCCCTGGAATATAGCTATTGAGAGCTTTTTAGCTATTTAGCTGGATGTGCTTCTCCATCCCTGGTTTAATGGTATAGGTAGGTGGGGGTTCGGAAATGGCTGAGTGCACTGGAATTGCCACAGTACAGAATATAGGCCTGCAGTCTACCACACAATTAACTATAACTTAACAGCTTTAGGAGGATTAATATGCAAAAGCCTGACAGCCAACAAATCAGGCGAAGCTATGTAAAGCTGAAAGGCTAAAACAGATACTCTTCCCCCAGGGGGGAAATACATCTAGTCTTGTCACCCTTATTCACAATCAATATCTAATCAGTGGAAGTCAGAATTACTCACTGTACGTGGATGGAGATGAATGTACACAACAGTGCAAAGTCCTCAAGCTGTCAGTTTTTGCTGCCTGTTCATTTTAATAGGAGGATTGCTCTAGGCAAGATGAAATAACTGGAACAACCTAAAATGTGGGCTGAATCTAAAATATTATTCAAAAAGATCTAGAGTTTTTATCAATACATTTGTAGGTGTTAAACAAAAATAATCAACAACAATATGCTATGTAACCTTTTCTAATTAAACTGTTTAAAAGGGATCTAAGCTTTTCAGTCTTCACACACAGACTTGGGTTCACAAAGCACAACAAACAACACTGCATGGTTACCATGGTTTGCATTATTTTACCATGATCAACTTGACACCAAGGTTTTACTCTGTGTTATAGTTGTATGTGAGTGAGACGCTTGGCCCATAATTTCTTAGGTGTTCATATAAACCTTAGTATTTTAACAATACTAGCCCCTGAAGATTGGTTTCATTGAAATGTGTTAGAAATTCATTCTTGTAATTGACCACAGCATATTGTTTGCTCATCTTTGCTAGCAAGCCTATAAATGTATTGATAAAAACCATATTGTTTAGACTTTTAAAAATAATATTGTATGGTTGTCATTTATCTACCATATCTGGTATGTCATTGGGATATAGTATCCTGCTGTTTTGCTGTGAAGATTACTCTTGACCCCTTCAGAAAGAAAGTATTAGCAGGTTGACAAAGCATACATTGCACTGTTGGACAAGACATTGGCTACAGTCTGCTCCAACTGAAATCCATGGATGTACAAACACGTGAACAAACAAAGCTGGCTTTATATTATCAAGAAGGTTTGAAACTAGGGGGGAGATATATATGCATGTATTATACATCCGTATCAATGAATGAATGAATGAATGAATGACACACACACACACACTCACTCACCACATTTACCTTTCTTGAGACAAATTACCTGAACGATACTTCAGTATGAGGTCCCAAATAGATCGTCTGGAATAGGGATCAACTCCGGAAGTAGGCTCATCCAGGACAACCACTTTAGCTTCACCTACAAAGGCAATGGCAACAGACAACTTCCGCTGCATGCCACCTAAATAATGAAAACAAAAACAAACACCCAAAAAGAGAGATGCATATTTTTACATGAGAAAATGGCGGATCTGATGGAAAAGAGGTTGCTTTTCTGTAGCGTTTCACAGGGTTTATACAAGCTATTATCAAAAAGTTATGAACTATAATAGGAAGTCTTATAAGTTCTTAAAGACTAAGGCATTTCTTATGGGATAGGATTTTGTGAGTCAGAACACCAGATGCATCTGAAACTGTGTCAAAGGTTCATAAAATTTTATGCAACAATAAATATGTTAGTCATTGAGATGGGATAAAACTTTTCTGTTTGTGCTACAAATGAAAGACAAGGCTATTACTCAAGCTACTGTTATTTATTTAAACATATTTATGCTCAGTCCTACAAATCAAGCACATGTTCATAAGAACATGAGAAGAGTCATGCTGAATCAGACCAAGGGTCTATCTAGTCCAGCCTTCCCCAGCCTTGTGTCTTCCAGACATGTTTGGATTGTAACACCCAGAATTCCGAGTCAATAACCCAGCTGAATGGGAATTCTGGGAGTTGCAGTCCAAATGCCTCTGAAGGCCACCAGGTGGGGGAACGTTGATCTAACCTATTCACATGGTGGCAAACCAGCTCCTCACAGGATCCATCAAGCCGAATATAAGTGCAATATCCCTCTCCTGCCCAGGTTCCCAGCAACTTGTAGAATTCCTCGGATAGCAGAGGTAGTTCACAGCCATTAACACTAGTAGCCCTCAATAGCCTTCTCCTCCATGAATTTGTTCCATCCACTTTTAAAGCCATTTAGACGGGTAGCCAACATTACTTGTGGCAATGAATTCCATAGTTTAACTGCACTGTGTAAAGAAGTATTTCTTTTTGTCTGTCCTTAATCTCCCACCAATCAGCTTTATGGGATGACCCCAGTTTCTAGTATTAGGACAGAAGGAGAAAAATCTCTCTCTATTCCTTTTCTTTACCATGAATAATTTTGAATGCCTCTAGTATGACTCTACTTACTCACCTTTTTTCTAAGCTAAACAATCTCAGCGGTTATAACCGTTCCTCACAGGGGGATGCGCTGATCCCTTGATCATTTAGTTGCCCTTCTCTGCATTTTTTGCAACTCTGTAACTGTATACAATAGTCTTTCTAAGTGCAGTCACACCAAAGAGTTGTATATGAGGAATATTTATTTATTTAGGAAATTTCTATGCCGCCCCATTCGCCGAAGCCTCGGGGCGGCTCACAAACATAAATAAACTTCGTTAAAATAATATAAATTAACAGTATAAATTAAGTCACTCTGGCCAAAGAATAAAATAAATAAATACTATTAACAGTTAAAATGACATTTGAATAAAAAGGTCTTTGCCTGGCGCCGAAAAACAAATAACGATGGCGCCAGGTGGACCTCTCTGGGGAGCGTATTCCATAGATTGGGCGCCACCGCAGCGAAAGCCTGTGGTGTATGAATATGCCAAGAATATGATCTTGGCAGTTTCATATCCAATTCCTTTCCTAATTATGCCTAACAAGGAGTATCCATTTTTCACAGCAGTTACACAATGAGCTGACATTTTCATTGAACTGTCAACCACAAACCCAAGATTCTATTCATGCTCAATCACCATTAGCTCAGATCCAGTCAACTTATACTTGGGATATTTTGCCCCAATATACATTACTTTGCACTTGCTTAAGCTGAACCACATTTGTAATTTCAATGTCCATTCTCCCAGCTTGGAGAGATTCCTTTGGAGCTTTCACAATCTCTTGGTTTTAGTTTGGAATCATCAGGAATCTGGTCACTGCACTACTCTTTCCTAATTCTAGATTGTTCATGAAATTAAGGTAACTGAGTTTAGAATATTCCAAGCTTGGCTTGCATCAGCTGAACTTCACACGTTTTCAGTTTCCAGATGTAGTTTGTGATTAACAAACTACATCTGGAAAAAGAAGGATACTCTTTGCTTCTCTAAAAGAAATCACTGCACAAATCCATGAGTGGAGGCACATTCTATCACAAAGTGATGCTAGGTAGTTTCATCAGGTGGCTCATTTGTGATGCAATCAATGGGCATACAATATTCAGTTATGGATTACATGGTTATACTTCTACTATGGAAAGGTACCATTTGGATTGTTTATTTAAGCGAGTTATCAATATGGCAACTATCTTAATTTAAATATTGAATTCCACCCTCAGAGGTACTAGCAAATACCTAGGAAGAGGTAAAAAAAACCACACAAGTTTTTGAGGGCCATCTCTTGCATACCTGACAAGTTTTGAGCCTCTTCATTCCTTTTATATGGAAGGCCTATGTCTTCTAGCATCATCTCCACTTCCAATTCTGCCTCCTCTCTGGACCTCCCTTTCAGCTGAGCATAAAACTGGATGTGTTCTGCAACAGTAAGGCTACAAAAAAGAAACTGTGTTGCTTTAGTTGACCAAAACAGATAAAGAATGTTGAACAATTACACTTTAGAAACTAGAGACAATGGCTCCCTGCTTCCATCCCTTCAGTAGTATCAAAGTCAGTTAAAAAGAAGTATCACTGGATCAAAAGCTTTTACACTGTTTCAAAAATGTGCTAGTTCTGTTTATTCAGATACAGGACTAGAGAAAACTCTTGGAAGTAAAACTTTTCCTCAAACTAACTACTCAACTCTCTTAAAACTACTGGCTATTCCCAGCCAAGCATATTCCTACTGCTTATCTTAATATAAATCCAGTCATCTCTCAGCTTCACTCCTAACGAAAGACCAAATAGGCAAGACAGAATAAGGACAATCTATCATGCTTCAGAACTACCATCAGGGTTGCCTGAAGCCTTTAGTTAGCTGCTGCTAGAAGAACAGAGGCTTGTCTTGAACTAGCTGGGACAATTATAGCCTCTCTTTTGGAAAACTCATTACTTTGAAACAAGTTTCTGATTGCACTTACTGATTGAACAAGATGTTGTACTGAGGGCACATGCCTAAATGCTGCTTGATGGAATCCATGTGTGTCTGGATGTCCTTTCCACCAACTAGTATTGTTCCAGATGTAGGAGGAAACAAACCTGTGAGGACAGACCTAGCCAACCAGATGGGAAACATAATTTTTATTCAAATTATATTTTGTTACATAGTATCTATAGATATAATATAAAATGATTAACAACAGGAACAGTAATAATGATAGTATAGTTAAATAAAACCAATTATACCAATATGCAATATTATAACAGTTAAATAAAACAATAAAAGAATAATTATACTAACAGGACAAGATGTCCTCAGGTACCACTAGGTGGTGCTTGAGAGCTATGCAAGCGTTTGGGGAAATGCAACAACATAAATTTGAAAGAAACTTTGAAGACCAGTTTAGTTGATTCTGTCGCAAGATTTCTCAAATACTGACTGTTACAACAATTCAAGGAAAGAAAGAAAACATATATAAAGAGTGTGACTGTGGTGTGGGGAACAACATATTTTATATTATTAACATAAAACTATGCTAATAGTTGAACTATATACTTAAGAAGTTATAGGAAAGGATGTATAGCGAAGATTTCTTCCCATCTCCCAAAATAAAAATATTAGAACAAAAGTCTGTTTTAAAATGTTCTTTGTACAAACAACTTCACACAACATTCGAGAAAGCTGAAAGTAGAACTGAAAACAGTTGTAATAACAGTCATATTGAGGGGCGCCTAATAAAATATTCAGTGCCGATTTGGTATTTTTCAAAAGCGAGTTTTCTGTCCACTACAGGTGCGTCCCCTCAGTCATTCCCCCACCCTAGGCCAGGCTCTGAAGCTGGAAGTTAGACAGCCCAGGCATTGCGAGGGCGGTGCCCAAAGGGGAAAGCTGGCGGGCACAGGCTGGGTGAAGCACTCTTTCCTTGATCCGATCATTTCCTCTGCTTTCTATCCCTGATTTTCCCATGGGATCAGGTTCACACATTTACGGTGTAGTGATTAGTTGGACTAGCGCTCAGCAGATGTAGGTTCTAGTCCCTACTCAAGACATGAAAGCTCATTGGGTGGCTTTGGGCTAGTCATGGACTATTAACTTAATATATCTCACAGAGCTGTTGTTATAAGGCTTAAAAAGAGCAGGAAAACCTTGAAAGCCACCTTGAGTTCCTTACAAAACAAAAACTGGGCAGGGTATACATGTAATGTAATAACAACATGTAAAGATTATTATTACTAGCTGTCCTCAAAAGAGAGTCCAGAAGAACACAATGGATTGGTCTTATTTTAGAATCCCTGGATCCAAGCAAAAGCTGCCTAGACATCTTCAGATATCTGAATGGCTGAGAAACAGATGGAGAAAATTTGTTATTTGTTTCTTCAGAAGCTAGGACCCAATCCCATGGGTTTAAATGGCTAAAACGGCTTTAGTTCAGCCTTACACGTTTTCTGGGTAAGAATTGTACTTCTTGCAAGATACCAGGTTTGGGAAGGCTGACTTAGATTAAATTTTCTGATGGTACGAGCTGATTGACAGTGGAACAGAATCAGCAGGACAGAGTCTGTGGAAAGTGGTACACTCTCTTTTAAGCAAACATTGGACAGACACCTATCAAAGATGCTGCACAAACAGATTTCTTGCATTGGCTGTGGGTGGACTCGATGGAGTACTCTTCCAACTTTCTGATCCTATGGAAAAGGCCAGTCACAACAGCAGAGCTGCAATATCCACTGTTTTTGAAATGCTGACCAAGGCACAGAATCTGAAGCTACTCCGGAAGAAACCTAGGGGCAGTGGAAACCAAAAGCCAAGGAAATGTTTGTCCAGACCCCTGAGAAACAATGCACCTGGAACTCTCATCTGCCCAAGGGGCAGATCAACTTTGCTGACTTCACTGCTTTTTCAGCTCTTTTAGACAAAAGACCCCCTGCCTCTCTGAACATATTTTAGAAGATCTAACCCCAGGAAAATGCTGCTCTTCCAGAGAGACATCTGCTTTTGTTTCTCCTATTACTTCCACTTCTCTAAGACAGGCATTTCCTTCTCCCAAGGCCTTGTCAGTTTTGGAACAACCTCCCCCACCCACCCCTTCTCTCTGAAGTCAATGTGATCACAGATGGGAGTGATCTGAGTTTATAATGCACTCTAGTTAAGACAGGAGACACCAACAGCAAACGTTTGTAGGAAACAAGACAATTATGTGCATTTTTAAAGGCTTGCTACAATTGGAACTAAAATCTGAATTGCTCTGGAAACAAAATACATATCTATGTAAATGCAGAACATATGCACAACTTTAAATTGGCCCATTACCTAACAATCAGATTGGACTAAAAGGCTATTCAGGTGCCATGCCTGATTGGCTGCTTTGACCAGGAAATTTTTCAGAAACTGTCAGAAGCTCAGTCACCAAATTTTATGGAGATCTGGACAACACTGACTAGGTTTAAGGTTGACATGGGCTGGCAGCAGCAATCCAGGGTATCAAGAATCAGTCTTTCCTGTCCTGCTTGGAGATGTCAGGATTTGAGACTGGACCTGCCATATGCAAACCATGTGCTCCACCACTGAGCTACAAGCCTTCTCCTAATTTCAAATTTTATTACCCGTAAATAAAAAAAACACGTGACTAATAAAAATAATGAAACAAAGAAAAATGACCTTGTCTAAACCTTGCACATAAAGCAAGTGTGTTAGGAGCAGGTTACTGTTATGTTGAACTGACTCACATGGTAGTTGTCTTTCCAGCTCCATTGTGGCCAAGGAAAGCAGTGATCTGGTCCTCGTAGAAAGTAATATTCATTCCATCCACTGCTGCCTTAGAGCAGTTAGGGAAGATCTTCACCAGATTTTGAATGCACACTCCTGGGACGAAACCAGAAGGTTCAGCTTCAAAGTGTAGGTTTGCTTGAAACAGAAAGGAGGTTTAAAGTGAAAGAACTGTAGAAGTGAGCAACATGGCCATAGCTTTCATATAGTGAAATATATGAAATTATGTGTGATTTTAAAAAGCTTTGCAAAACAATGGGTGGCAATCTTCCTAAGAGCATCAGTGTTTCTGAGCTGCAGCATGGTAAGCTGGAAAACATCCAAATCTGTAGAAAACTTTGTTGGAATTATGAGATACAATGTACCACATTGGCCACTTGCAGCTGAAACACACATTGTTGATGGATCCTTCCATCACAATGAGAGCCAGCTTAGCCATTTCAAATACCAAGTGTACTAGAAATTGTTCAATTTGATGTAGGATGCAGAAAACTGAATAAAAATGTCACCACCTGAACATAGAGTAGAGAATTTCAAGATGCCACGTTAACTAATTTTGTAGCCAGCACAGAGCCATCCTATATTGGGTAAGATGAAGCTTTCCTCAGTCAGTGAGAGGTGGCAGCTGCACAATTGCTTGCTTGCTTGCTAACATGGGGAGGCGGCACAAGGTGCATTTTTCTCTACAACACAAACAGTCAAAGGGGGGAAAACCCCTGTCTATAATGGTGCAGAAACAAAAATGACAGCCTGCATCCTGATAAGCAACTGCACAAAAATAGCCCACCATGTAAACATGGACATTGCACAGAATAATTTAAAGCTGACTCTTTGCTATACTGCAGCAGTCTTTAGAGACTGAACAAGTCTGTATCTGCAGTGACAATGAAATCTGGCATGAAAACAAACCATCTATCCAGATGTACAACTTGTTTTGGAAAAAAAAAGGAACAGAATGAAAACCCCACAGCATGAAATAACATACTTTTCTTTTTGTCTTGGTGGGAATAAGTTACCTTTGTGCAGCAGGACAGACCAAGGCCAGGACTCTCCTTATGCCCCACTTAATACAGGCCATCCAGAGGACTGAGCTCATAAGACAGCCATTTTAAACACCACCACAGGGTTTGTTTTATTTTACTTAATTCTGAGCCAAAGAAACATCCTTTGAAGTAAACGTTCCCCTTGGGCATTGGGAAAGACGTAAATCAAGAGCCTGATGACTTGTGTTTATCCACATTACCTCAAGATTTGTAGGGAAGTTTTCCATAAATGTTTACTAAATTGTTCAGCATCAGGAGAGCTATGTTAGGGAGTGGCAAAGTCTGTGTGAGTGTCTCCCATTCCACTGATGGGCCCATGGCAAGAAATGCCAGTGACTCTCTCACTCTAATATAAAACAAGAAATGTTTCTGAAATGAAGGACTAAAGGGGAAGATGGACCATAGAATATTCACAGTAGTGCAGCTTTAACAGTGAGGTAACCACACTAAAAAGCAGAGACATCAGCCTGCCAACAAAAGTGTGTATAGTCAAGGCTATGGTTTTCCCAGTTGCAATGTATGGCTGTGAAAGTTGGACCATAAGGAAGGCTGAGCACCAAAGGATTGAGGCCTTTGAATTGTGGTGCTGGAGGAGACTCCTGCGAGTCCCTTGGACCGCAAGGCGATCAATCCGGTCAGTCCTGGAGGAGATCAACCCTGACTGCTCTTTAGAAGGCCAGATCCCGCAGATAAAACTCAAAACTTTGGCCACCTAATGAGAAGGAAGGACTCCCTGGAGTAGAGCCTAATGCTGGGAACAATAGATAGCAAAAGAAGAAGGGGACAGCAGAGGATGAGGTGGCTAGATGGAGTCACTGAAGCAGCCGGTGTGAGCCTGAGTGGACTCTGGGGGATGGTGGAGGACAGGAAGGCCTGGAGGAATGTTGTTCATGGGGTCGCGATAGGTCGGACGTGACTTCGCGACTAACAACAACAAACCACACATGTGACAAGTTCTTTCAGTTGAATAAATGTTATTAGATGTTGAGGACCACTAATCCATAAGAAATGTCTAGATGTTTTCTGATTGCCTTTAACAATAACTCCCTCCAGGAAATGGGGAGAATGCCCTCCATTCTTAATGTCTGAACACACAGTAGGAATTTGGGCCTATTATGTAAACCTAACATTCACATTTGCTGTGAATCTGTTCTTTAATTTTATTATTAAAAATCTTATTTGGGGGTGTGATCTATGTTTGATAGAGTCTGGACAACTCTGCTATGGAACTGCACCTTTCCACACTTTTCTGGGCTACATCTACGTCAAAGCTGAACTGTAGCCAACAGGCTGAGGTAAATTTGGAATTAGGAGCCAAGGTTTCAAGATGGTGACCTTGATAAGTAATCATATGGTAATCAGGACAGAATAAGTAATCAGATGGTAATCAGAACCAGAGGACAATCCAGGAGGAAGGGTAAAGGATAAAGCCCAGAATCAGGACCAAGCCAGGACTCAGTTAGACTGTGCTCAAGCAAGAAACAGGAAGCCTTCCTCTACTCCTTCTTATCCAGAAAGATGCAATTATCAGTCTGGGTGGGCAGAGTCAGTTCACAGCCAGAGGATGCTCCATGGAGAAACTGACACCAGCAGCCCAGTGGCTCATCACATAGGGCAGCTGTCCACAAATACCAGTCCCACATGACAATTTATTTTTCTATCTTTGTTGGCTTCATCAGGTAGGCATGTATATTTTACTGTTGGCTTGTGTGTGTGCATTTTAAAGTTGAAACCTTAATTACTGGCTAAAGAAATTATGCAACAAAACAGAAACATCCTAGAACTAGCTTTCCAAACTGTGGATACCAAAGCCAAGTCTATGGCAAGTTTAAAAGTGCTAAAAAACAGACTGCAAATTTTAGTCCAGCATTCAGGCCAATGACCTGCCCATGGAAAATCCACAAGAAGGAAATAAGTGCAGCAGCACCCTTCCAGCTATGTTCCCAGCAATTGGTGTACTTAGGCGTATTGCTTCTCATACAGGAGCATGTAGCCATCAGGACTGGTAGCCACTGACAACTCCATCCTCAGTTTTCTCTGTTCCAAATACAGGAAAAGAAGCAGAGAAGAAGCTTGCTGCAGAGAGCCCTGAACTATGCTACTTTCAAATCTGTCTTACTGAGAGTTTTTCAAGAACACATCCATCAGACAAGCTGCTTAAAGGTCACAGGTTAGAAAGGGGAATGTCAAGTATTTTTTGAAATGAGAGATAGGCCAGTGTCTGTCCTAGTTACAGAGTTTGCAAGAAACTGGGAGTTGAAATGCAAAAGAAGCAAAGATAACATGGTGCAAGGAAGGGAATTTGTAGAGCAATCTTTGCTTCTTGACAGGCAAAATTCTTTTGAAGGACTGCCCTGCTTTAATTCACCCATCATCCCAGTTTGAGTCAGGATGAGCGCGAAGTGACTCTGGGTTTACTTCAAGCCCTTCAAAGAATGTCATCTTTGTTTGCCCTCAAACCTGCAATCATCAACTTGCCATCAAATGCAAAAACAAATCAACTCTGTAAAAAACAGGAACCCTGAATCCTAAGCAGAGCATGCAAACAATTTAAACACTAGTTCCTCCTGCTTCTTTATGTTTTTTAAAAAAACTCTTCCTACCTCAAAAATTCTTGTTCATTCAATTCTTTAAGGCATATTCAGGCAAACAGAGCAACAGTTTCTAACCCCTGAACTCTGCCAGGGACTGCATTCCTGCTGCCAGCCCTGAGAAAAAAGGTACCTTGATCATGGTGCAGCAACTGAATTGGGCCACACCTAGCTTCAAACCAAATTAACTTTGAGACATTTGAGTACCTGTAGTGGTTAATTATTCATGTTTATGCCACTGTATTTCCATGTTTCTGTGGGGGTTAGGAGGGGAGGTCAAATCCATCTGGGGGTACATATTGCCTTGGCCTACCCTAAAGCTTTGGGAACCAACAAGGAAAGGAACATGCAGTTGGTCAAGTAAAGCTTGGTGACTTGCCTTAACTTTCTGTGAAAAGTGCTGAAGATGAAGGCTGCATAAGCATCTGTGGGTAGCTACTATTCCTTAAGACTGGGGTGTGAGGGGTGGGGGGGGGCTGCAGATCAGAATCAGAATGAGCAGGGCTGACATATGAGAAAGCAAACCTATTAGGCATTTAAAATACTTGCTTATGGCTGAAGAAGAGCTGGAAGCAATATTACAATTTTCTTCAACATTCAGTTGATAGCCAGAGGTTCCATACCCATGTTAGGCCACATACATTTAATCAGTGGTAGTGTATAGAAGATTAGTATAAAAAAACTATCTACATTAGAATCTCTTTTGTTTATGTTGCTTCCTTTAAAAACAAACACATGTAACCATAATGTTTGCTGTGTTTCTCATAGCATTAAATACTGGGTTGTATCCCTTGTATTAATTGCTGATTCCGAGCCACGAGGTAATGTTCAGAGTGAGAGGTGCATGGAAGGCGGGTGGTGGTTTTTAGGCCATGTGTGCTAGTCCTGGGCATAAGTTTTCTCTTTTTCAGGTAAAGAGAAGAGTGCATGTGGGAAAGGAAGCCTTGGGAACAGTTCCCTGGAACTTCCTCCCAGATACCTCTCCTCCTTTTATTCTCCCCTGATGAAAGAGCACAAAAGCACACTGCTTCCTGCCTCTGGAGACCACAGATGCCTATTGCTGTGACCGCTTAAGCATTGAATTGATCAAGAATAACATCTCACCTGTCCATACTGCAGTCACTGAAGCAGCAACAGCACAAGAAGCAGAACAAATATTTTCCCAAGCCAGGTCATAAAAAAAAGACAGAAGTCAACACAATGGATTGACCTTGCACTGTGTGACTTACAAGTAAGTGAGCCATTACAAGAACAGGGGTGAAAAATGGCAGAATATCTTGAGGATATACCATAGGTATAATTCCTATCCTAGTCTGAAGTGATACAGGGCAAGGAAAACTTTATTACTTGGTTCTGCTGGATATGAAAACTGGCCATAAAACCCAACACCTGGTACTGACAAATCTGTTTCTTAAAATGTAATGTCATAAACACATAGGCATGAAAGACAATAAATAAAAAAGGTAACCCATAGGGATCCTTTAAAAACTGCTTGGTGGCCAACTGCTGTATTGGAATTGATTTTTGTATCCCTATCTACATAAATAACACATGGTTATTCATACCATACATAGACAAATGTGCTGACAACAAAGAAGCATATTAATGTATGACACAGGCTGAGTTGCAATTATTCTGCATTTCTCTCTCCTTACTAGGAATTTCATCTTTGTCCTTTGCTTCTGCCTCAGGCTTCCCCTGCTCGTGCTTTCTTTTGTGTTTACACTGGTTTTCTTTACCATCCTTCTTCCTTTGGCTGTCAGTCTTCTCCTCTCGCTTATCAGCATCAGTAGGTGTGCCTTTTCTCATCTCTTCTTCTGCCTTGATGTCAACACTCCCTTCTTTTTCTGAATCTTTGTCTAGATTAACAACAAATCACATTACTGTAAAAGCAACCATAGGTAAGGGCTTCTTTACCTGAGGCAATTATTATATTTTTGTACTTACTGCCTCAGAAATCAAAGTGTTTTTAGCAAGCCTGTGATTTTACATTCTGCTTTTGTTAGCTTTTGCGGGTATGTGTATGTGGGGGGGGGGGGGGATGATGTAGTGTTTGGTTTTTGCCCATTTAACATTTTGCTGTATGTTTCAAGCAATGGTCCAAAAACTGAGACACATTTGGGGTTCCACCTGTTATTGTTAAATATACCATCTCTCTCTTCTGTCTTAATCCTTTCTGCATATCTCAGCTGGAGGGGAAGGAAGTTGCCTGAATGCCTGCCTCTGTACAGTAAGCACTGTGACAGCTGCTGGTTGGGGCAGCTCTGATTGTTGGGAAGGACCTTCTGGACTTCCTCACAAACTTTCAAAAGTGTGTCTGTATTGATTTTGTTGCACATTGAAGACTAACAAATTGTGGAATATAAGCTCTCATGTATCAGAACTATAGACTAGAGACGGGTACTAATTGTTTGTTCTCATGCCACTAATCTCTAAGCCATAATGGAAGAGGGCATGTTAACTGATTTGGATGCTGTTTTGCCAGTGGCCAGCCCATGCGTTGAAAAACCAGATGAACCAGTAAACTACTGACCAGGTGATGAACCTAAGAAAACAGAATGGATAAACCACTATATTGTATTGGAATATTTGTTGTTAAATAGTGAAAGCATGCAACATTTTAAATCAAGATTTTTAGCTGATGTTCTTGTTACTCTGAACAGAAAGTTCCTTTGAAGCCCCAAAAGTTGCAAAATGTATTTCTAAGCAAAGAACAGATGCAGTTAACCAGGGATGGGCAACTTCTGCAGGTCCAATTACACCTATTATGAATTACAGGGTGTGTGTGCCCTCCACAGAATAGCTGTTACAGTACTACCAAATTCGTCACCAGAATTCACTGCTGTGGCAGAGGCAGGAAAAACTGCACACCTTTTTCACAAATCCTCAAACTCTCCAAGATTGGCCACACCACTAAATTTCAGAGGTAAATACGACAATGTCGGCTGACAAAAGGCCAAGAAGGCCACCTGAGTGCTAACACATTTCATGCCATCCATTCTAAGCCACATACCTCATTAGTGTCTTGCAAAGTTTTGCCTAATTCCTTAGTAGTCTGTAGCTACTTGCAGAGCCTCTCTGATCAAAGGTATGTTGGAGCCCAGTAAACAGACAATTCCTCTCTATCTTTCTGAATTCCTTTCACAGTGTGAGAAGGGGAACAGGCTGTATTTTCAGCTGAGAATGCAACAAAATGTAAATCCTTGTCCAAGGGAACAGGGTTGCTGCTCTGACCCTAACATGTGTCAAGATGTGCATGGTGCTGGTGGCAAGAGAGGTTTCATAGTGTTTGTGGAGGAGATTAGCCCCCTGCTGGCCCAGAAGTGCCTTCATCTGCTGCAAGATGCAAACAGCCTGTTAGGGCTAATGCAGAAGTATAGCAGAATGGCCAGGCAAAGAACAGATCCCCTCTTTGCGGCATAAAGACCATTTGTTACTGTGGTTTTGTGGAGTCTGCATAAACAGACCCCAAAGGAGCAGTTGGCTTATGCATCTATTCCAGACAGTGGAACCACCAAAGTGATTCAGTGCCTTTGATCATACAGTAGAACTGGCTAGCTGGAGATTCTTCTGAATGAAAACTCATTTTTCAGTTTGGCATTCTGAGTATGCATTCAGACTAGAAAGTTCACACAGTCCAGGGCACCCCCCACATAACCATTCTCAGGGAGCCACTCTTGTGCAGAGAATGACACAATACAAGAGTGGAGCTATGCTGACCTGGGCTGACAGAAGTTGCAGCCTCACAACATGTGGAGGGGCACAGCTTCCCCATCTTTTCTTTATTGACACTTGGATTGAAGTATGAACGTAATCTTCATCAATCTATGAATGGGTTTTATTATTATACTTATGATCATTAATATGTAAATTTACTGAAGTGTTTTACTAGGGACAGAAGTAATATTGTAAATGAAATTTTGGTAGGGAAGATAGAGGGTGAGGATAGGTTGGGCATAAATATAGATATGCTGATTGTGACTGAGTGGAAAGTAAAGGTATATAGTGGGTTGCTATGTAGATCTCCTGTTAATATTTGGATGTAATAGTATATTTGTATATGCTATATCTGCATACATCTAACACTGAAAGGAGGTATATGCAATATATACATTTATTACATTATGAAAGGAACACCATGGTCCCACTTGCAGGGTGAAAGATGAATGTCTCCAGAAACAGCAACAATCCAGATGCTAGGAGTTACTCTGGTGGCAACCCAGTTAAGATCAGAATCATGCTCATAACAGCCTTGTCAGCTCCCTCCAGACATATCTTTAGGAGAGACACAATTTGCAGGCTGCTAGTTAATTTAAGCATAATTTAGAAAGATTTCAGACAAAGCCCTTACTCAGTCTCTAAGAACACTCTAATAATAGTAGGCCACTCTGAGTTCAAAGCCACCTGCTAAGATTCCCACTGTATGTCTGGGTCTAATCTTTTCAGCGGCTACAAGAATGAATGCAAGAGTGCATTCACCTCTAAATGGATCAATGGCTCTAAAGTTATTTCTGAACACCAGTTTTTCCACATAGCTCACCATCCGCAGTTGTTGTTTTCTCATCCTTTGGGTGTCCTGACCCAAGCCAGTATGACTGCTGCAAAGGGAAATACCAAGGCCGAGGTATCCCATAGTCTCCTGAAACAAAAACAAGTTGGTGGGGTGCATGAACATTCTTTGTATTCTGCCATGGGGAAGAACCCATCTATGCAAATCCTTCTCTCCAATAATTACTTGGTGTTTCATTAGCAATAAACATTGCCGCACATTAGAAGTTTGAACAAAGCAGCCACCCACCACAGGGCTCACAGACCAGCCTTGGTTCTCAAGATTATTATTTTTCTCTCTCCATCAGAGCAGGGAGAAAAGAATAAACACGTTCCATGTGGTTCCAGATGACTTTTTGTTTTCAAAACTGAAACTCAATTTAATTAAAGAATTAAGCTATGCCCAGCCTGGGGAGGGGCTGAATCTTTAATAAGCAGGCAGCAAATGGCAAAAAGTGCTTGCCTGAGGCAAGATTTGAAATGGGGCTTTCCCAGGTATCTTTCTTAGCCGCTAGACAACCCAGTATCTTCCTGATGTGTTAGAATTACAATACCCATCACCCCCTATCCACATAGTCAAATATGTGGCCAAAATCAGAAATGGCCACACTGGCTGGGGTGGTGGGTGTTACAATCCAGCACAGACTTAGGGAAAGCTATGGTACGCTATCTTCAGCCTTAACTTCTTCTCTGTGACCCATTACAGCAATGTCTAGATTCCTCACTACAGGCAAATCCTCCTCACTCCAAATTTTATAAGTCCAGAGATTAAGGGGCCAGCCAGTAGAGATGAAGCACGCTAGGTTGCTTCAAAATAGCGTGTTCACTCTCCCTTTCTGTACTGCAATTGACTTTTGGGGCAACTACCTCTGCCATGGGCCACGGGGTCTTTCATTCTAAACACGCTGCATAGATATGTGCCACAGTGGGGTTGGGGAACGGCTCTTCCTCCTTCCATGTCTCCTTGCACTGCTCCCACCAGCAGCCAGAGAAGGAAGGGGGGAGGATGTATGGAGATCAGGGGGAATAGAGGATAGCGCATTTTGGAGATCATGGCAAGAAAAGTTATCCAGTTCTTTTTAATGAAAGGTCCTGTAAATGCTTTTCAGGCTAGCAAAAATCAATCAATCAATCAATCAAACACACACACTCCTTGTATCCAAACTCAGATATAGCAAGCTTCATCAGTATCTCTAAAATGGATTTTTTAATTGCCCTTTACAGTCTTTACAAAGTTAATTGGGCAAAGGAGAAGCCTATGTCTCATTCTTCTATGGGAAGATATAACGTTTCTTGAACTGGACCAGATCAAAATTCTTTTAATGTGAATTTTCTTGTTCATGACCTAGAAACAGTCCAGTGATAGGCAGTGCTGATTTTGGAAAACTATCTGAGCTGAAATTCAATGGTGAGGTGTGAGCTTTCATTCTACAGATAAAATCTTTTGTGGTGTTTTGTTTTGGCTTTTCAACACCGACAGTATGTGGCCAGACAAGTTTTTAAACCTGCAGTGAGAGCTTCATTTCTTTCCTTCAAAGAGACATATGGATTGGTATATTTGAAACGTGTATGCTTTAAGTTCTTCTGTGCAACAGCAGAACAGGGTAATTTGAACAGGTGATGTGCCCCCAGCATTGCGAAGGGGTCACCTCATCACCTCTGGGTGGCTGCTAGGTGTCAGCCCCTCCCCGATACTGAGACTATTGTGCAATAAGTCTCTTACATGGCTCCTACGCAGTAGAACAACACTCTTGGAGGTGAGGGCAGTAAGAGAGTGGAAAGGAAGGAGGTTGCCAGTTGAACCTACCTTCATATTTCACGTCCCATGAGATTACTTGAATGCTTATACTAAAAAGCTATACTAAAGGGAGTTGCTGTCAGATTTGCACAGCTGAGTAGGGAATAACTATGGAAGTCTTTAATTCTAGTTCTGATTCTCCGGTCTGTCTCACTAGACTTCTGCAAAATGCTGTTTGAGCTTTTGAGTCCATCCTTCTACATTTGCCAGGAGCTAAAAGAAAAGCATAAATCATACTGTGCATCGGACCCAAATCATCAAACCCCAAAAAATGTTCTGCCTCCTTTAGTAGGCAAAGAAAATGCATTATTTATCTAATAAGAGAATTCCTTTGAACTTTGGATCCTGAATAATTTGTAGTGGGTGTCTGGCCAAGGTGGATGTACAATTAACAACATCCACATTTGTTGGTGGATGTACAATTAACAAAATACTGATAAGGTGATTTTTTGCAGTGGCAGCTGACAAGTCCAAACCCTTGTGCTTTCAATCAGACTTTTAAAATATTCAATCACATTTCTACTATAGGGTATTTTTTCTCCTGGAAAGAGTGTAATGCATATTAATTAGGAAGAAAGTGTCATTGGGTAACAAGGAGAGATTCCCAATTATTTTACAAGTCAGTCATCCTGCTGCAGCCCATAACACTATCATCTTTTACTCCAGAGCGTTTCCTACAAAAATAGTTTTCCAGTGTGTACAAAAAAGGTTAATTAAAAAAAGGGAGAAACCAATTGCTTTATGAATAGAGGTTAGGACTGAAATCTAACACTTTAAAATAAAGATTAAACATTGACAAATTCCACAGATGAAATGTGAATAGGCATTTCTGTTCAGTCCCACTTATTTACATGCTCTTTCTAATAGCAAAGTGAAAAAATATAGTTTAAACTAGATGCAGAGAACAGATTAAATACAAAGAACTGCAAAATTACTGAAAATAATTGAATTAAATTCTCCTGTTCTGGCACAAGCCAGAAAACTTTTATCCCACAATTAGGCTGCAATCTTATACATACTTAATTGAACTTAGTGAGGCTTACTTCTGAGTAAACATGCTTAAGATGATGCTGTTAAACAATGGGCAGATGCTTTCCAGGGGACTCAGGATTCTCCAAGTTCCCAAATCTAAGGTGGAAAAAGTGTACTTGCAGGGTGGGAGAAGCAGGGAGGTGAAGATCATCTGCAGACTCTGACTTTGGAGGCTTATGGACATTGCCATTAGATTTTACATTAATTCACATTAATTCTGATGGGATTTAATCCCAGCTAGTTGGTATTTGGATGGATGGATGGATGGATGGATGGTGAAATACTCTGGGACTGATGGATTTTATTTATTTGATAATACTCTATGAAGCCCTAACTGTAGTGGTTGCTATACCAAATAGGATCCAGGATATTTTCAATAATATTTGTTTTCCATTAATGTTGAATCATAGGTACAGCCACCTACATTTAAATTAAGCAGAGAAGAGAGAAAGCCATACCTGGGAAGACATTATCCAAATACCAGGCCAGCAATCCATAGATAAAAGCATCAAAAAACATCATCTCTATAGAAAAGAAGAAACTATACTGATCCCCTTCCAGCGGGCTGATCCAGATGTTATCCCACTGTAGCCCAAGTCCTTGCTCTTCATAGCGTGACAAGTATTCTGCACCAAACCCAAAAGCTACAGGTGAAAGCAAACTCTGAAAGAGAAAGGCAATGAGTTCAATAGGCAAAATACCAAGCTATCTTGAAGAAAAAAACATCTTAGCAATAAACATATAAGGAAATCCATTGTAAACTAGCAGATGGGTTTCCTTGATGAGTCTTTCCTACATTCAGTGGGCTGGGGCAGGTAGAAAACAGAACATGTCCGATTAGGACTTTGGCAAACAGCGGCAACACAGAAGAGATCCTTCGGCTACTTCCCCACTCCCTCACCCCCCATGGCTTCCCTCTTTGTCTTCTTTGCTTACACATGCTGTTTCCTCCCTATTCTCCTCTTTGCATTGAAAAAATAAAGCTTGCAATGCCTTTACAATCCTCCTTTAGCTTCCCTCGAGGAACAATTGAAGCATGTTTACTCAGAAGTAAATCACATTGTCTTCAATAGCTTACTCACAAGTAAATCACACTAACTTCAGCAGAGCTAACTTCTGGGAAAACCAGCATGTGGGAAAACCAGCATGCATTTGTTTATTGGGAATTGCTTTTGGGTCGACGGGAACGGGGGTGCTGGTTCTGCTGGTTTCACCCTGTGGGAAAACAGCAGCAGGCTGCACCACAACGTCCTCTTCACCTCCCCCCTCCTTCTCCTTCTCCGTGGATTTCTACAAGGGAGCAGAAGGAGCTGTCTTTTCTGTTTTGCCTTTTTTAAAAGCCTCCACTCCTCCATGCTTTCACATTTGTCCCAACTAGTGATTAAAGAGTTGTCTCCTTGCACACCTTATCTTTTCAGCTCCTCCTGCATCTCCTTCCATTGCATTTGTGTATTACACAAGATCAGGTTTTCAACACAATGGAAACTATGCTGTATTCATTAGCTCAACTGTGATAAGTGTGTTTTGCAGAAATACCAGGACTATCCCTTCATAAATGATAAGAGCTCCAGTTCTTACACTTGTAGTCAATGTGATTTACAAACTGGTATACTTGTAATACACACACACATCTCCCAATGTTGTGTGAGCAAGGCACTGTGTATGTGAATAAAAATACTTATCCTTTTATTTCATATTGTCCACATTTCTATGAGACCATATTCAATGCAGCTAACAAGAGCTTTATTATATTTTCGCTGCCCTATCCTCTGGGTCAGTTCAGCACAGCATTCAGCAATAATAACCTAAGTCTCCAAAAATTCATTTGTTAAGTGATACACCTGGATTGCTTAAGGAGTCAAAGAACAACTAAAAAAAATATATTCTGTCTACTTCCTGATGTTTCTTGCTATTATTTCCATTACCCAAACTAAAGCTCTTTACGTAACTTCTGCCCTAGTTCTGTTCACACATACCTTCCTTCACTGCAATAATGTGCTTGATAGAGTAGGCTAAAAACCTACCATTATTTAGTAGGAACTAAGTCCCACTGAACACAGCAAGACTTGCAAAGGATCTCACTGTGGAGGGAGGCTCCCCTAAACTGCTATTTATTGAAGCATCCAGTAACACTTGCTCCTCCCAGAACTGAGGCAAAATTTCTTACAAAGCATTTTCCTGAGAATGTTTTTGTGGTGCTTTTCCTGAACTGTTGGAGAATTCTTCTTCCTAACTGGAAGATACCTGTCTTCACACCCTCAATTTCCCCATTCAGAACTAAAATGGGCAATCTTTGGAGACCATATTACCTGTAAAAATTTCAGTTCTACAGGCCTCTAATTAATTAATCAAGTGCTTTAAATAAAAGCAGCATTGGCATGATCATGCTACAACCACATAATCAAATAAAACATTTTATCTTTTTAGACACTATATTTCTTCTCACCCTAGTGCCTTTAGGGGGCATTTCTTGTTCAAAATGCCAAATCATAAAAAGGGTACTCTATACCACTGCTGCCCTCCTGCTAATTCCATTAGGCTCACTCGACACACTACTTATGCAACAAGAAGGGTGTGATGTGGTGTCCTGCAACAGCAGCGGGTTGGACTCGATGGCCTTCATGGTCCCTTGCAACTCTAGTATTCTATGATTCCATGAAGAACTAGCATGCCTGACCGTAAGCCTGGAAGTGAGTGGAAATGCCCAGTTCTGAAAGAAGACAGGTCAATGGTGCTTCCTTTTACAAATTCCACTGACCTGCCTCATTCCAGAAATGTGTGTTTTGCTCATTTCTAGTTGGTCCCAGACTGCTAGCAAGGGGTCCTGCTACTCCATGTGCAGTGTTGGATACTACCTAAAAATTCCACACACCTACTTAATTCTATTCAGGTTACACTATTTGGCTTTTTGTTGCACAGAGCATGTTGCTCTGGTGCAAAATTATTATTAATTCAATAATTATTTAATTTAATATTAATAGCCCTCTGGGCTATTGGGGTGGTATGTAAATGCAAATAAGTAATAATAATAATAATTACTACTACTACTTTAAACAAGGAGTAATCTGTATCCCTAGTTATAATTTGTTACCCAGTAAAATATAATAAATGGCCACCTCAAAGGGATAATGTAGCAGCCCAGCTAGATGACCTTGTAGGTTCTTTCATGATCATATGAATATTACAAGGAATGAAAGTATTGCACTATCAGCAGCTGCTCACATATGAAAATGAAAAAGCAAGAACTGTGTGAGAGCATAAAAATGGTTGAAAATATATTTCTATGAATTAACATGCTTGCAGCAAGTCTTAGGTTACAACCTGGGAGAGGGAAAGAAAGAGAAAAGGAAAAAGGTTTCTTACTGCCATAAGCTTTAGGTTAATAGTCAGACGGTCCTGCCAGGCAAAGCAGACGATGTGGGGCAAATAGAGGGTAAAGTAGATGACTCCACTGCATGCAGCTGCCAGATTAGCCTTGGAGAAAAAGGTGCTGAGCAAGAAGCACTGCATGATGCTGGCTGTGGTGAAGGTCAACAGGAACAAGAACAGGAGGCGGGGATTTGTATAGTGAAGCACTTTCCCATACTGTATTGAAAAAAGGAAGGGAAGGAGAAGATCCAGTTACTCATGTAAAGCTTGCTGGAGATTAGAGTTATCTTTTAGTGGTAAGGTAAAGGTAAAGGTTTCCCCTTGACGTTAAGTCCAGTCATGCCTGACTCTAGGGGGCAGTGCTCATCTCCGTTTCCTAGCCGAGGGAGCCAGCGTTTGTCCGCAGACAGTCTCTGTGGTCATGTGGCCAGCATGACTAAACACCCAAGTGCACGGAACGCTGTTACCTGCCCACCGAAGTGGTACCCTTTTATCTACTTGCATTTGCATGCTTTCGAACTGCAAGGTTGGCAGGAGCTGGGACGGAGCAACGGGAACTCACCCCGGTTCGAATTTCTGCAGATTCGAACCGGCGACCTTTTGATCAATCAGCCCAGCAGCACAGCGGTTTAAACCACTGTGCCACCTGCAGTCCCCATCTTTTAGTGGTAGCTCCTCATTTATGGCCGCACATTAATTCTACGTCAGCATTTTTATCATGGCTAATTGAGTACTTTATCAAAAAGGGAAGTGGGGCAACCCAATCAGGACAGTGAATTGAATGCCCTTCCTCTAGACAAACATGTCTCTGTCAACATGGTTCTATGCTGATGTTTTGGACTACAACTCCCCTCAGACCATCATGACCAATGGTCATGGATGAGCAACATTAGCAAGGTAATACAGATCTTCTTTTTTGGTAGACATCAATAGATAAGACAATTTTTACTTTGGATCAATTGGTGGGTGCTGATGATGAATTCATGTTTTTCTCCATCCTGCATGCCAAATACCAGTTGCCAGCTATGGCTGGGTGCAGTACTTGCAATCGCAGAATTTGTTATTATCTAGGTTTGACTGCATCAAAGTCTCCATCATTACTGAAAACATTTCTTGAGGCAAGTCCACAATCTGTTTCTCTGAATGCTTTTCTTAGAAAATAAATATGATATGCAGGGGTTTAAGGAGGAATGGATTGGGGAGTTGGAATGTCCCATTTTGCCTATGCAATGGATCAAGTACTGCAGGAGTCTGCTACACTTTATACAAACACCAGTGAGCTCTTAGCTTTGTAGAAGGCCTCTTGGGTTATACAATCTTACTCAAGGTCTAGGCATGACTAACACAGAGAAGGTGCTGCACCCTGCATATACCATGGAGTGGAAGCAGATAGGATGAGTGTACACCCTCCCAAGGGACACTGGGCTACCTTTTCGCAGGCTTCTAGGAAGGGCTGTATTCAAACACAGTCCCACTTTGACTTCCTCTCAACCCCTCCTATATATTCTCAAAACATGCAGTGTCAGCAGTCTTGCAGCTATTCCAGTCAAACTAAATCATTCAGATCAATCTAGATATTTGTTATCAATAAGGCTGTGATGGGTTGATGTACTTAGCGTGGCAGCATTCTAAGGACTACTGCTGTTACAGGAGTTTATGAACATCAGGGGATGTAGTGGAACCCCCTTTCATATTAACTGCCTTCAATTAACTGATTTTTGAAACGGTACCCTTGCATTTTGTTTTAAATGTTTGTCCAAAATCGAGTAACAAAGTTAAATTATAATGATAAGATGGCATACCTAGGCATACCTAGGCTAGAAAAACTGACATATTACATTAGTTTGGGCACCCATACAGAGAAAGCTTTGCTCACTGAACTTGGGTCTGTTCCTACAATAGTTCTTCAGAAATATTTGTCTTCTAGCCATCAGTATCATTTTGATCAGAAAAGCAGTCTCTGTTTTGAAACACTGTGCATCATAAAGCAATCGAAAGAACACTGTATCCTTGTAATAAACAAATAGTAAGAGCAAGCAAAACAGCAGATAAGAACTTAGAACAGCTTCCTCAACCAGGTGCTCTCCTGATGCATCGAACTATAACTTCCACAATCTCCCTACATCCTTTGTGTCCCAATGTCATCTTCTGTTTGTAATCTTCTTGTATTTTCCCACTGCATGTTCCATCATTTTCCTTACTGCAGAAATCTGTTAAAGAAGGAAAGATGGAATAGCTTCCCAAAACCTTTTGATCGATAATACTGGGAGCTGCTCATCTTGAAGCACCCTTAGAAGGGAAAAGATGCCTCACCGCCAGGTTTGAAAAGAAGAGTTTGGTATGTAAGGGAAAATGCCTCCTAGAGGCCTTCCCAAAGTGAATGCTATGTTTAGAACGTGACCTGTCAAGCCTAATCCAACCCGAGGCACTGTCATGAAGACAGTCTTGTAAGTCTCACCAGTGAATTTATCTCTCTCTGTCAACTGTTGATGCTGCCTTTGGGGGCTACTTAAAGGAATGTTTCTGCTGCTACATGCTCAAAAGAACCCAGAGCTCCAATAAGCCTCCTCTTTTTATGTATCGTTCCTATTGTTCCTTGCTAATACTTGCAGTGCAACTGTAAAATGGCACGTCTTGTCCCTAAACACAAACACACACCTCCAGTTGATGCTTACTGTAATGAGGGCTGTCAGGAGAAGGGTGCTCAAAGCCATCATGATAAAGCTGTCTAGGAACCATGCAAACCAAATTGCCCCATTTGTGACACCCCTGTTCTTCATGGCCTCCTTCAGTCTCATTTCTTTCTCCAGCACGATGCTCTTCACAATCATGGAAACTGAGTAGATCCAAGCAAGCACCATGAAAATGGGGAAGGAGCGATTCAGAGTAACCATGAAGCTGTCCAGGAGAAAAATAAAATGCAGGTAAAATAAGCTGTTTCCAAGAATCACCATACAAGGATTGGAGATATATATAAATATACACATGCAGATAACATGTTCAGATATGGACAGATTGAAACTGATCAAGGAGCTGTCCTTTCTCTTAAGGGAACTCTGGGAACTGTAATTTGATGAGAGGGTATATATCCCTAACAGAATCTTGAGCACCCTCACCAACTACAGTTCTCAGGATCCTTTGGATAAGACCCATGAAATTGGAACAAAACTGATGCAAGTGTGGAATGCAGATACACATCAAAGTCAAGAAAGGAATGGAGGTATTAGGAGTTCACTGAATTTTAATGACTAAGGTTTCTGGACCTCTTCTGAAGAGCAAGGAAGAGGTCCCATTTCAGAAGAACTTCTATTTCTAGACATTTTTTTTCCTGAAAATCTTACTCTTTTCTAAAGTTTTAACAGTCATATATCTCCAAAGGCGGTGGATATAATTCAAGCAGAGGGAGAAAAGAGGATGCAACCTCCAATCATGGAAGAAATGGAGAGCTTAGCTACCCTTTCTCACATTTTTTGAGAAGCCATTACAAATAACTTAAAAAGAGTGAGGCAGAGGACGGTAGCAGTGGCCATCCATGACTGACTGCATGACTGCAATTAAAAAATCATCCCTACTTATACAGAACAACCCCAACATGATTTCAGTTTTGAGCATTTTAATTGTTTATAGAACTGAAATCTGTCCTCTTTATGGACGGAACTTTTGCTGAAGAGGCTTAGAGAGAACTCTTCAATAGAACTCTGATGATAGAACTGTTGCTGAAGAGTTCCATAGACCAAAAGCTGAGGCTTTCTCCCACCACCAGAATTTTAGCTAAAAAACTAGGCCACTGTTCAGAGTATCACACAAATCATTATGAACATTCTTTTCTTGTCACTTACAGGTAGCAATCTTATTTTGGGCTCCAACCTGCACTTACTGCCAGAGCTCTGTGATCAGTTCTCCTTCTGAAATACCCACTAGCTACAGGTAGATTTGCATGGTCATGCCTCTGTGCTGATATAATCAAGTCAGCACATGGAGAAGTGGCAATTAAAGAAGGACAAGAATAAACCCACATGATGCATTTATGGGATTAGCTCCCTCTTATTTTGTCTGTCCTGAGGTTGGGTAGGGGAGGGCACAGTAAAACATTTGGAGCCAAAGATAAGATCACAGCAGTAGGATTGTATTAGCCAGAGACAAAAGGACAGGGAGACAGATTATTTCTCACTCTAGCTTGAAAAGTGAGAACAATGTTGCATAAATAAAGAAGAACACATTTGACAATAAACTTAGGCCATACCATATATGGAAAAGAATATTTTGCAAATCAAAATGGTGCCCTTTCAGGGCCAATCATACCATTAGACATAGTGAGGCAATCATCTCAGGCAGCAGATAGTGAGAGCTAGGAATTGCAGGGAAGGCATTAGAAAACAGAGAAATATGTGCCACCCAGTTTGCCCTGTGCTCCCTAAGTCAGTCTGCTGTTCCCAGGTATGGCAGAAGATAACGTCTTATAACTAGTGTTGAAGTAACTGCCTGTCTAGTCAGCGTCATACATGGAGCAATGGTCTATTGTGTATTACATTTCAGGCCATACTATGTATTATACTAGCCTAAACAAAAATAGGCCTTGTCCACTATTTAGGACATGACCTACATACACATGTGTATACACACACATTCATGCACACTAAGACTGGAGACCACAAAATGGTGCCCTTGTGGAATTGGCTGTATGACCACTTTGCATTGCTTCATGATAAGGCTGGCCCTGCCAACTGCATCTGTGAAGTATTAAGCCATGCTGCATTTCTCCCTATATCTAACCACATGGATGACAGCCTGGTGGAATAATTTACTTAAACACATTTCCACAAGTAAGAAATATTAGGACAATGACACTCAATAACATTTGGTAATGTAGCATGTGCAGCACTATTGAGATAGTGCAATTTGACACACAGGTAATTCCTTTGGGGTTTAATGGGTCTTCCTCCCAGGTAAATACCTGACTTTTTAATTATACAGAGTCAATCTTTTCAGAGGGGGGAAAAAAGTGAAAATCGTATAGGAGTCTATTTTGTCATAATAGATCAAGATGAAATAGTTACTTCAGAGTGATTTCTTATACACAATGGTATGAATGAGCATTTGTGGTTGGAGCATTTCACTTCTGAAATAGTTTTTACCTGAAGCAGATGTTCTTACCTGTTACATTCACTATGGTAACAGTGTGGTGTAGCAGCTAGCGTGTTGGACTAGGGCTGATGAGATCTAGGTTCTGGCCCCTGGTCACCCATGAAATTTACTGGGTGACTCACCAGGAGAGTCATGGACTCTCATAGAGTCATTGTGAGGATAAAATGGAAAGGAGAACCTTATAAGCCACACTGGGTTCTTTGCAAGAGGAAGAAAGGTGGGGCATAAATGTAGTGTACTATTGCCTTTCACTAAGTGGCTATTTGTGTACTCCCACTTTTTAAACAGGGAGTGCAGAACCTTTTTCTGCCTGAGGGCTGAATTCCATTTTGGAGCATTTGTCAGAGGCTGCATTCCAGTGACGGGCAGGGCTGTGGGCAAAATAGGCCAGACCCAAATATTTTTTTAAAAAAATGCAAGCATATTTCAGATTAATGCTTTGAATTAATCTCAAGGGATTTCAAACTTTTAGAACTAGGGGAATGGGAGGTGGGGAGCACACTACAACAGTATGAAAGCTAAGGAAACACCAAATGATCAGTAGTTGCGAGAAAGGAGATTGACAATCTGGGATCCTGGAGAGCTGATTGGGATCCCAGGTGGGCTGGATTTGCCCCCTATGCTGAAAGCATGGATCCTCAAACTAAGGCCCGCGGGGCAGATCTGGCCAGCCATGCCCTTTTAACTGACCCTCCCACAGGTTTTGCACTCGCTGGGCACACGCGCAGCTTGCTCACAAGGAGGTTGTTTTGGAAACGCTTGGAGAAAACAATCTCCTTGTGAGCAAGCCGGCACCTCACCCCGTGCGCCCCCCTCTCCGCCTCGTGCGCGTGCGCGCCCTGCCCCCACACGGGCCTGCGCCTCCCTGCCAGCACCACATTGGCGGCCCGTGGTCACTGCTGGCACCTGGCAACTGGCCCCCTGTTTAAAAAGTTTGAGGACTCCTGTTCTAAAGAGTACAAACCTAAATAATAAATAAAATGCAGTTTGCTTTAACAATTACAGCACTGAGACTGACCACCAGAGGGCTCCCCTTCTTCAGATGTGTCACTTTTCTGCACAGCAAGAAGGCAAGTGGTCCTTTGCTGTTGTTTGTGTTACTGCACATTACCCTCCACTGTATAATGTAAGCTAAATAGTAAAGAGAAGACAGCCACAAAAACAATACTGACAACAAAGAAAAAGACACAAATGGGATCTCTTTCATTACTCGTTGGGCTTTGCTAGTAACCCAGCTCTCCTTTTGCACAATACCCATTTTTATATGGCCATCATGGAATGCAACCAGTTGAAACAGCATTACGTTCCTTTCCCTGCCTGTAAAGGAGTGACCTGGGGTTGATGATGATTGATGATAAATCAAAGGAATGTGAAGCCTTTGGTGGGAGCAAGACCCTTGCAAGATCCCTACCTCGGTTGCCTGAAAAAGTCCATTCAGCCTGTAACTTCAGGACTGCTCTATTTAAAGGAAAATTGAAGCTGAAGTGAGAAGCTATCATTGGTTTGTATTATTCACAGAACTCTTACGCTGTGCTTGCATTGCTCTCCCCAGCCCCTGCTCTCCCCTGAGCCTCAACTGACTCCTACAGTTGCAGAACCATTATTCATTCCATTTTTATCTCACCCTTCCTTCTTCCAAAAGGATGGCGAATATTGTTGCCTGCCCCACTTTACCCCCAAGCAACTTTGTGAGGCAGATGAGGCTGAATAGGACAGGTCCACTTTCAAGATTTTCTAGGATTCTTCTGAACATTGTCTCACTGGTTGTATCCTTTCCAATTTCTGTTTGTTTTGCAATCACGGCTCACTGTATGAAATGGAAAACTGTAAAAATCCAAGCAGCTATGGAATATGAAACTTGCCCAGTTCTTCCAGTTTGCGCAACTTTCATCCATAGACTAAAAAGATGTTGATTCAGCCTGTAGGGATATTTGTGTGAATTAGGAATTTTGAGCAAAACTGAACTGGGAGATTTGAGCTAATCAAAGATGAGCACATGTCCAGCAATGCATGGACACTTTTGGTGGATGCATGTTCATATTTGTGATTGTATTCAAGGCACCGAATAGGGCATGATTGCATGTTGTGCAAGCAAAAATAAAATTCTCATACATTCCTAAGGCTGAGAGACAGAGACTGGCCCAAGGCCACCAATGAGCTCATGGCTGACCAGGATCTGAACACGGGTCACCTCAGTTCCAGTCTGACTCTGTAACTAGCTACATTATATTTCAGCATCCGTCATCCCCATCCATCATGACCATTGGCTAGGCGTGATGGGAATTGGAGCCCAACACAGCTGGCTGGGGAAGGCTGTTCTGTCCACCACACCACAGAACCCCAGCAACTGCTGGCACTTTGAAACTTGCTGGACCAAAATGACGACACATCAGAGACAGAGCCACAGCTTTTGCTTCTGGCTTCTAATTTGCAGGGGAATTCTGAGGTCATGCCGGTGCAGGGCAGAAAATATAGCAAAATTCTGTTAGGCCAGTCAGTTCAAAAAAGATTATCCATGTTCTGACCATTTTGGAAAAGAAAACACAAGTCGTGTTTCTGGGTTCTCTTAAAGAGTTGAAGTATGTGTGTGTACTTGTGTACTAATTAGAACTTTTACCTTATGAGAAAGTTTACCTATAACCCTGAAACTTCTCTTACATTCTCCTGCTGTTAATGGAATCATTGGACAGCTGTTTTCCAATGCAAGTGAGATCACACCTCAAGCCTCCCTTGTCATTCTCTATTTTGGGTATTAAAATGCCATGGCACTTTGTTTGGTTCCAGACTCCTTATCTCAGGCTTAACTAAATCAGCACAACTTTGACTCCTTGCGGGTGGGGGATTTTGCCTAATACCTTCATCCTGGGATTTCTGTAGCTAACCAACAAGATCAAAGACAAAAGCAGCCCTGCCTCCCATATAAGCCCATATGCCACCCACCCAGCCACCCAATTAGTTATCAGAAACAGATTGCTGTGGCTGTTCTTACTCACACATCATCTACAAAGCAGGGGTAGGGCATTTGTTGCAGGTAGATCCCTGGAGACATGTCAACACCAGTGTGGGTCTTGATAATCCCATGCTCAATCATATCTTGCAGATAGGCAAACCCTCCCCAGATGTACCGCAAATCATCCAGTGGGTCAGCTCGTGGACCAGGATCCCAATACCTGTGAAGACAGGTGAAGCACGTACTTAGCCTAGGAAGCTGCAATTGCAGGGGTCCTGACCAGTGTCAGGTTTACAGGATGAAGGATTAAGACAGGAGTAGGCCAATGGGCACACTGGCCATTTGAAAATCTGTTTTTGGTGCTACCACAAAATAGCTGCCAGGTGAGGTATGGTCAGTCCCAAAGGATAAGTAACCTTTTGACACAAGACTGTATACAAATAGAGCTGGGGGCTGATCCCCACTATATTAAAGATCCCTTTAAAGCCAGTTTTCAGCACAAAAACAAACTTATTTCCCAGAAAGTAAACACTTTTTTTCCTCCCCTGACCCTATCCTCAGTGTGCCAGCCAACTAATTTCCCCTTCTTGATTTCTTTTTCTGCCTAATGTGCATCACCATCCATATATCTGCTTCCTCTCAAAATATGGCTTTTATGATTTATTGATTTCCTTACAAGGAGGTATGGCAACATACCTTGGCAGGCATCAAGAACAGTGTATGATGGTACACTGGTGCCCATGGGCATCATGTTGCCTATCTCCGGGTTGCAGACTCCCTACCACCTGGTTCAGGATTTGACCCAGATCACAGCCTCCTCCACTAGATAAATGTGAAAGAAAAATCTTGCCCTCATGGGCAAACCACTGGATTCGTGTAATGCAGAACTTTAATTCAATGTGTAAAATTTGGGAAATGCTACCACTCCTTCATGTACAGTTAGCTTATCTTTGATTCAATCAGTCTTTCCAGCCTTCCTTTGGCTTTCAATCCATATAACATGGTCTGATTCTAAATAAGCATTCTGTTCTGTATCATGCTGAAAAGATTCATTATCCTGCCAGCTTATAAGTACCTGTCTGAAAGCACACACAGATTTTGGAACAGCAGCTGAATGGATTTTGGGACAGGGTGAGTGTGCCCCCTCAAGCAGCAACTACTGGGGTAGTGGAGAAGAGAGAAAGTGGAGGAACATAGCTACAGAACTATTTTCAGTGCAGGCCTACTAAAATGCTAGTGCAATTTCCTTTCTCTGCCTAGTGAATGGAATTTTCCAGTTGTACTGTTGTACTTTGTGACAAATTAGCAGAGGGGAAGTCAGGTTGCACTGGGTGCCAGTCATGATGATCCTAATAAACTGAGCATTATGCCATGCACTGCTGTTCTGGGGTGGGAAACACTCATTGTCCTGCATTTTAAAAATTTACCACCATACCAATGAAGGACACCAGCATGTCAGTCACTTTTTTGTTGTTATGTGCCACAAACCTATGGTGACCCTATGAATGAATGCCCTCCAAAATGTCCAGTCCTTCACAGTCCTGCTTGTTCACTTCACCTATTATTATATTTTCACTACATGGATATGTGTTAGATTTTTTGCCTTAATTACCAAACTGTTATGATTAATATTCTGGCTGCAATCACTGTAGTCCCACTACCATCCCACGGTCAAAACCTGGGCCATGCTTGCCATGCAAACATTGTGAGAATAAAAGACTATCACCTGTCCTTTATTTTGTTTGTTTTCTCCACTGCATCAATATCCATACGAATCTTGTATTTCACATGAGGTGGCAATTGGCTGGCTTCTGGGTCCAAATCAGAAAAAACAACAGCAGCCCAGAACTTGCTTTCTTCTAGAAGATGGAGGACACGATGAGTCATCTGAATTTCATCAGCCTGGCCTTCAAATTTATCAAGAGTCAAACACTGTAGAGAGCAAGGAAAGCATGTGGCATGTTGAAATAAGATAGCTGGGAACATACATGAGAAATCAACATCAGAAGTCACCTTGGTATGATTCAGGCACTCATGAGGAAAACAGGGTCACTGTCATTTTATTGCGCCTTACTCTGTAGCAGAGGTAGAGAAAAAATATCCCATTAATGTCTGTATTAGCTCAGTCCAAACCTGTCAGGGTCTGCATTCCAGCAATGGGCAGGACCAGAGCTTAACGTGGATAGAAACAGATCTGACATGGGCAGAGTTTGCAAAATGCCCTGAGAGCAGTTGAAACTAGGCCAACATCTGCATTTGGCCATTGGACTGCAGATTTCTCATCTCTGTGCTAACACTACAGCAACACTGCACATTGAAACTAGTGTGAAATCTAATTAACTGTGTCACGGTGTCTCCTGTATGCCCCTCCACCCCCAAGAAAATATTAATCTAGTTAGAGCTCTTGATACATTTTCATCTCTAGGAAAGAGAATACAAAAGCGAGAAGAAAATCATCATCTTGAAGCTTCAGTTCTGGTTGGGATGAGGGTGAACTTTTAGTTTCAAGGGCAGAACCTTTTTTAATGTGTTCCAGCCTGGATCAGATGTTACTATCTCTCCATGGTAAGGGTGTGCCAGAAAGGCACAAGGAAGCTATTTCTGTGGTAAGTCACATTTTAACAACCTGTGGTTTCTTGGTTGGGAAACATAGAAGACTTGAAATCATGTAAACATGCCTTAAATCATTTGTGGGAAATGTATGGTCCTCCATAAGTTGTTAGACTGCAGCTTTCACAGGAGAACAAACAAAATTACCAAGTTGAGACAAGGGTAAAGTACCACAATCCTAGAAGCTGAGACAGCACTGCACACTGGGGTGGAATACTCCAGATATGGTTTTCTGCCAAAATGGCTATATAGTTCTGGTCAATTTCATGTTAAATAATCTCATATCTGAAAAATGTAGTGTTATAATAGTTTAAATGGTGGATGAAAATATGGAAAGGTCCCTAGTATAAACAGCAGTAAGGATGAAAAGCATGCCTGAAAAAGCAGGTTGCTTACCTGTAACTGATGTTCTATGAGTGGCCATCTGTGCAGTTACATGTATGGGTGCTGTGCCTGCACAGTGCCTATGGCCAGAGATTACAAGCTAATGGTTTTTTTGGCGGGAAAGGTCCGCTCCCCCTCCCCCACAGCCTATAAAGAGCGGAACGTCCGCCATTTTCTTCAGTCTTTGATGACCAGATGGACGCCCCCATGTGGAAAAAATTAGTTCTTCCATGAGCAGTATTGGTACTAAGAAAAACAATGAACAATATCGGTACCAAGAAATAATGATAACATTTGGTACCAACGAAAGGTCCACTCACCGTTAGCTATCAATCTCCCGGCCATAGGCACTGCGCAGGCGCAGCATCCATATGTGTGATGGACAGAGGCCACGACAAAGAATCCAAAATCCACAGCTATGTAGGTAATTCCTTTATTAGGTCCAACCAAAATATCTTGAGATTGTGCAAGCTTTCAAATATTCCAGATCTCTTCATAAGTCTAGAACCTAGACTCCAGATGTTTGTTTTAAATAACTGAACAAAAAACTAATAAATGGAGACCAGAAAAGAATAGAAAAGTCTCCAAGGTAGACCAGATATTCTGGCCATACACTCTGCAGGTTTGACCCAGTCTCAGAATTGAGATTGCCATCCAAACACATTAGCCACCAGTGGGTGTTTCACGTATCAAATTACACATAGCATGTTGGGACAAAGGAGGAATGGCTGAGCTCCATTCTTGAAAGTATGGAGAGTGTCTTGTAACTCAAATCTGCCTCTTTCTTTGGACAAAACTTACAGGTTGATTGGTAGGCAGATTGCAATATGATAGAGGCTCCCCTGGAAAAGATGTCTCTAAAATGAAATACCCAGGAATTTTGGAATTAAAACTGAATTGTACTAAAGAAGCAGAGGTCTAAAGGAGATTGTGGTTTTGCTTCACAGCGCTTTTCCCAAATGCTCAAAGCACCCAGCAGTTCTAACAACTCTGCAAGTGCACTCAAGCCCCATCTTTTGTTCCATATATTACAGATGTGGTATCACCTAAGGATAAGAGGTAACAGCTTGTCCAAGGCCACCAGGTATGTTCCTAACTAAGGACTTAGAGCTTATAGCACATGCTCTCAACCACTATAGTAGAACAGTTTTGTACAATAGACACCATGCAATAATTCAGTTTCATCTACTGATACAATGAGATTTAACTGAACTCCAGGGTATCACTACAGAGAAAGCAACTGGAAATACCATAAAAGCCATATATTTATATGGATAACTTAGCCACCATAAACCATACATTGGTAAACTCATGATTAGATATCTGTAATGTGCTGTCTATGAGGCTACTCTTGCACCTGGTTTGGAAGCTTGAATAGTGAAGAATACAGCAGTTAAGATGCTTGCTGGAGCACCTATCTATACAGACATTCAATCTGTATCAGAACAACTGCACTGGCTGCCTATTAGTGACCAAGCCCTGTTAAAGACTTTGGTGCTGATACTCAACCCTTCTGGGAAACTGTCCCATATGAGAGACAGAAATTGTGGCAAAATTTAAATGAGGGTGCACTTATTTACTTAGTGTTTCCCTCACTTACTATTCACACTGCTCCACATTACTGTTTGCTTTTTAATTCTTTACCCGAATTCTAACATTTTAAATATATTTATTATTGCTTCTAGACTGGTTTTATTCTGTCCTTTATATATGTTTTATGTAAAGTGATAAAGCTCTTATGATATCAAGTGGTATCTAAAGAGTTTAAATAAATAACTAAGGGGACTACCCATAAGATTATGGGCATCCAGTTGTGTGCAGGAGGAATGTGGAGGCCAGGATTGATGCTGAGCTGTTCTTGCTCTGCAGAAGAGGCAGGCAACTGATTTTGACTGCCTGTGACTTTTGTCTCTGTTCACAAGCAGCTGGGGCTAAGGCACTGTTGGGATGCATTGTATCCTACTATCCTTCATTGCATTAGTTCAAAAGATGCACAGAAGTAACAATTACAACTGCAAGGGCGGAAGAAGGACACTTCATAGTCGGCATCCCAAGTCTGGCTTTATAATGTATTTCTGAAATCGTCCCTGGGACTTAGACCTATCTTGTGGTCATCTAGACAGCATCTAGCAGCACTGGGATTGCACCTTAATAGTAATAATAAATGACATGGCTAGTAACTTGAGGGACAAAAAAGCTCAAACAAACCCATAATCACATATTTGTATCTTTCTCATAGTTCCTAACTTCAAAATTAGGGAGTTGTTATCAGTTTCTCATCTGGGCCAGTGAGTAGACAGTATTCAGTTCCTAAACTGACTGGGAAGAAATGTATTTAATTACCTCACTTTATAGAATGCCACAAAGCTAACTTGTTTGATCTTATCTTCTCAATGATCTCTTGCAGGCCAACAACCAACAATTACTGTACATCAAAGTGCTCACAGACAACTTGTTATTTAACTAGCAGGCCTCTCTGAAATGTTAAGTCCCCTTTTGTTTATCCTTGTTCATCTAAAGAAATGGTTTGCTATTTTGTTAAAAGAAAAACACACATCTGCCTTTGTTTAAAAATAAGGTTCCTAAATTAACCTGACCTGATGACATTCCAAAAGATGCCTTAACTGTTAGAAGGCTATGTCAGGGCTGTGTGCATTTTTTAAAATGGAAGCAATAAGCAACATTACTGTGCACATATGCAAGAGAGCAGATGATGCAGTTTGACCACTGAAGTGAAGGGTCAATCTACATATAATGGTCAGTCACATGAATTTTTTCATCAAGGTAGTTTTTAAACCCAAAGGAGAAACTTGGAGGGAAAAGATTCCGTTTCCTCTGCCACACACAAACACACTATGTGCTGTATGCATAATACTCCATCTATCTGAAAGCTTATGTCAGAATAAATATATTTGCCTTTTATGTGTTACTAGGCTCTCTATTGTTTAGGATCTGATTAGGCTCCCCCTATGCCAACTAAGCTTCTAACAAAAGGCTCATGTGATGTCATAAGCTGTTTTGGAAAGTCTTGTTCATTTCAAAAATGGCTTGCCTTAGAACATGGGAGACCGCTGTTCAAGAGACACAAGCCCAAAGCCCCATGGGGGCCACACTAAGCTAGTGGACTTGTTTTTAGACAAAGACCATAAGCAACAAGAATATGAAGCAACTACAGTACTAACTTGTTACTTTACAGAAGCAAACAAAGCACCACAATACCACCTAGGCTTTATTTGTATGACCAGAAGGAACTTATGAAGGAACCATTCACTATATCCTTTTGAGTTTTAACTGGAATCTACCTAATAAGCAACAGAAATGCATAGCATTTATGATCTGGTAATGAGGCAGAATACAGGCATCATATCAAAAATTAGGGGGCTCTAAATCCTGCAAAGTGTCACACACTCACATATATAATGATCAAACAAAAATAGCCTTAAATCTGTTTAGTAAAACATTTCAAGTTGCAGTTAATACAGATTCACATTTGTGTATGATATTTTCTGAATCCCTATATAAATTGTGAGGCAGTGAATCACTTTGTGCTCAGTGCCCTGAGCTATTCAGATCAATAGTACAAAATCTGGTAAAACAGATACAAAGCATAATGATCAAGAATACTTGATTTAACATTAAATTGACCTGTTGGGTTTTGTTTTACAAATGTTTGTTTATACTGAATTGCCTTTCCCCATTATTCATGTGAGGTCTGACCCACCCTCACCCATCAGTTAGAAAGATAAGGCCCCATCATTAATGCCTGTGAAGGCCACTCCTTTAAAGCCCCAAGGGAAGAACCCCATTGTTCTACTCAGCTCTCATCCTGTCCCATGCCAGAAGTTCACCTTTGTATCATATTTTTCATCAGCTAATGAGACCCCCAGAGCTTTAGCAGTGTCTAATTGCAAACATTTATCTGAAAGACCATTATGACCACCCACATCACACTATTATACTTCATAAAGGAGTGAGAAGTAAAAAGTTATGCCACTCCAAAATGCCATAAGAGGACACAGACTAACAAGAGCAAATTATTCCTAGAATTAAAGTGCAAGTAATTCTTCCCTGTGTATGCCTGGATCAAACTACATGTGCTTCATATGCAGTGCCCTCCTCTCCATGTGTGTTCTGTTTTTATCTCAACCAAACTCCCAAGCAATACACCTGATGGGGAGGGGAAAGCTTAAACTTTTCTTCTTCAATGGCTCCCAAGCACATTTAAAACTCCACATATATATTTGCTGGGGGTGATGATGGAAGTTGCAGTTCAGTGTACCTGGAGGATACCAGATTAGGAAAGGCTGAACAAGAAACCCACTCTAACTGAGAATGTCTCCATTTTCATATTGACTTGGTTCACACGTAACAGAAATTCACGGATTATTTAATCTATGCATTGTTGGGGTTATGCAGGAAGAAGTGAAAGTGCTGCTTCCCATTCGGTTTCTCAAAATCCCCAGGAAAACCCTGTTCCTAGTTCATTTGATGCAATGTCCAAACCTGCACCTCTGGGTTGTTAAAGAATTTTTTTCTGAACAATAAAACATGAATTCAAAATCTGGGTTGTTTGTTCCTCACCAACCCAGAATTCGGGATTTGAATGCAATATTCCTGGGTCATTTTAGAAACCTGAGACAAAACAGAAGTGGTCAACATATGGGGGATAATGCATGGACTTGCCCATTTACATAGCCCCGACAAACCATCATTTGAAGAACCTATGTTATGTGCGATCTGGGCCACTGAAAAAACTTGCATATCTGACCTCTAGGTATTGGTGAACCGTATGCAGAACTTGGTTGATGACACTGAAGATATTTCTCCAATCAAAGCTTATCATGCCTTCCTTTCTTTTCTCAGGTGGCCCATTGTAGAGAAAATTGATCAGGTCTTCAGCAGTTAAATCATCAAAATGTAGTTGCTCGTTTAAGAAACCTTTCACTGTAGGATTTTGCAAAGTGTCCTGTAGGAAAAACATCAGATTTAAATTCATAATGTACATGCATAAATGCACTTTCAGTATTATATCAGTTACAACTTTGATTACTGTTATGGAGTACCTAAATGCTACCTGCCAAATATATATTCCTGAATCTGCATTTAGTAAAGTAATTCAAATTCAGGGGAAGGGGTACTTCCCTTGATCCTTCCTATGTCCACAGATATTTCCGTCTCCAAAGTCATGCCCCATTCCAGAGCAAGATGCAAAATAGTGGCTTGGGTGGGTAGATTAAAGAGTAGGTGACTCTGGCCACGTACTCAGCTCATGAACTTGTGATCAGTGCTAGAACCAAGCTCACCTACAAATTCACTCGTGCTTTCTCAACCAAGGGTTCTTTTTTGGCAACCTAACTCAGGAAGAGGGAAAGCTTTTCAGCTTTGTCAATCTATTGCAAATCTCCCAGAGATCTATTAAGCATTTTACCATCTACCTTCTGCCTACAGGTTTTCAATGCCTTGATACTTAAGAGGTATGTGCACCCTGACTGACTACATTGCTGAAAAAGCAAGTTAGATCCTCAACTCCTGCGGCCAAAAAAAAAAAAAAAAGTGTGGGGGGGAGACTTTTGCTATGATCTTCTTTTCCTGTTTTCTAAACACATGTGTTCCTTGCAAGTACTTTGGACTTTCTCTGTTCCCAGGTTGTAATTCACAAACTGCTCAAAACCCTGCATTTCATAGTCACCTCCCCCACAAAAAATGCTGGCTTGTCATTTTCCAGCTTGTTTAAAGAAACAAAGCTGGGAGAAAGGTACCTTGAATGGAAGTGGTAGTTATTAGATATCTGAGAAGGGGGCGTCTGCTCAGAAGATGACGACAACAATCTATCATGTATGTGAGAAGTATAGCTCATCCTTAATATACCCCCATATCCAGCTAGATATTCAAATGCTTTGCCATACATGACTATGGTATGGCCCTTTCTCTAGAACCAATGGTACCCGATAAGTTCATGGAAGACAGAACTATCGAAGGGCTGAGTACCAGAGGCAGGGAAGAAGTCATGTTTTCCTTCTGAGCTGCCAGTATTCCATAGAAGCACAGAACTGTGGCCTGGAAGGAACCTTGAAGATAATTTAGTGCAACTCCCTGCTCATCCCTGTTCTTCAGTGCAGCATGCATCTAAGGTAGCTTTCCCCAACTTGGTGATCTCCAGATGTTGCAGAGTTCAAGGTTTATTGGCATCAGTCAGCACAGTCAATAGTCAGGAATGCTCCATTTTGTAACGAAAGACATCTGAAAAGCTAGGCCTGGCCAATGTTTTTTCCTGTTTCAAATGAGGCAGCATCCCCCTGCCACTCTGTCCCTTACTCCTGCTTGCCTACCTACTCTTTTCCACCCAGCTGTGAAGTTCTCATAAGAGGTAAGCTGAGCCGTCATGAGAGCCTTGTGCCCCAGAGTGAACTAGAGGGAGAACGCAGGACTGGCTGGACAAATAAGTGAGGGAGTGGTCATGGCTAGGCAGGTGGTGTCCCTTGCTGCATGTAATAAGAAGGGGGGAAGTAGAGAGAAGTGCTTTTCCTGCTTCACTCCTGATGTGAGCACATCAGCCAACCTAATAGTAAGGCACCTGGACCTGTAGAAGGCACTATGTTGGAGAAGGCTTAGTTACAGCATCCCTGAAAAGTGGTTGTTCAGCTCTACTTAAATATATCTGGCAACGGAGTATACCCCCTTCCCACCTAAAATAGGACCACCTTCTGAGGCACTTTGTTCTCTTGACAAACAACTCTCACTTGTAGATGGTTTCTCCTATCCTTTAGCCAAGTTCTGCATCCCTGAAATTTCCATCCATTCATTCTAGTCTTGCCATGTGGAGCTACAAATAATAAGCCCCTTCTCTTCTGCATGGCAACCTGAGTAGCTCCTACCGAATCAGAGAATGCTAAACAACCTAGCCTTTTGTCAGTCCTGGTCATGCAATTGCTATGCTCTTAAGATTTATTCTTCTTCATAGTTTGCATTTGTTTATCAATTTTCCACATTAAATTAGCAATAAACTAGAAATAAGGCATCCATACATACCCGGATCATGTTCATTTGCACACTGTTTTGAAAGAAGTTCCACACCTGAGGTCCCAGTTCTTTCCAGGCTTTAATCAGGAGTTGGAGGCGCTCAAGTTCCTCAAATGTGGAATTCGCCTGAGGCATTCAGAAGACATTGCAGAAGGGAGAGGGAGGTACAGTGGGTATAAGTGTTAATTTCCTCATTAAATAACACAGGATAGAAAAAGAGTAGGAAATGGAAGATACATTGGAAGTTGAGGATAACTCTATGGCTTCTCACCTTTGCTAGGCCGTTTGGTTAAATTTTATAGATGGGTTTTGCCAGCTGTATGCACTGGGTGAAATTTAGCCCCAAATGTGGAAATCTGACTTTACTCAGACCTTTCCTATTAAAAAACACTGAGGGAAAGATAAGATAGTTCTATAGCATGTGTGGGGAAACTGTGTCCCTCTCAATTAGGTGTACAGTTTAAAAACCTGAACAGTATTGACAAAATCTGACAGATAGCAGTGCTTTGTTATTTGATTCTTTTAATTACAGAACAGCTTCAGAGCCTCTGTTGGGCTGAAAGGTGGAATATTGATGCAGTAACATAAATTGGAAAGTGGCTTTGTTATGCTTTTATTTGCTCCTGTTATCTTTCACACCAATGCTGTTGTTCAGAATTGGAGTAAGAAAGTGAAGCAGGGGAAGTTAAAGCGCTGCATGAAATAATTATTTTTTAAAAATGAATTATCAGTATCAATGTATTAGAAAATTTCTTTCCCATTTATGAGCACACTGTGCGTATTAACATTCTGGATCTATTTTTCTTATCAGGACAACAAACAAAACTATGGAATTTTAAAAAGAAAAAAGTTGAGCTCCTTTGGTTCTTGCTTGTTAAGGGATCTCTTTTTGTATAGTGCTTGACTGGGATGGATCCAGGTTTAGGCAGATGCGACTAAGCTGGCAGCCCACCCCCTCTTCTCACTGCAACCCCACTAACCTCTCCAAAATAACTAACTGGGGATAAGGAATGCTACTGAATTGAGTGAACTGAGGTGTGGGGGCTGAAGGATGGGAATGCCTACAAATCAGGCAAAAGCATCTTCCGTGGGCAGAGCCCTTTTGTCCATGGAAGACAAAACTTGGATATACTCCTTGGGCTAATTGATATTGTGTGTGTGTGTGTGTGTGTGTGTGTGTGTGTGTGTGAGAGAGAGAGAGA